AAAATTAAAGCAAAATCCTGCCAAAATGAGACTTTTGGTTCCTAGTTTTGAATTCCCGCCAGGCCCCCATGAGAGCAGTTAATTGCTACCAACTGTTGTAAGAATATTGAAACAGAATACTTAGCATAACAGTACTTGATAAAATCTTATTTGATCAAAAACCATTATTACACATTACTATTTATACTTTTTTCAAGCTTTATAATCAGATTCAATAGGAAACTCTCGATCCGGTCAAGTTCTTTCACTACTGGTAGTGCCATCAATTTTCTAAAGTTGCCTAACCTGTAGCAAAATTACTCACGCTTCTGAAGCATTGGCTAGATTGGATGTTAGCGATCTGGACTAATCTGTGGAAAATACAGACATCTCACTCTCGACGCTTTGGCTCAGCTGTAGCCAGTTGTCTACACTTTAAACAGCACAAAGGGGGAAAGGAATAACGCTCGATTGAGAAACTTTACCGTAACGGTTGGTGTGCGCGATTTGACTCGCGTAGAATTTTGTTTCTCTTGTGACCGGGCAATTCTAATTTCCTGAAAACAATGTCAAAGAAAAACTTTAATATCCTAGTTCGGAGTTAATTTTAGTAATTTTCGTTCCGTGAATCGTCTTTTACGTTCAAGTTCGGTTCAGAATCATTTTTCAGATTGCTTTAATTCGCATAGTTTCTATTGGTCCACCAAGCTAATTGGTCCTGTATTCTGGTGTGGTCGAATCGAAGTGCGATAAATCGCATCGATCATGTTAACATTTTCGGCAGATTTTTAATTTTTAGCGGAAAAAAGGACGATAGCCCCTGCACAAGAGCCTATGGAATTATTATCAGTTAAAAAATTGGCAATATTTAGAGGAATGAAAGCTGGATTGTTTTTGGAAAAAACCTAGCATTCGACACAGTAATCAATTTCAGTATCCAAGGAAGGTATACCAGGTCTCATGTTATTCGAGAAAGTTTTGGATGTTTTGGGAGGCTTTGTAGCCCTAGGTAAATTTTCTTGTAGCAAATTTTGTTTCCGGTTCAAACCATCCATTGAACAAATCAAGAATAATTAGGATCTTGGCTTCTTGATCTAGCAAAATGATAAGCTCGCACCATTTTGACTTGAGTTAACGTGCCTATTAATTTCCCCTTCAAAGAATGATGCGCTTGGTGGTTTCATTCATAAACCTCAGCGCATTCATATGAATTACAAAGAAAAAATACTAAAATTTAAAAAATCTAAAACGCAAAAGCCTTCATAGTTCATCCCCCTTTTCAGGTGCCTTCAGATTTCCCTCGCCATCTGTCGATTGAGCATTTTCTGTACTCCTGTCGAATTTTTCACTTCATTTTTAGTACAAGTTTTATCACGGAAAATTGTTGAGTCAGTTTTATAATGTTAGGTACACGGAAAAACTTAAATTGCTGATTTAACAATTAAATTACAAAAAAAAGTGACTGCAATATTTCAACGTAGATTTCACAACACAAAAATGCTACTTTAACCAGTATTGTAAGCTAATCTAACCTCGGGGGTGGTTGAAGTAGCATTTTTGTGTTGTGAAATCTACATTGAAATATTACAGTCACTTTTTCAGCAATTGAATTGTTTAATGAGCAATTTAATTTTCTCCGTGTAGGCTCAATGGATTTTTCTTTAATTTCGCCATATATTAGGAGCCATTTGGGCGACAATGGGTCAGTTGCGCTGGTCACAGAATCGTGTTTCGATGCTTGATTCTTGTAGGTTATAGCTGAAAATAATAAGACCTGTCCAAACAGCAACTTTCTACGTCCAATATTAACCGAGATATCGCCCTTTAAAAAGTCGGGTTTTTGATATCGTCCACCGCGGTAATCAAACCCTTGGTCTCTTCCACCTTGCTTTCATCAGTCGGCATGACGCACATTTGCACTGATTATTTTACGTGAAACTCGGATGAAAGTAAGGTGGAAGAAACCAAGGGTGCCACTACCACGGTGGATGACGTCAAAAACCCAACTCTTCAAAGGGTGATATTTCGGTTAATATTTGATGTAGATAGATGCGGTGTGGCAGATCTCATTATTTTTAGCCGATCTACAAGAATCAAGCATCAAAACATGATTCTGTGACCAGCGCAACTGACCCATTTTGTTGTTGTTTTTATGTATGTGTTTATCTCTTTGTTCACAATACTTTTTTGTAATCAGCAGGTAACAGTCGACACTCATCTAGTCGGAATAACGGTGGTAGACACGGCAACCAACTTAGCTCACTTTTCGGGAATCCCTTCGGTTTAGGTTTCGACACCCCTGACTTTTTCTCAGATTGCGGTCAGGGACAGTGGTCCTCTATTTCAACCTCTTACGGCTCACCCTCAACCAATGGTCCAGTTACTTTTAAGAAGACCTCTACCTCAACAAGATTTATCAATGGAAAGAAAATCACCACTAAAAAGTAAGTAAATGAAAATTTGAGCATGACTAAGGGGCTTGAAGGACAGGGCGCACAAGTGCAGTTTTTGCTATTTCAAGAAATATGGGATTAAAGTTTCAAAATAACATGGAGGCTTTTTTTATGTATGTATGTATTTATTTATTTACAGTATCAACGGGTCATGAAGACCCTTTAGTAAGAGAAAATTATAACTAAAACAAGATGGCAATGAAGTTGAGGTAAGTTTTGATGATAAGAATACGATACGATACATAAATAAAGACTAGAATAAAATATTACAGTAACAAAGTAACAAACAAATTTTTTTTTCAAAAGTGACTCAACAATAGGAATATAAATAATTTAATTGACTAACTAGAGAGTTTGGAAAGGGATGCCCTCCTAGAGGCAGTTTTAAAATTACTGTTTTCAGTATTGAAAAAGTCAGCTCGTATAGAGTTAAAGACTTCACTCATTCTAGTGACCTATCAGAACTACTGGAATTAGAATTGAATTTAATGATCCTAGCTGGCAATAGTCTGGCTGGAACAGCTAAACTAAATTTACTAAGAAGTTCAGGTAAGTTTATGTAACCATTAAAGACCTTAAATAGAAATAAGGAATCATTGTAACTAAATGTTTCAGGTAGCCCAGACACTTTGAGAGAGAAGTACATATAGGGGGGAATGGTCATGATCAAAGAAAAGAAGAATGGCAGAAAGGAAGTTTAGACTCATCTTTTCATGCTTTAAAGTTGGATTTTAGTTGTGACTTTTTCACAGAATATACTTGCAAACTAGTTTTAATTGAGTTCATGAATAGTTCAACTTTTTCAAAAACCACACTTATGCACCTTGCTCTCTAATCAACCTGACTAATTTTTTTCTTTCAAAAAATTTTTTTTAGAATTTAAACAAAGACCCATTTCAAAAAAAAAAAAGTAAAATGAAGCAGAGTTGGTGCCATAGATAATTTTCTCATTCCAAAATAAAACTAAATTTCTAGGTATTTTATGGGCCTAAGAAAGAGCAGTATCAGTCTATTCTTTGTTTTAATTGGAACTGTAGTACTGATTCCATATAAATTCACCATTACTTATTACCTAATTTTATTTTTATTTTTTAAATTTTTATCATTATTATTATTTTGTTTAAATAAACTGTAATACAAATATTTATGTATCAAAGCTGTTCAGTTATGGTAAAGTTTTTTAGAAAAGTATTCATTTAAGAGTCTTAACTTGACCGGCGCAACAAACAAACAAATTTTGCTTACTAAAATTATTTCTGTTTTGTTTCAGAATTGTGGAGGGAGGAAAAGAGACTGTGATGCAGTACGAAAATGATGTACTCACCTCAAAAACGGTGAACGGTGTTGCACAGGCAATCAGCTTTGGCAACTAAACCACCTACCAAAGGTCCTCATTTTATTTGTCTGTAGTTTTAGTCTGCTCTCCGCCAAATTTCCTCATGTAACTAGCGAATTTAAAATTTCCAAGTGGTCTCTAAATCTGCATTGTTTACTATTAGTAGTTGAATCAATTCGGGATTTATTGAATTGTAAAAAGTAATAAAAAAATTTAAAAAAAAAAAAAATGAAATAAAAAAATTTCTGGAGAGGAGATGTGGACAGCTATCAGCCTCATCCATGTATCATTGTTATATTACCTGCCCAAGAGCATTTTACCTTCATCCCTGTGCGCACTACCTGACCAGGAAGATGCTGCAATTACCATTGGACTCATTAATGTTTCATGGACTGATCATACTTCTTAGAAAATATCCCCCATGAAGTACAAATTTTCGTAAACTCGACCATTACAAATAACTGGCAGCATTTAAAAGAAAAATCTTATAATGTAAGGTTTACAATGAAAATATGTGTTATTTCATCCAGTCAAGGGCACCAAATACATGTAAGCAACCATGACTACCAATTGTATGTAAGTATCATGCTGCTGTCGTTAGAAACTCTGGAATGTGATTAGTCAATATAATGTCCCTTAAGTCAGGTCTTATTATTTTATATGTACTTTAAATAAATGAGTCAAGGCATCTGAAGATACCTCTTCTGGTATGCTTTTTTTTGTCGGAACAATCATCAATCAATATCATTGGTCATTAAACAAACTGACAAATGCAAAAGAAAAGGAATGTATGAAGGTATAACAACAGTGAAGCTCCCAAACCTTGCGTCTTCCTTGCGTTGTCCTAAAATCTTCACTCTCACCATTTTTCCTTTTCTTTTTTTTTAAAAAAAAGAGGAGATCAACATCCATCTTCAGGCGTTTCAGAATTTTTCCTCATGAAGAAGAAAAATCACGGAAGTTTTGAAGAATTGACATTGAGTAGTTCTTCATTAAAAAATGGACTATGACAGGAAATCGTTCCAGTCGCAAACTTAGGTAATTAAACTAAGTGTCCATCAGTCCGTATAGTCCGGAAAAAGGACGCCTTTTTTTAGGTCCATAGAGAGGGTTCTCATCTATTAGAACTTGTTTCTATGCAAAAGAACAACATAAGCAATAGTAAATCACGAAAGTATGTAGCCAGCCCTCGACAGATTTGTTTTGGGCTTGTGAGAGCTTTTGTGTATTTAAAAGTGTTGAATTAATGAATCCATGAATCCAACTTAGTAGTAATTGTTCTAATTTCGATCTCAAAATTAAAATTTGAATGAATTGGTTTCTTCTTTTAATTATGTATGAAATATCAAGGAGTGGTGTCTCAAATTCCACTTTGCTTGACTTTAGTCGTGCAAAGTGGAATTCGTGTCCGATTTTCTAGGCATTATTTGAAAACTTTTCCGGCTTTTTACACTTTCTTTTTTATAAGAAAACGTTAAAACTTCAATTATAAATAAACAGAATGTTCGAAAGTACTACAAACAAATTGTCCGGAGCGCATTGAAGAAAATTGTTCCACTTTGGCCTGCTCTTCCCAAATTCATGTAATTGCTATCGAAGAATTTTGATATGTCGCGAAAAGATATGGAAGGAGTCCCTAATTTTTTTCCAAGGAGAGGTACTTAATTTTTTCTTTAGTTCTTAAAAAGTACTTCATTTTTTGTAGACTTCAGTGGACACCCTGTCTTGGTCTGGGAGTCTCACTGTCGATAAGCATGATTCTGGCCGGCAAAAAAATATGTAGCAGCTCCATGCTCTACCCAATTATTTACCAAGAATGTGTTGTCAAAGGGCTATGAAGAGATATTCCTTAGTTTTGTAGGAAAAAATGTTTTGCTCTCTTGAAATGATCACTTTTTTTGTTGAACTCCATCCTCCTTGGACCGAGAAATGCAGTGTCTGGAGCTATTTAGCCTATTCTGGCCATTTTGGGGCCCCAAAACATGATTAGTCAATTAGCTTGGATCAAATTAGTCAGCCTAGCAGAATCAAATTCCCAGTTGGTGAAAAATTCAGTTTTCTTTTTCATTTTTAGTTCCGCTGTTTTATTCAATTGAGCTGCCATGAAAAGTCTGAATCCCAAGATACAGGGACTTCTGAATTACTCATTTTTCGTTCGAAAGTTGGATATATTTTTGCCCTCTGGTATCCTTAGTATCCTCACAATGTGTGTTCTTGATTTTTGTAATTAATCATGCGTGAAGTTTGCCTACTTCTTAAGGAAAGGCACGCTTGAACTACTCTTGAATGTCGAAGGTGGATAGAAGTACTGCCATCTACAGTAAGGGTGTTTTTAAGGATATATGCCATATTTTAGTATTGTATTCTGTACTTGGAATTTTTTTTTTATTTTTATTTTTTTTTTTTTTTTTTTAGAGAAAACAAAAAAAATTTCATTTTAAAAAACCAGTGCGCATAATCTCTATATTCTCGTTCAAATAATCGTCCTATATATCGATAATTTGCTCTAGAAGCACTGCAAGAAAAAAATGTATTGAGGGTTTTTTTTTTATCTACAGAACGCATAGGGCTTAATATGTTATCATGGAGCAAATGCATGGAGTTATCCTCGGTTTGAAGCGGTTCTGCTCGAGGTTAGGATTGCATGTAACTGCTCGAAAACCACCTCAGAAGAGTGATCCAAATGTTCCAGTGGAAGAATTGGACGGGTTAGACCAAGACACTGAACTGGGATGTAAAAGTTACGCGGTTCGTCACGATCTGTTGCATTTGAAATGAAGAGAAGCCCTTAGTTTTCTTGCAATGAAATATTCCTTCACAGAATACAAGTGCAAAAACTGGCATGAACTTATAGTGTCTTTGCTGTGAATGGCAGAAAAACAATTCCAAATGAGTCTCGAATGTTGTCTTTCCTGAATGGAGATTTGACATATTTTGATATGAAGTTCTATGTATTGTCATAGTCTCCTTTCATATTTACAATTGTTTACCCAGATTCATGAGAGGTTTGAATATAACAAGCGCCTGAATTTCATGAGGTCTAGAACCTAGATTCCATTTACAGCACTGAAACTGAACTTTTTATTTTTTCCTTTTTACGGAACTTTCATTTTTCAAATGACCTCAGCCGAGGAATCATTGAGGAATTTATTAGTGTCAGGTGCATCAGATTTATTTTATTCCTTACGCCTTAGCACAATCCAACTTGGAATCTAATTTTTGTAAAAATACCTTTCCTGATTCAGAAGTAGCAGGGTATGACCCTGGACTTCAAAAAATATTTTGCCGATAGATGTTCAAACATGTCTCATTAAATCACACATTTTTGTCCTTGAGTTATCTTCCCATGCCTCTTATTTCTACCTAAAATGTTGTACATTAACCATTCGTCAATCATGTACTCTTCAAGGAGAATTTTATGATTAATTTTCTAAAGTAGCTGTATCATCGCAGACTATTATCTTTCCACCCTCAAATGCATCTGCATGTTTCCTTCGAAATGAAGGCTTTATCAATCAATCCTGCATATTAGCCAGAACAAAATGTTATGTAATCATCCTCAATTATTAATTGGTTTCCCTGCCGATCATAAACACTCCCTCAGGGGGGATCCAAAATAAATATTCTTTGAAGCATCTTTTTTTTTAATATATGTAAAATTCCCATGATAAAAAAAATGAACCGATAAAACTAGAGTGCCTATATACAGGAGAGTATTGCCATTTCTGTTCCGCTCTCTGATTGGTTCATCAGTTTTAGGCTTCATTGGGCTCCAAAGTTGGACCAATGTAAATAAACCCGACCCAGAGGAATACGTTTTATCGGCTGAAAAATGAATGATAATCACACTCAAAGGTTAATTTATGGCAAAAATATCAATCAAAAGTCGATCCAAACGCAATTCAGAAGTTAATCATAAAAAAATTTCCATCACATCCAAAGTCATGTTTAGAACTTTGTAGAACTTTGTCGCCATCTTGTTTGTTAACATTGGGCCAAACTATGAGTGGAGGGGTTGGGGTTCGTTTACATTGGACCAACTTTGGGACTCCATGATAGCCGACCAATCAGAGAACGGCACACTTTTTCTCTAGTGAAAGGATTGAGATGGCAATACTCAACTGTATTCAGGTGCTCTAAACATCAGATGGGTTTTTTATATTTTTAGCCTTAAAATGAGCTAAAATAGATCTACTTTTGGACAGCTTCTTTTAATGAAACTGCAGTGGTTTAAGACTTTTAGACCTGTATAATACCTTAAATTCTATAATTTTCATGCATTTTCATTAAAAAAAACTCGTTTTCTCTTGGTCTAGTTTCAATATTCATACTGTAAAATAATCTCCTCAAATTATACTGTATAACCAAGCATGGATGTTCTTTCGAATTTTGGAAATTATATTTTTTTCAACGCAGCATCCTCTCTTTTGGGAGTGAGGCTTCTTTGTTTCCATCGAACTACTTTTCTGTGTACGCATCGTTGAGTTTCTTTTGCTCCCTGGAAAATGTTCTTTTAGCAATTATAAACACAAATTATATCTGAGCAGATCTTTTGATAATCAATAATGTGTGAAAAATATCAGTTTTGTTACCCTATTATGTAAAATTTTATTTTGTTTGAACAATCAAAAAAAGTCTAGCTCAAAGCAATACAGCTTATTGTTATCGAAGACCAGTTAACGCCTTGCAAGTTTTAGGTTCATATTTTATCAGTATACTAGAGTTGAATTGAGGTGTTTGTTGAATTGTAGTAGTCATAGTTGTATCAATGAATCAATGCAGAAAAATGGTCTTGTTGCAGATTTATTTAAAGAGGAAAAGAATGTAGAAAGTGAGTGGAACCATTCAGTGGCGAGACAGAAGAGGGTCTCAAAGGGTTTCGAACTCCTCTCACAATTCCAAAAATCTCGACTCGAAAATTGTCTTAAAAAAGATAATTTTTTGCACTTTATAGAAATATTTTAACTTTGGATACCCTCCATCCCCCCAATTTCCGGCTACGCCAACTGAACCACTACCTGCTATCGTTCTTGCCTCACTCCAGCCCTCCACTTGTCGTCAATTAAATTTTAAACTCCTCAAAAATGTTGTTATCATACCCTAATGAAGCTATGAATTGGAACAAATATTAAATTATAATATCAGTTGTCAAATTGTGATGAAAGTCTGTGTTTATATTTCTGCCTGATTTATCACTTCATGCTTACGGTTTTGTTACCGCAGTTTTCCTCTTATTTGCTCTGATTTTTCTGATGTATACTTAATCTGAAATGAAAAAAGATGCACAACAATAGTTCAGGGCCATCCAACTGTTTACTATAGCCTTTATGTAAAGATTTATCTCTCAATTATCTACGATAGTTTAAGTAATTTCTTGTTTTTCCGTTTACCTCTACCTATTGGAATTTTTGGAAAACTACTCTTAAATTAATTTGGTAAAGGCGGAATAAGGTGCATTCTCTGAGGAGTCTCTTTTCTGTTTTCTTCTCTCTCTCCCTCCTCCGTCTTTCAAATGGAGTGCATTTTGCAATTTGGAACTATAAATTCTGGCCTGGTTTAAAAACAACGTATGTACCATTAGTTTCCCTATGCACATAAGTGTTTTCTCAGGTGAGCCAGAAGCTGTAGTTCTAAATTGCAAAATGCAGTCCAAATAAGTTTTTATCAATTGTGCTACACCGTTTCATCAATTGCCGGAGCTTTTATATTTGGTGCTTCTTTATCCTTGATTCGTATGTTGGTTCCTCTTGATCAATTTTTCATGTTCTATTTCTTCCAATGTGCAAAGTCTCCTCTTTTGCGCATGATCGGAGTCCCTTAATTGTCAACTCCTGCCTAGTGCCCCACCTTTGTTCACTGACGGGATTTGGAGTCGTTTTTATTTTTCAATGTAATGCACTTCAAGTGTGAATTTCCTTCCACTGAACAGACTACGTGTGAATGAATCATTTTTTGAATGTGCCTCCAAATCTATCGTATTGTTTTGTTCAATTGTCTGTGCAGAGTTCTGTAAATAATTGTGTGAGTATGATTTCGTCATGACTGACAAGATTGTTATATATTTAGTTTCTTGCTCACAGTTGTAACCTCGTTTTCCGACTTTCGGTTTTGTAAATATGTGTTCATAGAATTCTTTTGTTTCAATTACCTATTTTAGTTTCCATTTCATTTTTTAAGTAAATTTTTGTATTCTTTAATTTATTTACTTAATTTTAAGGTCATTTTGTTCGTTTAAGTTATCTGAACATTTCGAAGTTGGTAAAATTTTAAGTAGCTTTGTTCACTGCCTAAAACCCTCAGGGGAATAAGCTCGGGTTCTTAGCTGCACGTAAAGGTGTTCAGCTTGGCTGTGCTGATTTAAAAATGACTCAAAAAGAAAAGGCATCCTCTTAAACAATAGATACAAATTGTTACGTTGAATGAATTGATGACACACAATGCTATTTTTAACCGAAATGTCATGTGCAAAGTGTATCTCTTTTGTGAGAGGATTTTAATTGAAACATTTTTGGCTATCAAGCTCCATGAAAAAAGTGATATGTACTTTATTGTTTAGTTGAAATATTTCTTCATTTCCTCTAATTCAGTTTTTCAAAACCTGTAAAAATGTGTGTACTTAAATACCATTGAAGTCACTTCGAAGGGTGGTGAACATACAAATCAAATTAGGTTGTTTTTTTCTTCATTTTTATCTCACAGACTGTCATATTTTTTTTATTTCCCATCTTACCTCTGTGTTAAAATGAACACTCATGTTGTACATATTTACTATTTCTTAAACCACAAAATATTTACCATTATTCACTACATTAACTGGTTTTTCATTAAAAGCTTTCACCACGATACATTAGTCAATTTTTTCCCTCTCCTCTTATTGATTCCTGTGTGTCTCAAAAAAATGAACCTGAAGATAGTGCGCTAGTAACTTTTTTGAGTAATACGCCAGTACTTTTTCTCCACCCTCCCTTTCCCATAAAAAGAAAAACATTTCAACTCTAGGTTATCCTGGGGATTTCAGTTTCCAAACTTCAGTTTTAAAAAAGATGTGTACAACTGGGCAATTGAAAGAAAATGGAGAATATTTATTCACATATAATTCGAATAAATAAAGTACAGTATGGTGTTGAGTTTATAGAATAACAGAAAATGTTTGGTGGTTTCTTTTCATCGGATTCAGTTAGATTTTCTTGGGTTTTGTCTTGAAAACCACCAACTGTGTTTTCTTTCACATGCATTTAGTATCTTCATCATTCATTGACTTCGTCAGATCGGCAATGAAGCAGCATATTTTCTGCACCTCAAATTTTGTCTTAACTCATTTTCCCCGGTTTTGTCTTTTTACTGAATTTAGTCAGTCACTCAATGGTGAGGGAGCTGGCCTTCTAATCAACAGTCATTGAATTTTTAAAGAGGAAGAAATATGGTTAACAGAAAACCAGAGAGAAAACTTACTGAACCTCTTAACATAAGACTTTAACTGGGGATGGTGAAAATTAAATCGGCGGAGAAGGCTTAAAACATAGACGTTTTGAAAACGCAAGAGAAAATTTTGGAGAACCCTTACCCCTACCGGAAAAATGATACATTTTAAGACATCAAAAACTTATCATCCCTGTCGAGGAGATGAAAATACAAATGCACCAAAACCCTTTGAGAAAAAAAAAGAAAAATATTGCACAAACCAATGTATACTGCTCTTGCTATTGGAAATCAAATGTTGAACAACACAGAGGGATAATGGAACGGGGAGAAATACGTAGTACTAAAAACAAAAAACGGGACAGATGACAAGCACTTCTACCCTCACATAAGGGAACAAAAACCATTACAACTGTTGGACTAGAATTTAACTTAGATCAGACAGTATCAAAAAATTGTTTAAAGAAAACAAATTAATTAAATCAGAAAATTTGTTTCCCTCTTCGGAAGTTACTGAGTGAGCTGAGTTCACAATTAATTTTTTACGGATCGCAGCAACCTCGGGAAGAATATAAAGAAATGAGGCAACTGAAACTGCATTCAAGATTGCCCTTGTAACTGCTGAAAAGCTGCGTTATGTAAAAACAGTGGAAATTGGACAAGGACATCTCTTAAAATGAAATATCTGGCAAAACAACGGGATCTAATTTGGTCCCTTGGCTGATATCCCACTGATTCACTGCATCGGTTATAACAACCAAATGAGGCCTATTTCAAGAAGTTTGTTCGATGATTTCCACTGTACCGTGTTCTAACATGAAAGAATCAACACTCACAGTAAACGTTGAACCATTTTCAATTCAACTCAATTTTGGCACTATATGATTCTAGAAAAGGGACCCTAACCTCAATATCTCTAGTCGAGACTGAAATAATAATAAGGTAAAAGTTCGTTAAGTCGAATGACGCTTATGATGAAAATCCGCTTAAGTCAAAATTTTCTTCGGTCACGGGACGCTCCTATGAGGAACAAAGTTAAAGAACAGTGCTTCAGTCGAATTAAAGATTTTTTGTTTCTAGTAAAAAGCAGCTTCTATCGAAATTTTTCCTCAGAAAATCCGGAAAATTGTCTGGTTTTTACGAGAAAAAATGCAGAAAATAAGCAACATTGACGAAAGAATTCACTCTTGATTGAGATTTGATTAAATGTAGAAAAATTAAAAAAAGAATTTTAAAAATTCCAAAAATCGAAACATAAAGTAGTTAAAAATTTAAAAAGCATAAGAAGAAATCACAAAAAAATAATTGAGTTTAGTTTGCTTCTGTCGATGTATCCCGATATGAGCAATGATTCTAGATTTTGAAAGCTGGCTATTGCATTGTAGTCGACTTCATACTGACATGCTTGATCTGTTTACTTCATATCGCTCTCAGCATACGCACCTCTATGCGGAAGATGCCGGAGAGAACTCACAGAGCGGCAGCATTGCGGCTTGAGTCGAATTTCTACGATTTTCACGCTAATTGCAAGTTAAACAGAGAAAAAAGTAAGTCAAATAACTAACTGCTAAGCCACTCATGTCGAAATTTTCATTGGTCCCCTGACAATTCGACTTGACGAACTTTTACTGTATTTGCTCTTCACTCTTGTCAGTTGATCATTGGGTCTGATTCCTTGCTTTTGTTTCTGTTACCGTTCATCCTCAATATTCCAGTATAATTTACCTGAATTTGTTTAAGGTCTCACACGAGTAGCCACGAATTCGACTACTTTAATGGAAAGTTTGAAACTTACTTACACCTATCACAATTGATTGGAAAAGAAATAGGCCAAGTTGAGTGACTAAAATAGAAAAATATAGAGTTGAAAATAAGTAAAATGCAAATTTCAGTCCGATAACGGAGGCAGAACTGTGCAATTATTTACGCACAATGATTACAGAATTTACAACTTGGCCTAAATTTTCAAGGTGAAGAGAAAAAATAGATTGAAGGATAAATGTATCGAGAACCAAGACTGGGAGATTTTAGGCCCCTATGATTATGCTCACTATCAACTACATGCGAAAGTCAAAAGTAAAATAAAAACTGTAATTACTTAATAGTATGATAAATAAGCAAAGGAATGAATAGTATAAAAATAATTTCCTTCCATTGATTTTTTCGATTTCTGGCTGATAATGGTCATACAGTTGGCTCAAAACATCACTCTTTTTTTTCTTTCCATCTTTCCTCTTGTTTCGACATTTTTTTATTAAGGTTTCCCAAGGTTTCATCCACCTTGAAGGTTTCCTTTATCATTTGAACTTTTTTCTATTTTGACACAGAATAAAAATAGGTAAAATGCAGGATAAGGCAGCTACATTGCACATTGAAAAAAGGTACAGTAAAACAAAGTACAATAAAAAATAAGGGGCTCTCTTATGAGCGAGACTAAAACTCTGTCATCTGCTCCAGGATGAAACCTACGATTCTTCAAAAGAGAATAGACTAGCGACTAGCTGAAAATACACATCTTCCCAAGAAAACTGAATCCTTATCATTCATAACTGTTTAGACGTTTCAAGCTATATGTAAAACACAACGTCCAGATAACGGATTCAGTACCATGATCAACATTCAGAAAAACTTGGTATTCCGATTTACAGGTTTCTTCTAGATAAACTTTTTAGATGAATTATTATATTTAAATAGGCCAGTTGTGCTGGTCACAGAATCGTGTTTTGATTCTTGTAGATTAGCTGAAAATTATAAGATCGGTCCGAACCGCAACTTTCTACGTTCAGTATTAACTGAGATATCGCCCTTTGAAAAGTCAGGTTTTTGACATCATCCACCGCGGCAGGGACACCCTTGGTTTCTTCCTCTTTTGTCTGATCAGTGATGCAGAGGGCGCCATGCAAAACTTCAACAACATTAAACATAAACAAACTGAGGTGAACTGGCTGACCGCGTAACTTCTTCGTGGCGAGTGTATAATCTTCTGATACGAAGATTTTTGAAGTGCGAATCCGTCTGTTTCTCGAGTTTGTTTACGTTTGATGTCGTTGAAGTTTTGCATTGCGCCCTCTGCATAACTGATTGAACAAAAGAGATAGAAACCAAGGGTGTCACTGCCGCGATGGATGACGTCAAAAACCTGACTTTTCAAAGGGCGATATCTGGGTTAATACTGAACGTATAAAAGTTGCGGTTTGGACACATCTTATTTTTTTGCTAATCTACAAGAATCAAGCAGCAAAACACAATTCTGTGACCAGCGCAACTGGCCCATTCAAAAAATTTTACAGAGAAAAATTAGGGAGGCTTTTTTAAAGGCTCATCAAAATAAAAACAACTAATGGAACAGTAAAATTTGTCCCCACCTCACAGACCCTGAACTGAAGTTTCATAAAAAGGAAAGATACATCAAGAGAAACATGTCAGTTCCTAAATAGATTTGCTGGTTCCTAGGATTCTGAGATATATCACAGCAATACACTTTTAAAATCTTTAAAAATCATACTTTGAGTTCATAAAACGAGAATGACGCTTTCAAGGTTGCCACCAGTCATTCTGAAAGCTTCGTTTGATGCAAACGTTGGGGAACATTTCTTTCCAAAATGTAACATCCGCTTCTGAAATCTGATCACAAAAACTCAGGTCCAGCAATCGAAGTTCTTTGAAAGTTTTCAGAAACCTGAAACAGTGTACAACGCAAATTCAGTTAAATTAGAAAGAAAATAACACTGAGCAGGGTTGCCACAGTCGGGGAATACCGGGAAATGTCAGGGAATTTGAAGAGTCCTGGAAAACCGGGAAATGTCAGGGAAAATGACGGACATGTTAGGGAAAATTTGTTAGATCACTTTTATTTGCTTTCTAGAACGATTTTGATGTTTCAAACAACCAATTTTGCCTGAAAACTGTTTTCAATCATGCCTTCTTCTCCACCTGTCATAACGTTAATTGTCAGGGAATTTCACCAAATGTGTCAGGGAAATGTCAGAAAATTTCATTTTCTAAATTCTTTGGCAACTCTGACTGAGAAAAACTGAAGGAGAAATGAATGGACTAGAGTCCGCGCCAAATAAGTTTACGCACTTCTAGACTGCCACAGAAGCTTATCTGACATCACTTTTACGTAAAAAGTAAATGCAAGAAGCAAGACGGCGGATGCTCTGTCGCAGTCCAGAAGTGCGTAAACTTCCTTGGCGTGGACTCTACAACAAAACAAAAAGAATTCATGAATCAAGAAAAACCGAAATAGAAAATCACCAAAAAATTTGATAAGAGAAGACTGGGCATGATCCTGCTGGGTCATTGGGACTTAAATTCATTGGCATGGAGCATCACTAGAGTACCTATATTCGGGAGAGTACTGTCATCTCTGTGCCGCTCTCAGATTAGTTCATCAGTTTTAGACTATCATAGGACTCCAAAGTTGGCCCAATGTAAACAAACCTGACCCAGAGGCACACCTTTAATCAGCTGAGAAACGAATGAAAATCACGCTCAAAGGTTAATATTCATCAAAAATATCCATTAAAGTTCGATCCAAACTCAATTCAGAAGTTGGATGTAAAAAAATTTCTATCACATCCAAAACTTTGTACAACTTTGTCGCCATCTTATTTGTTAGCATTGGGCCAAACTAGGAGCGGAGGGGCTGCGGTTTTGACATTGGGCCAACTTTGGGGCTTCATGATAGCCAACCAATCAGAGAGTGACACTTTTTATCTGTAGTAAAAGGATTGAGATGGCAATACTCTCCCATATTCAGGTGCTCAAAGCATCACTGACCATGAACCCAACCGCCCTGATAGCGCGTAAGTGAGGATATGCTGATCCTAGTAGCCCGGAAAAAACTTACATGTGGCCATGGCAGATTCTAGGAAAGCACACTTCTCTTCTCATTCCACTCTTGGGCAGTTAATTTCAAAGAGAAATGTTTAATGACCCCTCAATAAAATCCACAACATTTCCTTGTGTATGCAAATGCACTTACAAATGCAAATTCCGCACAGGAAGACATATCTTTTAACAGAAATGGGTGTTGGCAGACCACCTTGATATGGATAACCCATTCTACCGTTCTGTTGGTGCAATTTCCATCATTTTTGTGGCTGTCAACAGGTGACAGTCTCTAAATGAGCCCTCTCTATTCAGATTTTGGAGATATGACCCAGGATCATATATGTTACATGATAAAGTTGTGGATTCTCCCATTAAAAAATGAAAATTTTTATTTTTTGCCACAGTTCAATCTAAAGGTCTATCGAGCCGATTTTTAGGAGTTTTGCAGCTACCAATAGGAGATAGTCCCTAAATGAGCCCACTCTCTTTGGATTAACATGGAAGCTTTGGTGGGTGCGTGGCAGCGAGAGGTCATAACCTCCTAGTTATTGACTAAAAAGAGGATCACTCATTCCTAAAAAAGCTTTTGTATATTTGACTCTAATATTGCTGCTAGGCAAAACATATTTTACAAATCGATTATACATACTTGAGACAGATATCTGATGTAATTCCTTTGACTCCTAGAAAATCGACCTGTTGCAAGTGAGGACAATGGGTGAGAAAAGGCTCCAGGTCACGATCTAAAATCCCACGTAAAGCTCCAATAAAGAACTTTTTCAAAGAAGGACAACCTAGTGCCAGGGATGACAAGCAATTCCCAGGTCCACTAACGCCCAAACTGAAACAATAAATAAACTTTACTAACAACAGATTAAAAAACAGCATGAAAATTGCATTTGAATTTTTCCTTGTGCAAAAATCAAGTAGAATAATTAAAGAGAGAGAAAGGGAGGTTCTTTTGGGGAGGTTCTTGAGAGTGATAAAAAGTTTTATTTAATGACCAACAGAGGAGAGAGATGGAGAGATGCCAGCTTCCGGAGGATCTCTACCATGACAGATTCCTGTGGAGAATAGGCGTCGCAGAGCGCCCTAGCGCGCCGTAAAAGCGGCTCATACATACACATACCAACAGAGGATACATAGTTCTATTGAAATGTTTCAAATCTCTGATGATGTTTTATTTTTTTCAAGGAAAACTAATTGGAATGTTTCCTTGCAATTTTGTGTCATTTTTGAACATGAGTGAAGAAAATTCACAGAAAATTTCAATACATACCGTCGGCTGCTGAGCTTTTAAAAAAAGAAGACATGAACACAGATTTATAATGTCACAATCTGAGATGCACATTTTTTGACTTTAGCCATCCAAGTATTTATACAATTTCCACGACAGGATCTTTGACTTATAGGATACTTTCTCTCTACAATCCTTCTCTCTTAGTGTTTGCTGAGTTACAGGGTAACAGAATTTATTAATTGCTGAAGTTAAGTATGTAATATTAAAACGGCAGTAAAATGCCTCACACTTCATCACTGACTTACCACCATCCGAGTTCAACTTCTTGTAATTTTGAGCATTTACTTAAGGCATGAACACCAGCAGGAGTCAAGTTGTACGTCTTCCACAGATCAATGGAGATCAGTTCCTTGTTATATGAGCCTAGAGTTTCAGCAATGGTGTCCATTACCCCTATTTGGTTACACGATCCTGAAACAAGAGAGGCTCTACATGAATGATTGACTGAATAAATAAGAATGAGATATGAATACTCGTTGTCAAAAAAGTATATATATATAAAAAAATCCGACCAAATTCCTCAAATTTTCAAATTTCTTTTGAAATAAAATGAACTTCTTCTGAAAAAAGAAAAATTACTGGACTTTGAGAAAGATATAATCTACAGCTGAAAAAACAAGAGTTCAGACATCAGAATAAATGATGAATCTTCATTAATGAGACAAAATGATCAGAGCAAGCAGAACATGTTGAGTAAAACTCAGCTCAGGGTATACGATGTGAAGCATTAATCCCTAGTGATCGTTATTTTGCCTCATGACTGGAAGTTGAAAGAGCTTGATGCAAAAACGGCTTTTTTCGCCCCCCTCTGGAATTTCTTCAGACTTTGTCTATTGATTACTCATACTTGAGCGCTTCTTTTCCCAAATTTTCAGACCCCCAAAAAATTTTGGGGGGGAGCTAGGGGGGTTGGAAGTCAAAATCTGTGAACCTCGATATCTCTCGAACGAAGAAAGATATCGAGGTCCGGTTTGGACGAAAAATCGTCTAAAATTGCATACTTTAAGATTCTAAAGGTCGAAATCCCGATATCGCATTTTTAAGTCAACATATGTGCTTTTTTCCAGTTTTTAGGTCTAGATAATTTCTTTTAAACGAAAAATTTACAAAGATCTCAATTTTTTATTTGAAGCAAAACCAGTTTTTTAAATTGTTCGTCTTTTTCCGCATCCAACGAGTGGTCCGATAAGCTGGGGAACCAAACGGTTCCGGAGTTATGATCGATTGAAGTTTCCGCTCAACGCGCGCCGACCGATTTTCCCGCGCAAAAATGTCGGATTTGACTGTTATTAAATTAGATTGACGGTTCAAACTGAGCGAAATGCATTATTAGGGACTCTTGAGGGTCGCTGAGTTCAGAAATTACAGATACTTCCAAAAAATTCACGTTCTTAAAATTACAGCTCCGTACAGGACCACTGAGCGGCCGGTCGGCGCTCAGTGGGCCTCTAAAATAGCGCTACAGAGCTGTAATTTTAAGAACGTGAATTTTTTGGAAGTATCTGTAATTTCTGAACTCAGCGACCCTCAAGAGTCCCTAATAATGCGTTTCGCTCAGTTTGAACAGTCAATCTGATTTAATAACAGTCAAATCCGACTTTTTTGCGCGCGAAAATCGGTCGGCGCGCGTTGAGCGGAAACTTCAATCGATCATAACTCCGGAACCGTTTGGTTCCCCAGCTTATCGGACCACTCGTTGGATGCGGAAAAAGACGAACAATTTAAAAAACTGGTTTTGCTTCAAATAAAAAATTGAGATCTTTGTAAATTTTTCGTTTAAAAGAAATTATCTAGACCTAAAAACTGGAAAAAAGCACATATGTTGACTTAAAAATGCGATATCGGGATTTCGACCTTTAGAATCTTAAAGTATGCAATTTTAGACGATTTTTCGTCCAAACCGGACCTCGATATCTTTCTTCGTTCGAGAGATATCGAGGTTCACAGATTTTGACTTCCAACCCCCCTAGCTCCCCCCCAAAATTTTTTGGGGGTCTGAAAATTTGGGAAAAGAAGCGCTCAAGTATGAGTAATCAATAGACAAAGTCTGAAGAAATTCCAGAGGGGGGCGAAAAAAGCCGTTTTTGCATCAAGCTCTTTCACTCATATGTAACCTGCACTTAGATTATTCAACCCAGCTTTTCTTAAAACGGCCAATTGTCATATCTATTGGTCATCTTTGGTGCCTATTTATTCTCCTGAGAGTATTATAGACTCTTCCATTAACTTCTTATAGTTTTTTCATGATAAGCTATGAGCTCCTTAAACCGATAGAACGAAGAAAACAATAATAAAATTTCTCACCAAGATTGATGTGCTTTAAATTCGGAGACGCCATAAGAATTTTCACCAACGGGTCAACCTCTATTCGAGTGCGATAGAAATCAAGCCTTTCTAGAGTGTTAATTCTGCAGAGAGATAGGAAGCCTCTCGCCGTGATCAAGTTGCAATTTCGAAGCAATAATTCACGCAGCTTCTCACACACTGAACTAACTTTGACGATGCATTTATCGTCGACAAATTTACAACAGTCTAAACGCAAGTGTGTCAGTGATTTACCACAATCACTGATGAAATCACAGAAATGATCAGATTTAATCTTATCATAGTTGCCGCACCAGGAGAGATCTAGTTTTTGCAAATACTGACAACGGCTTGACACTGTTCTTAGGGAATTAGACGAGATACAATGCCAATAAGGCTTCAGGTTTAAACTTATGTATAATAGAGGGTCTGTTGCAAGGGAGTTTAAGTGTTTATTAACTTTGGCACATTGGCAGAGGGACACTGAATCTAGGTAGCTTAAAATATTTAGGATTGTTTCATCAGGCAGTATACCAAATGAACCCATTTTGTTTTTATTATCTGAATTTTCAATTTCCAGAATGGAGCTTTCGAATTCTTTATACAAGGGTTGTAAGTCTTTGGTTATGAAATTAGATAGGACAGTTGGAATGTCAACCTGAAACGAAAAGAAAAGGAAAATAGGTTAATAATACAGTGTTGCTTAACCTACAAAATGCTTACCTAGTAACTACCACTACGCTGAGATTTGACTAATTTTTGATACTTACTCACGGATACGTCAGTTCTGCAGTGATATGATAATGTTAAAATATTCCGAAAGAAAGCATCTTGGCAAATGCAGCGATGATGAAATCCAGAGATTGCATTAGCCGACAGCGGAGCTTGTCAAAATCATATGGCCAAGCCTATAACCTTCTGCTGATCAACAACACACGGCAATGCCGCCATGAATTTTTTTACTACAAATTCTGACGCTACAATGACCGTGATACATAACTTTAAAAGCGAAGGGCATGCAGTTAAAACCTTATTTTCGGCCTTCCTATTCCTTTTGTTTTCAAGTTAGCTTTTCTCCTAGTCATCATTATCAAAAAAAGTTGGGGAAGAACAGTGAGCGTGGTTCACTCATTACTTTTGAATGAATTCATAATGAAAATAACTCAACTGACCCATTTGAACACTTTAACAACCTAACGCAAACTAAAAAAAGCTTTGCTCCTCAAAGATAATTGGTATGTGGAGTGTAGCCAAGTGCTAGAAATAATGTATCATTTTCTTTAAAAAAAACTTACATTTTATTAATAGACTTTGACCGAAGCTTTTCGAAGCAAGCGCTTCATCGTCAGGGTCACAAAGTATAAATCACAAAGGCCATAATTCAATTTCAGACAAGGTAATAGATTTCAGTGGTAACAATTGATAACAAATTGTTACCACTCAAATCTGTTACCTTGTCTGAAATTAAATTATGGCCTTTGTGATTTATACTTTGTGACCCTGACGATGAAGCGCTTGCTTCGAAAAGCTTCGGTCAAAGTTTATTTATAAAGTGCAAGTTTTTTTTTTTTTTTAAAGGAAATGCTACATTATTTCTAGCACTTGGCTACACTCCACGTACCAATATATTCAGTGCTACTACATTTTAGACATTGTGTAATACAATGTTCGCTGAACTCAAAGATAAGTATCATAATAGCTCACAGATTGCTCCCGATATTTGAATTCCATCGGCAGAAGCTCAAACCTTTGGTATGTAATCTTGAATCACTTAATCAATTACTTCTGCAGAAGATTAACACAAACTTGAATTACCTGGGAGGGTATGATATGGATATTCCGTTTTATAAGATTAGTGGTTAAATCTGTAACAGGCTTGGACGGAATCCATGGAACTATATCATTTGAAGAATCACAGCTGCTTTCATTTTCCGAAGACTCCATGTCATCTGATAATCCAATAAAACTGAATATAACAGCATTATTCTTGAAAGAGACTCTTGAACCAGTGAAGAGAACAGCGTCGATTTCCGTGAAATAGTCTAAAAGGGAGTGGTCAAACTCTAAACGTAGCAAACTGTAGACAAAAGAAAAAGCAGCAGTCATAAAATTGAGAAAAAAAGTGCTGTTAAGAGCCAAAATCGGCCCCCCTCAAAAGCAGCTATGACCGTTACAATCTTGATGTGTATAGTGCTGTAGAGAGATGCAAAGTTCTTCCCTAGGAATTAGGAAACAAAGTTATTCAAGTAGATCCGGGAAGTTTTCCAGTATTGCTTACAGCTGAGGAAGTTTCTTCATTCTTAATGACAACTCTGAAATTGATTTGGATACAATGAAGAACACTTCTTTAGTAATTGCATATGAGTTAAAAGATTGATACTTGGAAATTCCCTTTGAATAGATCGAGAAATCACAAATTCTTTTGCAAAATCGCAGTTAGGTTGACTACTGCAATCAACATCAAGTTGAACTATTCCAGAAAGGAGAGAGGAGGTAGCCCTGGATAATTTGGCAAAAATATGAGATACTATAGTAAAAGGCCAGAAAATATACTTACTTTGTTGGAAAGTTAATAAACCTCAAATTAGGTTGAAAGGCACGTGATTTATGTTCCACTTTTTGGGAGGGTCCCTCCCACAGCAACGCCCACTCATATTTCTCACTGGCTGCCCATATCCTCACCACAGAACCAGGATTAAAAGTTTCAAAAACCTTTATTGCAACTGGATACACGATACATTCAAAGACGATATCTAAGAGCAAAACATATTACTGATCAAATTAAAAGTAGGAAAAGTTGGGGTTACAATTTAAAAGTGTAAACCATTGTTGTTGCATCAGAATAAGAATCATGGACAAACAGCAATTTTAGTGCCAAAGGGCCAAGGTTGTCATGCTGTGTGAAAAAATCTGGATATTACACATGGAGATAGATGGGGAAATTTGCTGATTTCTCAGGCAACCATGGATGGAGTATAGAGGGAGACTTATCAAGGGAGTAGGATTTCCAAGATGGAAAAAATGTCACACACTTATTTTGCAAAATCTGTTGAATTTTCAGTAAGAAACCGAGTGCTGGGATTTCTTATACGGAAGAGAGTAGGCCTAGCCCCCCCGAATGATGAAATATTTCTTGCCATTCTTACTTAGTAAATTAATATCAGAAACAAAAAAAGAAAAACCTTAACCCTTTTTCAAAAGGTGTCAAATGAACAAATTGAGGCATTTTTAAGTAAAAGGACATATCGACGGTGAAACTACCAAACCACGTATCTCGTTTGCGGTGTTTAAAAATCTACGCTCACATTTTATTTTTTTGAAGTAGACCAAATCAATATCATTCCTCGAAATTTTCACAGAATTTTCTTCGCACGAAGAGGAAAAATCACAGAAATTTTCTAAACCGGACGTTAACTAGTTTTTCATTTAAAAAATAAAGTATGACAGGAAGTTTGCGACATCGCAAACCGAGATACGTGGTTTGGTAGTTTCACCGTCGATATGAGACTTGCAATGCTGCTAAGATGGTGCAATTTTTTATAACGTTTGAGGCAGATGAAAATCATTCACAATGGACTTACTTCCTTATTTTAATGAGGGAAAACTCGGAACAAATCAAGGGAAAAATTCATGGCAGAACTATTGGATAAGTAAGTTACTTACAACGAGAAAACTACGTTGCACAACCTCTGCAGCATTGGAAGTCTCATGTGCTTTTTTACCGAAAAATGCCTCAATATTTAAGAACTTGATACAGGATTGCTGAGAATAGTGAAGATAGGAGAAAAAAAAAATCATGACACTTTTAACTGATGAAGGAGGAAAAAAACTAAAAAAGGCACTGAAAAAATTGTTCAGCATTCGAATAAGGAGAAAAATCTAGTTTTTAAAATTGCTTGTGGTTCTGACAGATAAAAAACCTCTTCAATAATAAGGCTAAGGACTTAAAAGTTTATTCATATTCGTATAATTAGCAAAAGTACATAAAAATAAAGAAAGGAATGATGAAAACTATTTCTTTTTACCAATGTAATCTTGACTTCTGACTGAGCTAAAATTTTGAGGCATAATAGGTTCCAATCTGGATGGGGCTTCATTCCACCAATTTCCATAAGTTTTCTACAAGAAAAACAGAGAAGGTTCCACTTAAAAAAAAAACCTGTAGTCCAAATGGTACCAAGACAGTTAAACTATCTCCAGAAAACAAAGCTCCTGAGCAGCTGAAACTTTTCTCAAATATGTTCTTTCGATCTTGAGGAACCAATATACCGAGTGTTATATCAGTTGGAACAAGAGCTAAATAGAGCCAACCATAACGAGACTAAGGATTACATCAAGGAAGGACAATACAAATTCTGGGAATTCTGAGCTCATCTCGTATTTTTGAAGGCTGGAGCCACAAGGACCTACTGAATCACTAGCTTTCATTTCATTGATTGGACATGCTGCGCTTCCTCTTGAATGCCAAAAAGAGGCTTATAGTAGCTTTCATGTACAAGATAATTCTACATGTTGTTCTCCTCATGCAGATTATATGTACCTCTCTAGAATAAGCACTGTGCGTACTCTATCATTTAATTATAACATGCTATTCTATTTACGACTCCCCTGAAGCAAGTGGATTTGGGAGTAATTCCTGGCTTTTATTTACAATCAGTAGCCATGTGCCCAAAAGTAGACTTTACAATTTTATTTATTTAAAAAAACAAAAAACAACAACATAATAACAAAGAAGAACTCTTGGCACTAGGAACCACCCAAAGGCACAGGCTCAGTAGTTAGTACTTTACTGTTGCTGCTCATCTCCGCTCTGCGAGTTACAGACCAGGATTTATTGTTCAATGAAAAAAACGCTTTCTACCAAGTCTTAGCTCTTGTTAATACCTCTTCAATGCTGGTTGAATTCTGCTCTAAAAAGCTTGTACTTAATGAACCCCAATCAGAAGCTTATACTGTGATTTCAGTATATGGAGAAATGCTGTATGTAAGTGGGATGCAAATTTGCTGTAATTGGAATTAAAATTCAGTTTCAGTGTTAGTTGGTCACGTTCGATGCAAATCTAGAGGTGAATCAGCTAAGTTGGCAGTTGTGAGCTTCTGATTATCTCGCACAGAAGATATTTTTCTTTATTAATATTCCAAGAAGATGTGTCGATACTCCGAAAATTTATCAATATCTCCTCAGAGATAGATATTGGTTCTCAGTATCTGCACACAACAGCTGCACAGCGTCATAGTTATTTTAAGTCAATCCTTGATCGATAGTTGATGACAGAGGCTCAGTTGTTTGCAACCAGAATGTAAACAACTGCCAACTTGTCTGACGCAATTTCCAGGAGTGCAGAACACTTCTTAATCGGGATCATTTCGAGCCCATTCCAACTTGAAATTATAAGATGCAACGTTGTTCTGATGTGGGTTTCTAATGCACATCTTGGAGTTTGGGTAGCTTTAAACGTAATCGAATCATGTGTACAGAAACGCGCTCGTAAAACCATGGCTATGGAAAAAAGCCCTTGATCACTGAGCCACATAACCTAGAATTGTGAATCTCAGATACCTGGATTTCAGAGTAAAACTTACCATCACAAATGTCTGAGGAAAGTCTCCATAAGCTGGAAATTTGCTTGGTTTGCCGAGGATATTATGAGCAGAATACGATATACTGATGTCACTGCCATACTGAGAACTGAAATCCACAACATCAGACACGTACTGATCTACATAGTTCTTCGAATTGCATACACGCATACAGTCGCTAACTGATTCTAGCTCAGAAATTTCGGATTCCAAAGCTTCTAAGTTCATATTTTTCGAAATTTGTGAGTATAGTGTAAAATCAAGGTAGAGAAAAACATTTATGGGGTTTCAGCACACATAACACGAATTTTATCATCGTCTGTTTTTATCAACACAAACTTTACGGAATGAGAAGTGAGAAGAGACTCAAAAGTGGTGCATGCATGCAGAGCGCAGGCATCATTGACGTATAATACAATCTAGACCGCGCATTGGGCCCGACTTTAGGCGGGGAAGGTAAGACAGCTAAGGGGGTAAAGACGCGCCTTCAGCCTAGTTGATACCGCCGGATATACGAGCTAAGTGTACCCGTATCAGGCAACGGCACTGGCAAGACTGGCATTTCCACGAATTCCACCATTGTCTCGCCGGTACACTTGCTGTGTGTTGCTGGGTTGCCTATCGTCTCGCTTGAATTTCGTAATGCGCGGTCTAGATTGTATTATACGTCAATGGCAGGCATAATAGGCATAACATTTGATATCGATAGTGATTGGTGGTTCAAAATCCCTTTGAAAGTTTTGGCCAATCGCATGTGTGATAAAAGATATTTCATGACGTTTAACTTTTAACTTATATTACGTCACTAAATGAGTGCTGCCGTATCTCTTGCACAACCGCTTCAATCTCTCAATGTTGTCAAATTTCAAAAATATTGCAGTAGTAGAGTCATAATAAAGCCGCAACAGTTACATGGTTTTTATCATCAATTAATCATTTTATCAAATCAAAATTCGTATGCTGGTCAAGTCTCAAGTGGCCAGGTCCGTCTGGTACTTATTTACCCCTTAAAAACACCCTCCACAATCATCCATTGCCATTTGAAGTACTTAGAAGTAAGAAGTAGACCTCTTTCTCCAGTATTAAGATCTGGTGAGTATTCTACCCATTTATCTTGTCGTCCACTTTCTTTTGTTAAATTTCAGCCAGAAGTTCCTTGCAGCGGTCCGAATTATTGAAACTATGTCAGCCCACCACGACACAAAATAGCCCTATCTTAACCATGAAATGTATCGCAATTTGATGGCTTATCGGGCTGCTTTAAACTTTCAATAATCTTCCTGCTGATAAGAAGCATTTGGAAATTTGACAAAGTCACATCAGTAAAGTGTGAATATTTGTCGAAATATTCATCCAAATGCTGAACCTTCATAATTTATCCACCCTTCAGGGAGTTCAGCAGTCTATAATGCTGGATCATCCAGAGCGGATGTGATCATAAGCCTTCTGGTTGTTATTGTATACAGAGTTCGTCACCTTCCAACCATAGTATCACAAGCGCCATGTGAAGTTTCAAAATTTCCACCGCCAATTTATTTTTCACTGAGAAATTGTTGGTTGAGTCTGTTTGAAAATTTCACTGAATTTTATTGGCAGCACAAAGAAAATTCCACGAAATTTTCGGACAGCCTTGAACAATTTCTCTGCAAAAAAAGAAAATGGTGGCGGAAACTTTTAGACGTCGCATGGCGCTTCTGACACTGGGCGGAAGGTGATGAATTGTTGGTAACATTGCTGTATGCTATCATTTCCACTCAGTCTCAATTCTGACAGTTCAGAATCCCAGGTCACTTACAACTTTCATGCTTGTCACAACTGTTGTATCTAAAGCTTGCGAAAAGTGGAAGCTTTTAAGGCGTGGACGTGAAATGTAACCTACAGCTTTTATATTCTTGGTTGACGCATATAACTCATAACTGTATCGCATTAAGAAAGGAACAATGCCACATGAGCTATTGCCAAATTTAGTTGGGCAATACATACATGAAAACAGTTGTGCAGATTTTCGTGCAAATTTTCTGCATATTACGTAGCAATTACCTTTAATTTCCAAAATAATCTGCATGAACATTCTCCCTGACAAAATCAAGTGCCCAGTTAAATTTGTCAATCGGTGATGTAGCATGGTTCCTTATCTGTTAAACGTGGTCCAACTAATCTTGTCTATGTAAATTTGACTTTTCAAAGACTGTTTGGAAAGAAACAATGGTAGAATTGTGATTATTTTTCAGAGACTGGGTACCTATTGAACTTGCCGTGCAAAATCTGCTGTCTGATTTTTCAAATAACGAAGGTGAAGGAAATTCTACAAGGGCAACTGTATCTAGCAATTAGGTATCTGCCTCTTGGCAAAATCGCTAATTTGTCTTCAAGGAAGACATCTCTTCTGGAAATTTTAAGTACCTATTAATTGCAGCTGTGGATTGCCACATCAAACACTTTCTGCTCCTGTCTTGTAGCACCCCAATACTTCTTTAATTCTATATCAGATATAACCATAATTATTTTTTTCAGAACTCGATTGGTACCAGGTTCTCACTATCCTCTTCTGCCCAAAACAGAATAGTTCAAAAAGATGGGAATCCTATGATAATTGCCATTCAAATCCGCTGTGCTAAGGGAAAACGCTGTGAGAGTTGGACGTTGCCACACTTCCTTTGACAAAAAACAAATATATTGGAAAAGTTCTGAATATTTTTCTTTTGCAATTTAATCTAAAATATCTGAAAATCTCAAGAAATAAATAACTCCCTTCAGAAAGTAATATTTTATCAGGGGAAATTTGATAACATTTGAAGGCTTTTACAGTGTTTTTCCTTAGCATGGCAGTTTGGGCGTCAAACTCTATAAGTTTGTCAAAATTTTATTTTATGCCTCGCTTTTTATAGAAATTACCTGTCTTATATCCCTGGTTTTAAAAGCCCATCGAGTCAACCGACCAAAGCACCATGTTTGAGCCTTCCATTATTTTTCACTTGCAGATCAAAAAAAGAACGATGGAAGAATTTCCCATTCTTAAAATGCCAAAGGATCGGGAGCTGGTGAAGTTACCCAATACCCTCTACAACATCTTGGACGAATTTGTTGCCGAGTACCGAACTGAGCCGGATTTTTTCGTACGAGTACCAGGCAGAGTAAATCTCATCGGAGAACACATTGATTACTGTGGTTATGGAGTCTGTCCCATGGCTATTCAACAAAATATCTTTGCAGCTGTCAAAGTAACAGAGGATAGTGACCTTCTGAAGCTTGCAAATTTTGAAGGCAGCAAGTTCAAGAAATTTCAGTGCAGTTTACTCAATTTTGAGTAAGTAGTTATCACTATCAGTGAAAGTTAAGGCACAGGAATCATTTCTTTGGGGCTTAATTTGTTGCTCATTTCTGTGCCTTGTAGATTTCCTCAAAACTCAGTTGTTCAAGACCTAAATGCAATTTGAGAGGGAATAGATTCCATGAGATTTTTTAAATAAAATCTCTGCAGTTAAAACCACAAAAAAAAAAAAATTAAGTATTTAATGGAAATCAATTTTCCAATTGATCCTTTGATAAATTTTCCTTTGGTTGCTAGAAGAGAAAAAAAAGGTAACAAAAAAAAAAAAAAAAAAAAAAAAAGCAAATCAGAACACTGCAAACCTTCTGTAATAACAAAGAGCATAATCAAATGAAAACGTGTTCAGTTACTGCAAACAGAATTTTAGGAGTTCATCTGAATTTGCAGATCTAGGTACGTAGAAAAGGTTTTCTCATAAGCACTAGAGATATGCACGACAAACCTTGAATCATAAAGATTTGATCCAGCTCAGAGTAATATCAGAGGTATTGACAACACCGCTCAACATGGGTTCTGTCCTTTGAACCGAACCCAATATTTTTTTATTCCGAGGTGATACAGAAATCTAAAAACGCCCATTAAAATTTCAGGAAATTTGTCCGGTGCTCAGGGCGCCGCCATTTTGAAAAATTCAAATTGTATATAATCTAGGAATAAAAAAAAATTGGTTTGGTTCGAAGGACAAACCAAAAGTCAAAATTTGTTGTGTGGTGTAATGTCATTTTTGGACCCTGCCCTTAAAATCTCAAAAAATTATATGAAGTTAGAATATCAAAGTAGAAAACGGGTGAATCTCAATGCGAAAGGTCCTTAAAGACTGACTAAGAGGACTCATGGTATGGAATGAATGAAAGGTTCTAAGCTAATTGATGGCTTTGATCAAAAAATGCTTAAGTACCTCAAATTGTGATGTTGTAAGTTTCCGCTTATGAGAATTTTTTTAAAGGGAAACCAGCAAATGGTTTCTACTAAAATTGTTCATGTATTTTTTCTTTCATTCATTCCAAGAAAATTACCAGGAAACTTTTTAATAAGCTTTATGTAAAGAAAGTAAAACATAATCTGCGATTTTTAAATACCGCAATCAAGAGATGCTCTTTTGTAAGGAGCCATTCTAATGCTCCCTCTGAGTTAGATTACTCAGGATCTGCACTTTTTTCCGCAGGAGAGTTCATTTTTCAAAGTAAAATTTTTGTACATTTGTTGAAATAGATGTGTTGATTCTAACAAGTTGATGCAATATTTACTCTAAAAATTGTAAGTTGTCATGAAATCTTGGCAAAATTTGCTTCAAATCTGGACAATCATTTTCACAATGGGCCTGTTGCAAACTTTTGCCAAAGCAAAAATGAGAGTTTTTTCTATCAGTAAATGTCTCAAAAGTGACGATGAGCGCATTGGCAAAAATGTACTCCTAACTTCACAATCTGCGTAAGGAATTGGCGTTTTTTTGAGCTTCCCGCTTCAAAAACGATACTAGGGTACAGGTGAACATTTCGTCAGAGGAGTCGTTCCATTCAACCCTTTCGCAATGGCAATACCCAACATAGCCAACGCTTCGGCACGCCAATCGCAATTAGGAGCACACGGTCAAGCAAAGCGGATCTTCATCAACGAATAAATTATGAATGTAAACATGCTGCATTGTTAACAAATGATTAGAATCTCGTCCAGGCACGTTTTTTTTTTTTGCAGACTGGTGTCAGTCCTGTTGAATATTGTTTAGTATCCAAGTGCACAGGGGTTGTATAGAAAGACACCTCTAACGAAATTTTCGCCTGTGCCATAGTATCGTTTTTGAAGCGGGAAGCTCAAAAAATGCGCTCATCGTGATTTTTGAGACATTTACTGACAGAGACAACTCTTATTTTTGCTCTAGCGAAAGTTTGCAACAGGCCCATTGCAAGGGATTTACCTTATTAGTTGTCTGTGTCAATTACTGTGTAATCAGAATAGCCTTTACATATGTTTTTAGAATTTTAAGAGATGAAAAAGTTGGCCCTAGCTGGGAAAATTACTTTCTGTGTGGTGTGAAAGGAATCCTGGAATCGATGGAAAAACCCTCAGGAATGTGTGTGGTCGTTTTCGGTGACATTCCCCCAGGGGCTGGTTTGTCCAGCTCAAGTGCTTTGGTTTGTGCTGCAGCTCTTGCAACTGCTTACGCCAACAAAGTAAGTTATTCAATTATACTCTATCATCTTTTCATTCTTAAACTCCAAACATTTTTAAACTTGTATAAATCCCAGCTTAACAAGTGTTCCTCCTCAAAAGAACACTTTTATGTTTTCAAAATGAGCTTCGAATAGAGCTCTTATCCACAGCCTCTAAATATGTTGAAAACGACCTTGAAAATTTTTTTAAAGGTTCAAAAAGACATTTTTACAGTACATGTGCTCTCTTCAAACCCTTGTATAACAACACACATATGCTGTGGACAAGTACCTTTTTAGAGCTCAAAAAATTTTTCAAAACCATTTTTGAATTACTTAAAGGCTGCTATGAAAATGAGCTCTTTTCTTATTCAAGATACACTTTCCAGTAATGAATTCGAATTCGTGCCTTAATCAATTTCGCCAAATTTTGGACGCGCGCCATTCTAGTATGAAGTGATTCATTTCTGGTGACTTTAAAAGTTCAGTGTAAGGTAACAAGATTGCACAGCCTCTCCATTTTATAATTTTCTTACTCTGAATTTTCCTCATTTCAGCTTAAAATTTCAAAATTGGAACTTGCTGCATTATGTGCAAGAGCTGAACATCACATCGGAACACAAGGAGGCGGCATGGACCAAGCAATTGCTTTTCTAGCCTCTGCAGGTAGGTCTTAATTATCAAACTCACTCAAAAATCTAATGTAAGGAAAATTGTAGTTTCAACCAAAAAAATGCAAGACAGGAAAAGGTTTTGTTGGAGTAAAGAGCCCACTGTGCATGTTTCAACCCAGTGACTTATTGTTGCTTGTAAATCAATTCAATTCCTAAATGTTCATCGGAAAATTTTAGCATCTAATATTCTTTTAATCATGATAATGAGACAGTTACCAAACAAGAGGGTGTACCAATAGGCGCACTACTTTATTAAAATTGAAAGTTGAGCATGGTGAGCAAATTGGAAATTTTCGTAATTATCTCATAAGAAAGAAACTAGCATTTGCAATTTTAATTAGATTTAATATCTTTAAATTCCCCACTCATAAAAGAATCAGAGTCAAAGTAGGTCTAATTGACCAATCAGAATGGACCCAATTGCTCATCTGATTTTAAGCCTTCAATTTTGCCATAATGTCCTCCCCACCTTAATAAATGATGTTTATAAATTCATCAAGAAAAATACAACACCCTGATAAAACCTTTTATCAGAAACTAATTTTTGTGATGGACTAACTAACGGCAACCCACAAGTGACCCTATAGATAGTCCATCATTTTCCCTGTAGTCCATAATAACCTCTCGTTTCAACCAATAGATCGCTCCATTTTGCCTGTGTCTTCTTTTTATACAGCTTGGTCTATCAATTTCAATCATTGGCCTGATGAAGATATATATTTTTCTTGAGGATTAAAGTCAAGCAGGTCCCATTGAGATGACATTTTGCTGCAAGTCAAGCTTTAATATGAGGATGTTATATGTTTGTATGTGTGTTTTTAGGTAGTGCTAAATTCATTGAGTTTGAGCCCACTCTGAAAGTGCAGGACGTCCAGCTGCCTGCAATGGCCAATTTTGTGATAATTCAAAGCTTAGTGACTAAAAATAAAGCAGCTTCTTCTGATTTCAATACCAGGGTTGTTGAGTGCAGACTAGCCGCTCAGGTTTGTAAATAGGCGGTTATCGCTTTATTTCTAGTATTCATGCTCCAAAACAATATGCCACTCAAATTTCTTTCTCTGATCAAATTAGTGAATGGTCAAACAGCAGAATTGATTTATAAAAATAATGCCAAGTCTCAATTGAAAATGTCAACATGAAAAGGTCATAAGCACGAACAAAAAACCTCTCTTTAAAGTGAAGAGAGGACTATTCCATAACCTACAACTTTATTAACATTATTGCATAAATCGAGTTGTTCGCATTATCAACAAGCTTAGAAGAGGCTCTGTTTGCGTCAAAAAGTTTGACAGTGATTTGAAATATTTGGTCGAAAATTGCAAAATTCAATGCTGCTCAGCAATTTTCTCAAAATATCCTGAAATGGGAAACATTTGTCACAACTCGAGGTGGAATTATTATTATTATTTTTTGCCTTAATTATTTCAGTTGTTTCCAGGTTATTTCTCCTTATTACTATGTATAAAATGCCAATTTCTTGTTTCCGGTTTCATTTCTTATTTTTTTCTTCTCAATGTAGAGGCTCTGTTGACCTTAGTCACCAAAGCAAAATTCTTTCTCACTTTTGAGGAGTTGTTTTCAATAACCGCTGAAGAATATTCCTAACTTGATCAGACCTCTATTTGAAGATGGTTGTGAAGAACATACCTAATTTTGTTTTTCAAAAATACACTTATTCGCTCCCTATATTCATTACATGGCATCCATGACTCTCATACGTCAGTTTTTTGTTTGCATGTTTCTCTCTTATATAGTCTGTATTAATATCAGAAATTATGAACATTGATTTTCGAGTGTGTAATTAATTTGATACCATTAATTTCTTTCTTCAGGTTCTTGCAAAGCAGTCGGGGTTGGAATGGAAAGGTATCAAAAGGTTGGCTGCTGTCCAAGATTTATTAGGAATTGATTTGCCAAATATGATCAAACTAGTCTCTGAAAACCTACACGATTCACCATATCTGAAATCAGAGGTATGTGTATTTAAGTTGGTTTTTTTCTATATGTATTTTTTGGGAATGATATTTTATCCAACTGCCTTTAAATTTTTAATCGTTAATATACACAATGAGTGCCAAAATGTCTACTGTTCAGGGAGTTTATTTTCAAATAATTGCTAGAGCTGTATTTCTCTATTAATGGCAAAAGGAAAAAAAGTCCGCAACTTAAAATGAAAATCCGGGAATTAATTTAATAATGACAGTTTTGGCTTCAAAATAAGTTTCTATTTGAGATCATTTGAATCTCCCACTTCAAAAACGACCCAGCTTGGGTTTTTTACTCCTTTTTTACTCCTCCCCCCCCCCCCCCCCGCCAAAACACTCCTTCTGTAGCTGTCATGCAGTTTTTATCAAACCGTTGTTCCAAAACCGAGGTCGTTTTCAAACCGAAAGATTCATTTACAATCCAACGTTATTTTACTGAATTTTCAAATGATTTATTATTTTTTCCCCTAATTTTCTTTCTCTTGATCAATCGTCTTGGATATTCAGCTCTGTTAAATAAAATAAAAATAAACTTTAGTGGTGTATAACTCTCTAAGTGGTATAAACTTTAATGGACAAATAAACTGTATGGATGCTATATTGAAAGTGTTTGATATTAATAGTTTATATTATTTAGACAGTGTTTGAAAGTGTATTATTTCTCCTAAAGTGGAAATTTTTAATATTTTAGGTGTGCAAACTGTTGGAAGTTGATGAACAGGAATTAAATTCCGTTTCCTTGACTGAGAATACACTTGGGGTACAGGAATTCAAATTGAAGCAAAGGGCTATGCACGTCTTTAGTGGTACGTTCTCCTGAGATTCATTTTTCATTTATTTTACTTCATTCATTTGGATATTGCTCAATACGAGGTCTGTTAGATTAGAAACCGGATTTTGGTCATAACTACCCCACAATGCGTCTAAATTACGTTTTCTCGAGCTCTTCTGATAGCTGGAAATATACTTAAGAACGCTACGTTCACAGATTTTGTTTATTTTGATCAGTGTTTATTCTGTGTCATCTTGAATACGAGTAAGTCAGGTGCGTTTTGCGATTTTCATCATGCGATCACTGATAGAACAAAGATTCAACATTAAATTTTGTTTTAAACTCGGTATACTTTGTACCAAAACTTTTGGTATACGCTAAGTAAAGTTTACCATGATCATTGTATGGGATGTTCCCACTGTTTTGAATGAGTTAAACGATTCAAAACTGGTCAGGAGTTTGTCAAAGATGAGGAGCATGGGAATCGACCCTCAACGGCAACTGACATTTGTCACGTGGAAGAAATGCGGGCAAAAGTGCTCGAAAACGGTCGTTTCGAGCTTGTTGAACAGAGTAATATTTCTGAAGGCTCTGTACATACAATTTTGATAGAACATGTAGACACGCATCGAGTTTCAGGTACACTTGCCCCTTGATTGTTGTCCGTTGAACGATAATCCAACCAAATGTCAATTTCCCTTTAGCTGCTTGAACGTTCTAACAGTGATCCTACATTTTTGGATAGGATAATTTTCGGTGACAATATTTTAGTGTACGGCTACGATATGGAGACAAAACTCCAATCGTCCTTGTGGGTTGAAAAATGTAGTGCAAGACCGAAAAAAGAGAGACAAGTTCGGTGAAACATAAAAATCGCAAAACACCCTTGAGGTTGCCTTACTTCAAGCCACATACCAACGAAGCTCATTAGGATTTTTCAAACTTATGAACGTAGCGTTCTTAAGTACATTTCCAGCTATCAGAAAAGCTCAAGAAAACGTAATTTGGACGCATTGTGGGCTAGTTATGACCAAAATCCGGTTTCTAATCTAACAGACCTCGTATTCATGCTCATCAAACTCAGAGAAGTCCTTTCTTTTTTTTCTCTTTTTTTATGTATGACATAATTTTGAGACTTAAAACCTATGTAGACATAATGCAATTGCGAAGGGTAAAAAAGCACGCTTTCAATGGAGCATCAAAATTTCGTGTGTTTCTTTTATTTATTTTATTTTTAAGGGATTCTCTTGTTCTCATTTTTTTATTCTAATAATGTTTTACTTACATATTTCTTTTATATCATGTTTTCAATTTTTTTTTCTTTTAACACATTATATCCTTATTTCAAACCATGCCTGTAGTTGTTAAACTTGAGAAATTCCGAAGGTTGATTCCAAAAAAATTCTCATTTCCATGTACTTATTGATCATCAAAGGATTCCTTTTATACATCGGGGGTGTGGGTGAGGCTCGGGTGAGTAACAGTTGAATCTGTGAGAATGAAAGCTCACCAATGTGGAAACTTAAAAATTCCCAAATGTCATTTAAGATAAGGTACTTTCATAAAAGTCATTGAAGATGGCGCATCTACGCAAATTTGGGCCTTTAAAGTGTCCTAAAGTGCTTGTTTTTTGGCACCTAAAAGCTTTCTCTTGGACCAACTTCTTCACCCACAGCGCAATTTTTTGCGTCTTTTGAACATTTTTATTTTGCCGAATTGGTAAGTTTTCATTCTCGCTGATTTAGTTTACCCTTGCAATTGCCCTGTGCTAGTCATGAAATATTTTTATGAAAGTATATTTTGGTTCTGTTGCAGAGGCGCTTCGAGTTAAGCAATTCATCAGTACAAACAAACTAGAGGATGCTGGCAAACTGATGAACGAAAGTCATGAAAGTTTAAGGGACCTGTATGAATGCAGCCATCCTCAGCTGGATAAATTAGTGGATTTGTGTTGGAAGAGTGGTGCTCTGGGGGCTCGGCTAACTGGTGCCGGGTAAGTTCCAACTTGTTCGACTAAATGTGAAATTTTCCTCTACATTGTTCCTCACTCAGCACTTGAACTTGCACTATCCTGTATTTGTCCATCTTGTATTTTGACAACTCTGGATTCTGTGAGCAACTAAGTCAGCATTAAGACCAATGAATCACCATGAGGAAACCATCTGTTCCAGACTTGCAATGTGAGCCTCCACAGCAAGCTAAAAGGACTCCTGGCCCCTGGACATGCAGAAGTCGATTACCTTGTGCTTTACTCCCAATTCATTTCGCTAGCCACCTTTGGCTGACAGAGTCTTGCAATTTATCCAGGAAGAAACGAAATTTAATAATGATCGTGAAGTATAAAATTTATGAAGATAAAGTGGGAAAGACTTCATTTTTGAATTTTCCCAATTCAGCATCTCACTCTGATAGAATCAATTCTCCTTTGCATATTTAAATATTGGCAATGCTCCTCTCTAATCCTTGCATCATTTGAACTTATAAATCACTAATTTCAGGGGGAGGTGATCCTCTCTATGAAAGAGCCTCCTATAAAAAGGGCTTATTTTCGCCCCTTTTAAGGCAGTCGATTCGACTATCAAACTAAGGTTTAAGTAAAAGCTCATGATAACATAAAACTCAGGAAAAACTTTCAAGATGAGTATAGGAACAGTTTCCTAGGTACAGGGGGGCAAAAGAGCCAAAATCTTGCCTAATTCTTTGTCATTTTCTTGCTGAATTGATGTACCTACAGGGTTGTCATCGTTGTTTACACATGTCAAACGTATCGGTTCCCACCTATTTTTACGCTTAAAATCGATCTTCATCGTTGATAAGTGGATATATCGATAAGTTCTAGCGATTTCTTGGGATTTTCTATGGAAAATTGATGATTTTTCAGGATTGAAATTGGTTGTGTTCGATTCGTGAATGAATAAATGTACCTAACATGACTGTAGCACACCCCTGCCTGTGTATCAAAATGGAAAGCACCACCACGTTTTCATCCTTTTCGATAAATCTAAAGCCGGAAGAGAATCCGTCATCGAATACCTCTGCACCTGCGGGAGAGGATCAAGGACTGTGGGCTCTTGTAGCCACACCATAACCATCGTTTGGTTTTTGGGTTACGCTCAATAAGAGCATGTTAAGACCCCATCCTGGCATATGTGATGTATCAGTTACTATCCCAAAAAATAATGCAGAGCCTGCCAAAATGGACAAATGAGCACAGAAATGCCAAAAATGAAACATACATAATTTTTTGAAGAATATCTTTAAAAAGCTCATGAAAAAACTTAAAAAAATTGAAATCATAAAAAACAAAAAAACTAACAAATCCTTTTAAAAAAAAAAAAAAAAAAAAAACCTTGAATAATACTGTGGCATGGTGAAGGAGCTCAAGCATTCTTTTAATTCTTTTAAGGAGACAAACATTTTGCAACTAAATTTAAACGATTGCTTTCCCTTTCATCTCTATATCAACCTATTCAAACCCAAAAAAAACCATTGATTTTCCGAAAAAAATCGCAAGAACAGATCGATATATTGACTCGTCAACGTTGAAAATCGATTCTACGTGTTGAAAAGACAGAGAAATCGGTGTTGTGCTACAGTCATGTTAGGTGCCTTTATTCATTCACAAATCGAAAACAACCAATTTCAATCTTGAAAAATCATCAATTTTCCGTAAAAAATGGCAAGAAATCGCTAGAATCTATCGATATATTGACTCGTCAACATTGAAAATCAATTTAAGTGTAAAAACACGTAGAAATCGATACATTTGACTTGTGTAAACAACAATAAGAAGCCCGTAGGGACATCAATTCAGCAAGAAAACGACAAAGAATTATGCGAGATTTTGGCCCCTTTGCCCCCCTGTAACTCGAAACCGGTTCCTATACTCTATACAGTATATATATAGTATACAGGAAATTTTTTCCTGAGTTTTATGTCATCATAAACTTTTATTTAAACCTTAGTTTGATAGTTGAATCGACTGCCTAAAAAGGAACAAATTTTTTGGAGGCTCTTTAATGCAAAGCTCGTGCAATTCATTTGTTTGTATTTTTTGTTTCTAGATGGGGTGGCTGTGTAGTAGCTTTAGTCACAGTCGATAAAGTTGTGGAGTTCATAGAGAAAATAAAGAAAACATATTTTCTCAACACGATGAACTGCGATGAGAATCTGGACTCCCTCATTTTCTCCTCTAAACCAACGCATGGAGCTCGGATACTCGTCCTGGTGTAAAGAGTTTGTGAGCTGCTAGTTTAAGTTTGCTTCAAGTCAATTATTAACTAAGAATCAATGTGCCTGTACAAACTACTATCATTGTGTAAGTCATTTTTTTTAACTTTTTTTAAAAATTTGCATTCGGTCATTAGATTATGCATGTTTAATTTACGTTAAATGATTTCTTGTTAAGATTTTTATTCATACACTTGATAGTGTCAAAAAGTAGGTTTTTACACTCTCTCTAGTTATTTAGTTCTCAGCCAAGCAAGTACACTCTAAAAATACCGTTTGGCTCTTTGCATTTTGGAAGGAGCACCCATTTGGCAGCGTATTCACCCCGAAATAAGGGATGAGGATTGATTTGGGTAAGGTCTGAACCTCCCAAAAATACATGTCGCGATTTTGAAGGATTGTGCAGAAAAACTGGAGCAAATATTTAAATTGTGGTATGCAAATTTAAAATAAAGAGAATTTAGAATGAGATGTATGAAAGGAACTTGATAAGGTTAAAAGGGAGGGGATGTCAATAATGTGGAGGATTTTGCGCTTGGTTTGGGGGAAGCATCATAGAGGAGCTTGCAAAAAACAAATACTGGTATGCATAAACTGCAAGGCTAAGAAGGAAGAGCTGATCATTACATTTTTGACAAGTGCCTGGTGTTTATCAGAGGAAGGATTGGATGGTTGGAAGGATAAATTACTCAACATGAATTTAGGAATGATACAGGTAAACCTTAGAAGAAAGTAGGGAGTGCAGAATGAGATAAAGGAAAGGGCTGCATGAAAAGGCATCCAATTGGCAATGGCAGGAACCACATGTCAATGTTGAAACTGCAGAAATATGTATCTTGGCTTGCGGCGTCACAGACTTCCTGTCATACTTTATTTCCTACATGGAAAACCACTTAACATCATTTTTGGAAAATTTCAATGGTTTCTCCTCCCCATGTGAAGAAGATTCTTGAGGAAGAGAAAGAGGAAAATTTCAAGCCATGGTGTTGGTTTGGTCTCCTTTTAAAAAATCAAAGTGGGAGCGGAGGTTTTGAAACACTGCAATCGAGATATGCATATTTGAGGCCTTATCTGTAACAATGGCGGATGTGAAAAATTACCTTTTCGAAACACGTGTTTCGAAAAGGTAATTTTTCACATCCGCTATTGTTACATATAAGTCCTCATTTGCAGTTTTTTTTGTCAATATAAGAGCAAATGATGAACCACCTAAACCGTAAAGAGGGACAAAAATGCTTTACAACACAAGGAAAGGAAGAAACCTGAGAGCAGTTAGTCCGGTCATTGACGTATTCCACGAGGAAGGATAGAGCTAGTGATGATAAACATAATATGAAAATACTGATCATGAATACCTGCTTTACTGAAATGATGTTATCACTAAAATATGAAAATACTGATCATGAATACCTGCTTTACTGAAATGATGTTATCACTAAAATGCTTACTGTCATCTCCCTTGTCTGGAGTCAGATTCTCACTTATGATCTAAGAAGAGGGTTTTTCTTTTTTAATGTACCATTTTGAAAGTTGGCAGAAAATATTTAACACAAATATCTACTGCTTGGCCAATTTTGCGTGGCAAATTGTACATGCACTAAAATTTAGTAAAGAATTATGCCTTCCTTTTTGTAATAAAATCAATTAAAAACTTGCTATTTTGATTTTATCAAGAAGTCAAAAAACCGTAATAGTATTACTATAGGTAGGGTTTAAGCTACCTTTGAAGAGATAGTTTTAAATCGGTTAAAGAATTGGTCTTATTGTGATCTCAATAGTCAGCACAATTATTAGAATACCCTCCATTTCATTTATGGAGTAACGTCCAATAGAAAAGTATGTGGGTGAGATTTTCTGTACCTGGGGAACATATTCCCATTTGACCTGAGTTCCTTTAAGGGATACAAATTAATAAGCAGAATGTTAAACTTTAGTAGATCTTTGAATGCAATATCTAGTGATGTAAATTCTACTCACAAATGCCTGCATTTACTGCATGCATTTTGAATATTTTGGTAGTAGTCCCCTAATCACCTTTAACTCATGGCATTTTACTATTAACATACTAAAAATCATTGTATTGATTCATATTTCTGCTAATATGTATGCAATAAATTGAAAATTTGAGTCACACTCAAATCTCTTTTTTGTTAATTTTTTGGGCTATCTGATTCTGGAAAGTAATTTGGAAAATAAATAAACTAAAATAGAAGGCATGCCTGCAAAATAAGGCCTTGAAACTCATAACCTTAGGAAGAAAGATATTTTGGCAAAAAGGAAAAAGATCCTCTAAGCAGATGTTTTTAGCTTTCTGACAGTCTATCTGTCTTCAAAATTACACTTCTTGATCTTACAGAGTTACCAAACGTTTGGATATGTTTTGCGGATGAGTTGAAGGAAAGCTACCTGGCTGGTAAACATTAGCTTCCCCTCGTAGATTAACATTTTTTTAATAAAAATATGCTCTTTAAGGGCCAATACAAGATGCAAGTTCAATACCTCAAAATCAGGAAAAAAAGAATTATTTCTATAAGGAAAGTTTTGATAATATAGAGGTAAAGTACATGTTCTATGTGTTGATTATTGAAATTGATAGACAAAGGAATATTGGACTTATTGGAGCAATCCTATTGTCTGAGGCAGGTCGTTATCATAGACTAAGGGAGAAAATTATGGACCAGTTACAGGGTCTCTCGTGGGTTGTTGTTAATTAGTCCATTACTTACATCTTTTGCCCATGTCAACCACCCACTTCCACCTATAGGTTCGCTCCATTTTCTGTTTGTCTCCTTCGTCTATTGCTTTATCTATCAATTTCAATAATCAGCATCCTGGCCATGCCTGCTGACTAAAAAATTTTCTTTCTATCTCGAAGCTTGACTTGTAATTTTTGAAATACTCCTAAAAAGTATTAGGTTCAAGGACTCACCCTGTTTTTGGATGCCCCAAGTAGTTTTAAGTTCCCCCTCTTCCCCCTTCCTCCCTTCCCCCCTTCTCTCACAACCACCTGGGGATTTTATTTCTGCAATACCGGTCTATGTCTTAGTAACTTGGCTACTGCCTTAATTTTTTTCCTTCTCTTATCTTCGTAGAAAAATCTAGTCCTGACTGCCGTCCAATGCAGAAATACTTTTTTTTTTTTTAAGGGGGAGGAGCTAAACTTAGAATTTTGTAATGACAACTACACCCTGAACAGAGTTTGCGATAGAACTTGAAAAGAGGAAAATTTTCAGCAAACTACACTAGTCTCTTAGAATCCCTGTCATCGTTTCAAAATTTCAACATTATTGAGCCATTATTTTTGATGAGCGATTGATAAGAAGCTGCAGTTTTTGCCGTGATATTGCTATTTTCGTATCGTAGGATAATGGCAAAATCATGGAGTACATTGTCATTTGGGAATCTGATAGCTACCGAACACTGAAGGAATAAACAAAGTAGGAACAGAGATGTGCAACATGGCAATCGGAGACGCATTTTTATGCAGTGCCAGATTTGTCGGGCGTCCATCGATCAGGAGCGGTGCAACCTTGGATGCAGGTGAAGTAGTCACGAAAAGCGCCTTCAATCATTCGGATCTGCAACCCGGACATCCGTCGAACACGAATAGTCGTATTCAGGCGCCGTGTTGAACGCCGCATCTGCGCGCGGCTTCGAGATAGTTATCTGCGCGGTCGCTCATCTCTGTTTCCGTCCCACGTTTATGAAAATGAAACTTAATTAGGGTGTCTACAAGTCCGGAATAAGTACTGATTTTTCAAGGGTGGTCCGGAAGTACCGAAAAAGTGCAGAAATTTCGCAAGAAAGTCCGGAATTTTTTCATTTTTGTCGCTATTTGAGCGGGAAATTCAAATTTTTGAAATTTCGTCTGTTGAAGGTACTGAAAAAGTACTGCATTTTTCTGTCAAGTAGGTACTGAATTTCTTGAGAATGTACTAAAAAAGTACTGTAAAAGTAATGATTTTTGGCCAGCCTGTTTTAGTAGACAACCTGGTAATTTTCTACACTACTATTTAGTTAGGTAATAATGTTCATTTTTTTCTTAATATGAGCAAAATAAAATGCATGGTATCTAAGCTTGGGAAAGCTGGGAAATATCGGTATTTATCAGGAAATGAAAAATATCACACCCTAGCCCTAGACATGCTGACATGCTGTTGGACGTAAAAAGTTAGAAAACTCAAATTGGACTGCATTTTGCAATTATTACTACAATAACTGGACGTATTTCTATCAAACGGAACTAAGCGCCATAGGGGGAGGAAGGGAGAGGGGGGCTTGGATTGGCGGGTGTTGCGGAACGCGATGCTCGTTCCGTCCTATACTCGCAATGCTTTTCCATGGCGCTTAGTTCCGTTTGACAGAACGCGCTATCCGGGATTCTAAAATACTCAGAAGGAACTCAAATTGGCGCTCAGTTCCGCCGAACAGAAGAAAGTCCACTGACTCGTGCTAATAACAGCTGTGAGGGGCTTGGAAGACAAGGCGCATAGCAGGGCCGGATTAAGGGGATGGCCACATGGGCCGCGGCCCATGGCGGCAAATTTTGCAATCTTTTTGAATGTAGGTATCAAAAAATGAGAGAAAACAATCGGATTCAGAAAATAAATTACAAACGAGAAAAGGCGACAAAATCTCTCATTTCCTGAGAGTCAAAGTATAGTAATTTATAATTTTGTCGTATTTCGGTGATACAAGAGACAACATCGTTAATTAGTCGAGTTAAGAGAGAAACCAAACACGCAATTTGACCTGTAACGGAGCGTCGCGACGGTCGGCTTGAAACACATAGCGCCTACAAGACTACATGAATACTTCACGCATTGCGCCAAACAGTGTGGTCACTTGGTCAGCAGCGGTCGGCATGAAACGCATGGCGCCTACAAGACTGCATGAATACCTCACGCATTGCGCCAACACAAAGCGGTCGGCGCGGCGGTGGAAGTTAAAGTTTTTAACCACATTTATGTTTGTTCTTTCATAATCCTTTCGTTCTTTTTTATAAATGGAAGGCCCTGTCCAAACAGGGATGGGTTTATGGAACTGAACTTTTGTTAGTGTTGACAGGGCTTTTACAAAAAATGTGCCCAACACGAGTAAACGCATCTTATACACCCCTCCCCCATCGGCACGTTCACCTGATGGTTTTTATAGATCGTATTCGACAGATTACACAGGTGAGATAATATTGATATCGATTGGTTCAATGTAACCACAGCCTCAAAAGTCTGTTTAGAAATCTGAGGTAATGGGTCTTATGTGATCGAATTTTTATTCTCTCGAGTACCAAATGGCAATGAAAAGTGAAATTGTTAGGAATTTTCTCATTTTCAGCTTTTCCAAATAAATCCTAAAATTTTTGTTTGAGGTTATGTTCTATTGCTTTAAACCCAACGATACATCGAACCACTGTCGAATACGATCTATTGATGTTTCAAAACAAATGAGGAGGGGGCGGAAAAATACAGGCGGCCCATGGGCGGCATGTAGGTAAATCCGGCCCTGGCGCATAGTGCAGTTTTAGAAAAAGATCGAGATATTAATTATTTCAACTGAAACTAGTGTTGAAATATATTCTCTGTGTAAAATTCGCTCCCAAATTCCAATTTTTAAACATCAAAAAGTCAGTTTGAACTTTCTTTCCGCCATAAGGATTCATGTAATTTCGAAACTTCAAACACGTATCGCTCGAAATAGTAAAAACTGCACTTATGAGCCTTGTCCTCTAAGCCCCTCATGTACCTATGCCATAAGGGTTCCTATGCAGGTAAGTAATTTTATGGATGAGCTCGAAATGGTAGCTCCGAATTGCAAAATGTAGTCCAATTCAGGGGTTTGGAGGACAAGGTGCATAAGCGTAGTTTTTGCTATTTCGAGAAATGCGTCTTTAAAGTTTCAAAATTACATGGAGCCTAATGGCGGAGAGGAAGTTTAAACTTCCTTGTTAACGCTTTCAAGTTGGATTTTAGTCGTGAATTTTTCCCAGAAAATACTTTCAAATTAGTTTCAGCCGAGAGTTGATGAACATCTCAATTTTGTCGAAAACTGCACCCATGCGCCTTGTCCTCCAAGCCCCTCAATCGACCTATCCGTCTCGTGTCTCCGACGCCAACTTTTTTTTCTCACGGTTTTGAATTGGGATTCTTGATTTTTGGACGGCCCCGTAGCTATGATCTTCTCTTCCCGGAAGGACCCACTCCGAGACGAGAGCACCCTGTAGACCTGCGGAAGGTGTCGAAGCCATTGAACTTGATTCGCGGATCCGAAAAGATAAACTGGAGGATCGTTATCACAGGTCTGGGGCGATCATGTTGTGTCAAAAGAGTAGCGAGTCCATCCACCGCTTATCAGGTATCCGCGCCGGCCGCGCGTGGATCGGATCGGGCAGTCGCAAGTGTGGCCGCACGCACTTTGCCTCCCAGTTGTGTGCCATCTCCTCCGTTCACCATGTTACTCCCGCTTCGGAAATGGATCTTTTGCCTCTTACACGCTTCAAGTAGGTATCCCAAATTAATCTCTCGCTTCGCAAACGACCCATCGCCATTTCGGAAAAATTACATCTTCACGAGACGATAGAAACAACATCTTAACAGCCGCAAAAAGAGTCCTCCTACGCAAAGAAATGAATATCGTGAAATTCCCCAGTTGGGTCGTTTTCCAACTGAGAGATCCATAAGTCTCAGCTACTCTGAATTTCAAGTGCGTCTATTTATGCTGAAAGGAATCAAAGAAGGGTGGGGAAAAAGGAGTGTGCTCCTTAGTTGAGGGCCGTAAGAATGCATGGGGATTTTAAAGCGCCAGTGACGTCAGCGGCGACGACGGAGACGAATATCAGAGTCTTTAGCCCCCGAGTTATGAGCCCTGTCCACAACGCTCGCGTCACATGTCCACGGCTCCTTAGTGCCACATCTCTTGGTGCTTGCTTCCTTTTGATCCAATGTCAAATCCCACTTTTCCATTTGGACGTATTTCTGCCAAACGGAACTATGTGCATTGTGACGTGAGCCCTGTTGTGCATGTATTGTTATGGGTCTCAGGGCTCATGCCTTAATGCACATAGTTTCGTTTAGCAGAAATACTTACTTCCATTTCGTCAAAAGAAATCACGGCCACTTTTACATTCTTTCTTCTGCAGCTTGCTCGAGCATACTCCATCTTTCTCACGCGTCCCTAGTTCCTTTTAGCGTAAATACGTCCAGTTTCAAGTCTTCGGAGACCGCGTAGCGGCCAGGGGGCACAGCTCCCCAATATCTTCTACTGTCTCTCTCTCATAACCAGCCGAACGTATGCATTAAAAACTAAAGTATGCAATTTTAGACGATTTTTCGTCCAAACCGGACCATGATATCTTTCTTCGTTCGAGAGATATCAAGGTTCACAGGTTTTGACTTCCAACCCAAAATTGACAAAATGTATTGGAGGTCTGAAAATTTGGGGGGAAAAACGCTCAAGTGTGGGTAATCGTTAGACAAAGTTTGAAGAAATTCAAGAGAGGGGGGGGGGGGGAGCCGTTTTTGCATCAAGCTCTTTCGAGAGGAACTGCTTGTTAGTTTTCCCTCGAATGAACAAAGTATGAACTGAGATTTGCAACATAGCAATCGAAGATGCGCATTTTTCGACTTGAGTCATGGGAGTACAAAATTCATCGCGCGTCCGTCGATCGGGATCAGTGCAACTTGGATGCAGGTGTAGCAGTCACGAAAAGCGCCTTCAATTATTCGCATCTGCAACCCGGACATCCGTCGAACACGAATAGTTGCATTCAGGCGCCGTGTTGAACTCTGCATCTACGGCTTCAAGGAAGCACACAGAGCGGACGCCCCACTCTGTTCCGTTCCTCGTAAATGAAAATGAAACGTAGTTATCTGTATTATTATTTAATCATCCATACTCATTTTTGTTGGTCGCAATGAGCAAAATAAAAAGCATCGTGTCTGGACCTGGAAAAATACCGGGAAATACTAGCACTCGCCAAGGAATGCAAAATACCCGAGAAACTCGGAAGGATTTGCGTCTCACAATCAGCTCCAATCTAGCAGGTGTGAAACGTAAAAAAGTTAGGAAACCTCAATCGGACTGCATTTTACAATTAAGAACTGCAATTTCTGGCTCGTGTTAACAACATCATATCGATGGTGAAACTATCAGACCTCGTATCTCGCTTGCGATGTTTAAAAATCTCTTATCCGTTTTGTCTTTTGAAGGTGAACAAATCAATATCATTCCTTGAAGTTTTCACAGAGGTTTCTTCGACAGAGAAGAAAAATCACGGAGGTTTCAAGAATGGACGTACAGTTGTTTCCCATCTAAAAAATTAAGTATGACAGGAAGTCTACAACGTCTCAATCCGAGATAGGTACGCGGTTGGTAGTTTCACCGTCCTCGATCTTTCTTACCCGATGGACCACTTATAGTCCGTGTGGGCTGATTATTGAAATTGATAGACAAAGAAGACTTAGGGAGTATGGACCGATCCTATTGGTTGAAATGTGTGGTTCCCATAGACTAAGGGAGAAAATGATTGACTAACTGTCAGGTTTCTCGTGGGTTGCCTTTAGTTAGTCTATTACCTCCCTCCTTTGTTTATTACAATCAGCCGCTTCCACCAATATAATCCCTATACCTATCCCTTTTGTCTTCTTTGTCTATCAATTTCAATAATCGGCCTGCTGGCAATGACAGATCGACACATTCAAAGAAAAAATAAAATCCTATTTTTCCTAATAACATGAGCGAGACTAGGGCTAGGGGGGTCTGGCCTCCCCAGAAATCCACTCGGCCCCAATAGAGAAACGTGAGAGAGCTCGCTCAGTAAGTGCACGACATCTATTTTTCCGCGAGAAGAGCTCAAAATGCATTTTAATATGATTCAATTTTCAAAACTTCCCTGGGAAATAAGAACTCCCCCCCCCCCGAACCCCCTTAGAAGCTGGCAAAAGCCCCAAACCCATCTTCGGAGCTAGAGGAGTGTCTTTTAAAGCCCCGGGCGACCCCTTTGATTAGATAGGTACCCATCTGCTCCCACCCACAAAAAGTTCCTCTACCCATGTTTCCGTAAACTCTCTGTTGATCTTTTGACTTTTTTATGTTGTCAAAAGTATCTCCCCACGAGTAGAATCTCTCTACTCGTATTCTTCTTTCGATTATTATATTATAATAAAAACACCTTTTCCTCGTTTGTTTTCTTGCAGCTCTAGTTTCCCTGATTCATCTCGCCGAAATCCCTACGTCTTGTGGTCCCAACTGTGCATTTTTGAGAGCAGCCGAGTGTATATTCTTACAGCGCCCAACGTACGAATGTGATAGCAATGGTAAGTGCACAACCAGTTTTTTCACCCCTTCCATTGATTTTGGAATTCCATTATGACTTGGAATTATGTGGAAGAACTGAAAGTTCGATCATTCACGCCTTTCCGCTGGTATTTGGACCGCATTAAGCAGAAAGGAACCAAGACACATCAGCTATTGCCAAATTTAATCAGGCAATTTAATTTTTTACACATAAACGGCTGTGCGGATTTTCGCGCCCATTTCAGTGAATGTTCTGCATTGTACGAAGTATATTCCTTAAAATTTTCAGAGGAATCCGCAAAAACGTTCTCTTGTAGAAAATTAATCTGCCCAGTTTTTGGCAAAAGCTGATGTGGCTTGGTTCCTTTCTGCTAAGTAAATGCGGTTCATCTATGCTAAAAGGTTAATTGTGTGAAACATAGTTCTTTCCAGTATACATTCGTCGATATGTTCTTCGGTTTGATACTCAAATTGAAGCGAAAAAGCTCAAAAGTGATGTTCAAAAATTTGTCGTTCCTTTTTTGTGTTCAGTGGGTTTGTAATATTCAACTGGAGGCTTAGCTATTTTCAAAATAAAAATACAACAGAGAACAAAGCCGTGGTTGCATGTTGTTGTTCGTAGTTTAATGTGGTTCAAGTTTTGACTGATCGCCAACCCTCATTGCATTTTCCTCAAGAGTTGCGACCCTATCCATCAGACTGAAATAGTGAACCCCATCCAGCTACAGAAATTCGCCCGCATACATTTATCTTGCATGCCTATTAGAAACATTCAAATTGTGAAATAAGTAATTGCCCGAACATACATTGTCCTATTTTCCTAGATGCACACATCCCCTCATCCTTGTTGAAGTTACTGGATACTCTTCCTCAGAACATTAAGAACTTAATTCTCAATGGAAAATTTAAGATAGCCAATTCCAGCGATATGATGAGAGTCTCTCCAAGTCTGTTGAACCTGATACCGGTGAGTCCTTCTTTATTTTATTCTAATTTTTATTGTCCTGTTGGATGCAGTATCTGGGGGTTGCTGGCGGTTTGAAAAACTGGGAAAGTGAGGAAATTCGTGGCAACTGGGAAAAGTCAGGAAATTTCTGATACATCAACTAATCACTAAAACATATCATTGATCCTCCCACGTTTACCCTTTCTGGTCACTTCTAAGACTTGCCATATTTTAATCAGCTCCTCAATGCCTTTTTTCCTAATTTGACCTCTAACCAAGGAAATTTTGTCGAAAATTTGGCAAAATTTAGCATATTATAAAAAAAATACAAAGACAGAAAATTTTTTTGAAGGTTAGAAAAAGTCAGGGAAAATCAGGGAATTTGAGGATGTAGAAATTATAGCAACCCTGTTACTTTGATCTCCATTTTCTTTATTGTTCATCTCCCAATGCCGTTTTACGCAATTTGCAAAACACTGAAATAGTCTATATCCCTCAATTTAACATGTTTTAAAAGGCATTAAAATTCCTGTTTTTTGTGCTTGTGATATTTTTTCAGAAACGTCACCTGAATACTGTACTCTTGCTATTTAGTTAGTTTTTTATCTATTCTTTTTCTTTTCTGTTTTTAGACAAAGGTGGTACAGCTTAATGCAGAAATTGTATCTTCATACTTACGAGCTTATCCCTATGAATCTTTGGCAGCAACTAAACTGATCAGCTGTCTAAACTCATCAAGAGAAAGGAAAGCTTTTCTTGAAATTGTAAGTTGCTAAAGGTAACTCCTTTTTTCCTTCGCGTTTTGCATATTCCTCAGCTAGGTTTTACATAGGATCAAAATCGTATGTTTTCAACAGTTCAATCCATTTGAATGAAGTTTGCCCTAGGGCTGTAGCAAGAATTTTCCAAATTTTTCCTTATTTAATTGAATTATTCTTTATTTTGGTTTTTCTTGTGGAAGACTTTATGTATTTTGTTTTGCGTGATTTTCAAATGATTGAGGGTCAGTTGCCGGAGCATGTCTCATAATTACTTCCACCAGATCTACATTAATTAGTTGACAAGAAAAGAAAACACTAAAAATGTGGCCTATATACTTAAGTAACAGGATGATAAAATAGTGCTGGGTCCACACTATTCTGCAAGAAAGTCAAAGCCAAAAAATCAGTTGATACTCCTAAGTCCGATGTCTAGAGTTGGCTTGTTTATAATAGTATAACATGTGAGAAAGTGGCAATTTGCATCAGATTCCTTTTTGTTCTTCTGAGAGAGACCTGTCAGGCATACAACGTTGATGATTTTTTGCAATGATAAATAATATAGTCCATTACACGAACAAATAATATTTGAACTGTCTATTCGAATAATTATTTCTCTTTTTTACATTTTATCCTGAATCTTTAAAAAATTATTTTCACAAATTGATGACTCATTCATGAACACTCATAAAGTCATGTGACATTGTCCCCATTGATTGCGTTCGTCAAGTCGTTCAGATTTTAAAGTTATTTCTCTTTTTTTTTTCAGTGGAGCGGAGTTGAATCCAATTCAAAGATCGAAGATATTGTTGCATCAGCTCTAACAATCTGGAAAATAGACGCAGATTGGAATTTTTTAGATCTTGTTGATTCAAACTCAACAGTTTTGCTACACTTGCCGCCTGACTTTCTACTCACATTTGACACGAAGGGAGCTTCTGAATTGTAAGGTTTACCAGATTATTAGACTTGTATTCTCTGAATGATTTACTTTACCCTCCTTCCTTTTACTTCCGATTGAGGCATAATTAGAATGGTTTAAAAATAAGTGTACCAGGTTTGGTTATGATCTGATGATTCTAACCAAAGATCCATCAGAGATGCTTACAAACAATGTGCACCGCAGCAAAGCTGATCGTATTTATCTCATAAATTTATTTAATAAGGGAGATTGAATTAGCTAAAACCAATGTTCTATGTAAAAAGGGCCCTCAAACCACCTTTCTTTTAAGCTATTTCAAAACTGTCCATTGATACAAATCTTACTGTTTCTAGCCTTCCCTCTTATTTTGGACATATGTCACACTTACAAATGAAAGTGGTTGGAAAATTCTGATCCTTATTCGAATTTTGTCGTTTTGAGAACTTCAAATGCGTTTTTCTCAAAATATTGAATTTACATGAGAGCCCTTTTCATGTGTAATGCCTCAATTAAAATGTCTTTCTTATGGAGCTTTCCTAAAACGTTGGTGTACAAGTTTTGCAATCTGTCTGCATGAATTAATTTGAACTTGCAGAGTCCAAGGCTCTTTGAAATATGTATTCTTGATTTTGTAGTTCGTTGAAACAAGGTTTAAAGCCCCGCCCGAGTAAGTTTGTCTAAGGGTTGTATGACTCAAAAATTCTAAATTCATTGGAAGGAAATTTATGGAAAAAATATTTTTTTTTTATTTAGACTCAAAGAGAAGCCTATTTTTTCTGTAGGATAGGGTTTCCTTTTTTCATTAAAGATTCCAATTTTTCTGCTTCTTCTCTTTTAATTTTCTTTTTGGGGGAGGGGGGGGGGCAATTTTTCCCATCCCTATGGATCATTAATTTTACTCTTACACATCAAACTAAATGCTATTTAGTGAATATTTTAACGTTTGTCGACCTGTATCATGCGTTTTGTTTTTTCCAGCCTCTTCCACCTTGGATCAAAATTCAACTCAATATCCCATGCAAAAATGATGCGTATTTTGAGAAACCTATCATCAAAAAACCTGAAAGTCTTGCAAAGAGCTTGGGCTATTTTAGCAATGAGGGAGCTGCCGGATAAAATCAAATGGAACAAGTAATGCATTCAATTTGTATTTTCATGACTAGTTTCTGGTCGAGTTTTTAAATCATTCTTACGTATACACCGTTAACGATTAAGAATAAATATTCCATTTTGATTTGTCCAAAATCTTAACCAAGAGCTAGAAAATGGAAGGGTATCCAACTGTAGAAGAGAGTTCACTGGTGAAGTAATGCAGAACATTTGTTCGATATCCTGACTCATTAACATGTGAAAGAAAAAAATTGATTACAGATCTAAGGGGCTTCTTAGTAAGTTTGGAACGTTGAGAAATTGGTGAAAATTGAATTTTCTTTTTTAGTCAATGTGTTTTTCCAGCTAAAAGTTGTTCTGATTTTTCAGGTACAATTTTATTTTACCTGGTCTCACCTTAGACGAATTGAAAAATCTGGAAATAGATGAAGTAAAGCCAATTATAGCATACGATTTCAGCGTTGCGCAGGTGGGTATTTCATTAATTTTACGGTTAAATGAAGCTGCTATTGAACCTCTTTACTTCTTTATTGCTCTGTATAATTTTCGAATCAGTTCCTTGAGTTTTAAAGGAGAGTTCTAAATAAACTGGAATTTGTAAACACTGGTAGAGGAAGTAGATACTGTTTTGTCAAGAGCAAGTTCCACGAGGAAAAGTTGAAGGCTGTAAGTGACTCATCCAACTCTTACCCAGTGTGATGATATAACTGAATCATTCAAGTTTGAGATGTTGTACCCTGATGTTAAAAAACGATTGTAGTGGAGGAGTGGCCAAAGATACCAATCTACGTAATTTTATTAAAAATATTTTTTTATTTTAGTTAAAAGATTATTTAATCATACTCGTAACAATAACATACCTCTCTTTTGATTTTAACTAAGTAGTGTAAAGACTTTTGTCTTCAAGCTGAAATTGAATGTAAAGTGCCCTCTAGTGCCTTGAGGCGGCAGATTAGACAATTTAAGAAAACTGAGGGTATAGGGAAAACCTGATGGGAAGATTTTTTTTTTCATGTGTAAAATATTTTTAAACTTCAAAAGCTTTGATGTTCCATTCATGATGAGAGTGACTGTAAAGTGGGTATGAGCCGCCTATGTTGATGATTGTTCTGATTACAGATTCGAACAGTAGTCTCTAAAATAATAGTCCCATGGCACATCAACTTCAAGCAAGTAGCCCTGTGGGTTAAGTTCATGTCACCATCTCAAATCCAGAATTTGTGGCAGTTCAATTTCAAAGACCTCAAAATAATGGCGAATGAAACTGCATCGTATATCACTGCAAAACAGGTAAGTGCTTGATGAAAACCCCACTACACAACAAATTGGTTGCATTGAATGGCAAATGGCTCATCCAGAAAGTTCAAAATCCACTCCGAACTTCACAATTTGCTTAAGAAATGTTCACATTTTTGAGCTTCCCATTTCCGAATGTAAGTATTCTATGGCCAAGACATAATTTGATACAAACAGTTCACTGTAGTATTATAACTTCTTGCCGAAGTCAAAATGGCTGCCATCGTCTGTTGCAGTTTTTTTTTAATTAAAAACAAAAAATATAACTAAGGCCTTTTATCCAAGATCTCCACCTTCTCGTTTTTCAAGTCAAGTGTAAGAAGAAGAAGAAGTACCCTTTTGTTTGTTTTTAGTTGAGGAACTGTGGCTCACAGTCGAAGAATGCTGTGGAGAGGGGAGCATGGAAGAAAATAAATAAAAGAACCAATTGAATTTGTTAGTTATTTGCGTTTCAATTGCATTTCTCTTCCCCAGGAAAATTTTATTCTATGATTAATCAAAATTGGACTTTTTTATGCTAAAAGGAACTATATGCAAAGAGTTTGCGTCCAACATAGTTTCTTTTAGCATAAATACGTCCAATTGAAAATGTATTTATTTTATCCTTTATGCCTAGATACTTCTGTACCAGCTGTATCAACTAAATCAGAAATACGTCAAAGAAGGAAAGTATCCAAATCTAAACGGCTCTGCTGATCTCATCAAACTTGACGGTGGGTTTGTCGCCATTCTGCCATTGGCAATCATCGAACAGCTTTCTGCTTCCGATGTTCTCACCCTTGATTCTCTTCAAAAGATTGACAGCAGTTCTATGAGCCTATCAATGGTAATATTATTTCTCATTTTAGTGTACTCTCTGAAGGAAATACACTATTTATTTTCTTCCTCCTTTGCAAAACTATTTTGCCTCCATTTGTCATCAGAAATACAATTATTCAAATTAACTTGCTTTTAGAGCTTATTCAGTGATCACCTACCTTTCAATTTATATGAATTTCAGTCTTAATAGATCAATTTATGTATTCCATTGAAACACATTCTTCGAGGTTAACAGCAGTTAAATATTGATGGTAAACTGCAGTTATAAGCATCTCGGTTTTCAGTGCTGCAGATTTCCTATCACACTTTATTTTCTTTATGGGAAATTGCTAAATGTCATTTCTTGAAAATTTCGGCGATTTTTCTTCTCTGTAGGAAAATTATTCTGTGAAAGTTTTAAGCTGTGGTGTTAATTCAGTCTCTTTTTAAAAAACAAAACAGGAGCAGAAGTTTTGAAATACTGCAACCAAGAAACGCATTTTTGTAGTTTCACCATCAATATTTTACAACACTGACATTGACACAGAATGATTAAATTCAGGTCCAAAGAATTCAGCATCATAATGGAATAAGTTTTTCATATAAGGGTGTAAGTCTATTACATCATCTCTGAGTTGCCATGGACAGGTTATTTTTGAGCTTCAGAGAAAATCTACCTGAAAATTTTACTAAATACGGCTCCACTAGTAGGACTGCTAGTAGTATGATCCACTAGTTTCCACTAGTTCAAACTAGTGACACATAAAACACTGAAACATGGCCGTTGCAGAAAATTCTTAGTTTTTCTGTTTTCCCCCCCTCAATTTGCTCAGTTATCCATTCATAATAAAATAGACTGTTGGTGTCTATTTTGAGCTGTCAGATGGTTTATTACGCTTGTGCAAGAAACAGATTCCATTACTTGCATGCATTTTTAATGACGGATTGCATCTCGCAATATGCACGTTTGTCTTCGGAAAATCGGTCTTTTAGTGAATAGTTGAATGAATGTCGTAAATCTTTACACCGATTAATTAAAACTGGAAAAATCTGTAAATTTTATTAAAATCACGCAGCTTAAATAAAAAAATCATTGATTCAGACAATAAAGAATATCCTCTCTACCAATGATTTTCTAAAGATTAGTAAAACCACACTTTTATTTTGTTCTTATCCAGGCTTATTATTTAACAGATGAAAGTAGAGTCTTTAATTTGGGAGCACCCAGTAAGAAACTCACCGGTATCAGAGGCATGTTACGAGCGATCCCCACATCTCAAATAATGGCCATCAATGGAGAAATGTCATCAATTATTCTTCACCATTTGCTTCAAAATCTGCAAGGAGATAATGTATTGCGGAACTTAGAACTCCTGAAAAAATGCCGTTCATTTTTAGGTAACTACCTTTTTTTGGTTTACTCGTACGTTTATAATTGATTCAATTTACGTATTTGTCTCTTACGTATTATCTTATTGTCCTTCATTTCCATCTCTCCAAAAAGTATACCTTTTGAATTGCATACCAATAGCTCAAGTCGAAAAATGTGTATCTCAGATTCCCACATCCACTCATGTTTCATTTTTTAAGGAAAAACTAACCATCAGTCTCGTTTATAATTTTCTGTGAATTTTTCTTTCTCATTCTTAAAAATCTTAAAAAATTCAAGAAAACATTTTGATTATATTTCCGTGAAGAAAATGAATCTCATATTTTTTTGAATTTTGGAATTGAGGTACGTATTTTCCGAATTTAGCCTCTGATGCTTTACATCTAACTCATTCAAACAAATGCGCATGTTTGTTGTGCTATTACATAAATTTAACTCCTACATGAATCTGAAGAACCTAAGAAACTTGAAGGATTTCGTCAACCTTTATTTATAAGATGGTAAAATATATTTAAAGGACATTATTTAGGATTAATTTTGTTAATATTTTTTTATGAACACTCTTTTTCAGTGATTATGGCTAATAAGCAACTTTTTTCTTGCTGTTTTACAGGGAATGTTGACTATGTGCTGAAGTTCCTCCTGGAAAACAAAGATAAAAACATGTATTTCAGTCTCTTGTCTCCCAAAGATATAGCCCACATATCCTTGAGTTCAATCAATGACCTAGTCAAGGATAACTATGGTCAGCGCATTCAAGAGCTTCCATCGCATATCGTAAGGAATTTTCTGTCAGCTGTCATCAAATGCTTCTATTTTTAAAATGAAATCACATTGAAACAGCAGGTCTATACTGATTCAGGAGAAGATCCAATAATGATTCAGGAGATTTGAAAGAGAATTATTTTTTAATGGTATAGATAATTAGTCAGCCTTCTTTCAAACGTAAGGTTGTCAGACAAAAACTTATGGACAAGTATCAAAATCATTCCCTTTGCTTTTTGGAAATTGTTGGTGGTGTATTCATAATGGCAGCCAGGAAGTTCCTGTGTAAAATCTGCGGCTCCTGCTAAAATGAGGACTTTAAAAATTTGAAAAACGCTCATATTTCAAGATAATAGCATATGTCTTACCTTGTTTTTGTGCAATATCATCAACTGTAAAACTACAAAAATACGAATCTCAACTGCGTTGTCTTAAAATCTTCAGTCTAAAATAATCATAAAACAAAGCTAATAACCAAGGAAAGAAATTTTAAGTAGATCAGAATTGCTAAAAATGAAAAAACTCAAACTTTTCTATTTTGGGCCAAACTAATTAATGCAAGGGAAGTTCGAGTTTTTCCATTTTTAACGATGTCAATCTTAATCCTAAGTCCACTCTACCGTTCTAAGAAAATATTATGTACCAGACATTTGTTTTCAAAATTTCTGAAGAATACTCGTGGGAGTCCAGGAAGTAATAATCTTAAATTTCTTGCAATAATATTGATTGGTTATCCTGCAATAAATAAAAGAGTAGCAGAAAATGTGTGCAGTCGCGAATTGAGGCACATGGATGTATGTATGTATAGATTTTATCCTGCCTGTTTGTATATTTTCCTGCATGTTTTTATCTTTGTTTTCTGTTTAATTTATTTCAACAGTTGGCTGCGATCTTATCGAACAATTCACCAACATCCTGGACTTGGAATAACATGTTTAATAGTTCGAATGCTTTTGAATCTCTCCTGATGGGACTCAGTTGTAAAGAAATTCGTAAAATCGCAGACAGCGACTTCATCACCATAATTGGAAGATACAATGATGAGCGCATGAAAATTGGCAGAGTAAGAACTGAGGGAATTTCTCTTTTTGAATAAACTACCAGACAGGGCATGAAATAAAGCACTAAAACCTTGTTTTTCTGATCGAACTTTTACATACAATTCAACGATCTTATTGAAATTGACCAAATTCAACCTACCTAGGAGAAAATAGTAGTTCCAAATGTTATAATAAGAACTTGAAGTAGAGTTCCATCCTAAAATCTATGTCCTCAATTTTGTTTCTTGATCTGCCCAGGCCGAAGGTTGTAACTCAAATTTAATTTAACATCTTTACCGCTTCCTGTGTTGTATTGCCTCTATGCAATTATACCAACATCTCAATTTTCAGTTTTTTGGCACCCAGGTCGGCCAGATTTCTCTTTTCACAGGCCTAATATGCGTATTCATGATCAATCAATCATTTATAAACCTTACTCTTTGCTGACTAATTTCCAGATGCCTTGATCAGGTCTATTTATTTCCATCTTTTTCTTCCGATTGCAGGTATTCCCTAAAAATCTTCAACATTGTGGTCAGGCAGCCTTGATTAATTATTTACTCTTGAAATCCAATTTATACAATGAACCGGAGCTTATCGATCTATTGGAACCAAGTGACATTGAAGCTGTTGGTGGTACGTTCAGTTTTTTCAAATTATCTATCCCAATTTGAAAATATTACTCCGTAATGTGTTCAATATAATCCACACCACACAGTATAACTGCAATTGGACTGCATTTTGCAATTAGGAACTATAAATTCTGGCTCAGTATAAAAACAACCCATGAACCATTAGTTTCCTTATGCACGTAAGTGTTTTTTCAGATGAGCCATGATGAGACAACGTATATACCATTTATTTCCTCATGCACATAAGTGTTTTTACAGTTAAGCAGAAAAATTGTCGCTCCAAATTGCAAAATGTAGTCCTGGACTGCATTTTGTAATTAGGAACTACTATATCTGGCGCTATAGTAAAAGCACCTATTCACGTATGGAAAGTAATGGCACATTAATTTTGTTTCTTAAGCGGGCCAGAACTGTTAGTTCTATATTGCAAAATGTAGGCCAGTTGGACTAGATTTTGCAATTGGGAACTACAAATTCTGGGTCAGATTAGAAACAACGCATATACCATTTATTTCCTCATGCACCTAAGTGTTTTTACAGTTAAGCAAAAAAATTGTCGCTCCAAACTGAAAATGCAGTCCTATTCTGCTGTGCGGTTGGAATAGATGATGTATAAACCTTGGGATGTTCTTTGGCCATTCTTTAATGAAACATGAATGTTCCAGGAAAACTTATGAATATTTTTCCTCCAATTTTTAAGATAAGTCTCTTCGCAATTAATTCAGAAGTCGGTAAAAATTTCAAGGAATAATGTACACAAATTTTCTCAAAAATTAATATTTTAAGAGTGGGAATTTGGCAACGTCTGAATGTTCATACAGCATTTTTCTTTGGCAAAACAGAATTGGTAATGGATTTCAATGTATGTTTTCCTTGATCCAAATACCCTCCTGATTTCACTTTGAGTTATTCACAAGGGGTATCAGAAATTTCCCAGAGAATTTCTAACTCTTTCAACCCCCCAATATTTTAAACATTGTTGAAATTGTTTAGTTATGAGCTTGAGATAGTTATTCATTTTCCTGATTTCTTTTTGTTTATAATCTAATAGCCCAAAGTCTTTTTCTCTCAGTTCTTTTCATTAGATTCAAGTTCGTTTTTAGTCGTGCGGCGAAGCCGTATAGACTCTAGGTTTCGCTGGAGGCTAAAAAGTGTCCACACTTTTAGGCTAAGTCCAAGAGGAGAATTTTCGAGGAACCAAGTAACATATGAGGTATTGATATTGGTCCATTTTGGCCCAATGGAGATGTTACATGTGCGAGGAATTTGCAATTTGACTGTTGATTCTTGTATAAAAGTTCGCGAGGAACACAATGGTGCCATTGGTTTTCTCTGAAATCATCTTCCATGCTCAAAAAAACCTCTCAAGTTGAGGCCAAAATGGAGGGGATATCCCACCCTACCCTGATGGTCCACGTCTACATGAAGACAAACTCTCCATGCAAAGATAGGGAGCAAATACATTAGCAGGGTTGCTGTGTATTCAGTTTTGGAGTCCCCAGATAAATTGGTAGCCCTGTCAAAGTATTAGCTCCCTATCTTTGCATGGAGAATAGGTCTTGATCTAGGCTTTGACTCTCAGGGTAAGGTGGTATATTCCCTCCATTTTGGCCTTAACTTGAGTGCTTTTTTTGAGCTTGGGAGATGATTTCAGAGAAAACCAGCGGCACCATTGTGTTTCTCGTGACTTTTTACACAAGATTCAACAGTCAAATCGCAAATTCCTCACACATGCAACATCTCCATTATGCCAAATGGAATTTCTGATCATTTAGCCATGGTTTGGTAGCGTTTAGCAATCAACTGTGACTGTAATGTAAAGAACCCACACAGGTGCCTTTCGGCGGAATGTCGCCCTATGGCATTCTTTATCATCGAGTCACAGTTTAATAGCGTAAATAAGCAACCAATGGTGGCCAAAATGTCAAGACTCCAAACTGGTGATTTTTGGCTGAATTTTGCCCAATAGGATCTTTGATGATTTATCAGTAATGGTTGATGTTTATGTTGATTAATTATTACTGTCTGAAAGTGAATCCTGTGGGAGAATATTATAGGGTTGGTTCAAACAAGTTTTAGAATTTTTTTCCTTAGCGCTAATGGACCCTAAGGGACAACTTCAATTCATCGAACTAAAAGTTTTCAATGTTCATAACCATTTTTGAACTGTCGGAACTCACTAGACCACATTATATTCATGATGAATTTAAAGAATATCGCTGTCAAAAGTTGAGTTCTCCTTCAATTTAGCACTTTTTGTCATTACCTTAAAGACCATACGGAAAGTGCTAAATCTACGGAAAACTCAACTTTTCACAGCGATATTCTTCAAATTTATCATGAATATAATGTGGTCTAGTGAGTTCTGACATTTAAAAATGGGTATGAACATTTAAGGCTTTATTTTCCTTGAATTTAAGTGGTTTTTCAGGGTCTACGGTAAGAAAAAAAGTCTAAAACAAGTTAAAAGTTACTTGAACCTACCCTATAATGTTGAGCTATGACTTCAACTTTCATGAACCCTTACTTGTGCCTTTCAGCTTGATTTCGCTAAATGGAATTATTTATGATTGAAGTCGTGGTTGAGTTTACTATGCTGATAAAATATCATTGGAAAATTTAGGTTTCACCATCATAGTCTTCTACGAGGGCTGTCCCAAAAGAAACCGGACTTTTGTCATAGAAGGCGAACAGAGCGTCGTAATGAAGTTTTCTTGGGCTTGTTTGAAAGCTGATAAGCTACTAAAGATGCTTGTTTTTACAGAATGCAAACATTGGTCTTGGTAAGGAAACTACACGCTTTGGAATAAAGGAAAGTCAAACTCGAGTTTGGATTTTTGTCTTTATTTCAAGAAAAATTTAGATACAACTTAAAAAAAAAAACCAGGTTTTAAGTTAAAAACTTCGTTACTCTCTTATTCAAATGCTTAAAAATAAGGAAATCAACATTTTAAGCAGCTTACCAAGTCATCACCTATCCCCTTCAAAATATTCGCCAGCTTTGTCGATGCATTTTTGCCACCGTTTCTTCAATCGGGAGAAACACTGTTGAAAATCCGCAGGTTTGAATGATCGCAATTCCTTCAAGGTGAAACCGTCAACCGAGAATATTACAATGGTGTTCTGAGACGATTACGCGAAAATGTCCGCAGAAAAAGGCCCGAGCTTTGGAGAGAGAATTCCTGGTTTCTGCATCACGATAATGCACCTGCCCAAGCATCCCTCCAAATTCGCGAATTTTGTGCAAAGAATGCCATGAGTGTCCTCCCTCATCCCCTCTATTCACCTGAGTCACCTGACCTGGCTCCGTGTGATTTTTTCTTCACGACTTAAATCTACCTTGAAAGGTCGACGTTTTCAAACCATTCCGGAAATTCAAGAGAACACCTTGAAGGAATTGCGATCATTCAAACCTGAGGATTTCCAACAGTGTTTCTCCCAATTGAAGAAACGGTGGCAAAAATGCATCGACAAAGCTGGCGAGTATTTTGAAGGGGATAGGTGATGACTTGGTAAGCTGCTTAAAATGTTGATTTCCTTATTTTTAAGCATTTGAATAAGATTGCAACGAAGTTTTTAACTTAAAACCTGGGTTTTTTTAAAGTTGTATCTAAATTTTTCTTGAAATAAAGACAAAAATCGCAACTCGAGTTTGACTTTCCTTTATTCCAAAGCGTGTACTTAGTTTCCTTACCAAGACCAATGTTTGCATTCTGTAAAAACAAGCATCTTCAGTAGCTTATCAGCTTTCAAACAAGCCCAAGAAAACTTCATTACGACGCTCGGTTCGCCTTCTATGACAAAAGTCCGGTTTCTTTTGGGACAGCCCTCGTAAAAATAACCATCAGCATTACTGCACCAACCAAAATCTAGCCCAAAAAAAAAAAATAGTTCGGCTGAAAAAGTGGGAGAAGTTGGGATGTGCAGTCTCAAAATAAAAATACCTAGCTGTGATTGGACATAGCTTTGCTTTCATTGAGACTTTCAAATTTTATGAATAAAAAACAGTACGCATTTAGCAAAAACAGTTAGTTTTGTCCTTACCTGTAGACCATACAAAAAGAGCTAAATTGAAGGAGAACTTAGCTTTTGACAGCGATGCTCTTCAAATTTTTCATATACCTGTACAATGTGTTCTAGTGAGTTTGGATGGTAAAAATGGTCAGGAACATTTAAAGCTTTATTTTCCATGAATGTAAGTTGTCGTTCAGGATAGATTCTGACGACTAGATCCTTACTAGAGTAAGGAAAGAAAGTCTAAAATTGTTAAAAGTCACAGAAAAACGCGAAAAAAGAAAAAAGTCGGAAAAGGAAGTCAAATTTACATAACAATTAAATTAACATAAAAATTTCGTAAAAAGTATTGGAAATTACGAACAAATGTATTTACGTAAAAACTGTATTAAAAAGAAAGTTAATTTTAATTAAGAAAAATAATCTTGGTAAATCAATTTCTCACGTAAATTTGACTCAAAATTCATTTAAAAAACAGGGCCGGATTTACCTACTTGCCGCCCATGGGCCGGATTTACCTACTTGCTGCCTATGGGCCACCTGTATTTTGCCGCCCCCTTCTCATTCGTTTCGAAACATCAATATAAAACAACTTAATCGGCCCGAAACAGTAACAGAGAAACAACTTAAAACGGGACTAAGGACGCAAATAATAAAAAGAAACACATAAAATATAATAAGAAACCCGGGACGTTTCGCAGGGATCACACCCGCATTTTCAACCGGCAAAACAAGAAAAATTAAAAGAAAGGACACTATGCCCCTCACTACTAGCAAAAGTTCGCACGGAACTTTGCGTGAAAGTTAAGTTCCGTAAACCTATCTACATATGTGTGAACAAGGCCTTCCATTTGTAAGAAATGAAGGTAAAAATTACGCAAGAACAAACATAAATGTGGTTTAATAATATTAACTTCCGCCGCCGCGCCGCGCTGACCGCACTGTGTTTGGCGCAATGCGTGAAGTATTCCTACAGTCTTGTAGGCGCTATGCGTTTCACGCCGACCGCCGCACAGTGGATTGAGTCAATTAGAGGGGTCGGACATGAAATTTTTGACAAGAACTGCAAATGTTGATGTTTATTTCGTCACATTTTAAAGTTCAAGGGGTGATACTGGAAGAAAATATCACGAGAAAACCAGTGGAACAGCTTGCAGAACATTAGATTCTTGTATAAACGGAGTTATGAGCGTTTTAAGTTCCCAAATTTTTTCCGACCTCTCATTGACTCGATTCACCGTGCGCCGCGCTGAGGGCTTCTCCTTTCTATCTCAAGTCCTCATCATCACTGCTGCACCGCTCCATGCCAAATTGCGTGTTTAGTTTCTCTCTTAACTCGACTGATTAAAGGTGCTGTCTCTTGTGTCACCGAAAGACGCTTTCTCGTTTGTAATTTTTTTTTTTCTGAATCCGATTGTTTTTAAATCTACATTTTAAAAAAATGCAAAATTTGCCGCCCCCTGCGTTAAGAAATGAGAGAGAGATGCTGTACTCGATTATCTAATGCATCTGACGAGTTTTTCAATTCAAAAAGGAACGTATTACACTCCACAAATAAATCACGTTTGAAGCGCAAACCGGAAAAAACACGATTTGTCAAAAGTATTCATTAAGTATTGCACTTTCCACAGAAGCATATTGCACAAAAATGTCACTGTAACGACTTCCGGATATGGCTGCGACCAACTTAAGGCTCAAAATTTTGATTTGTTTGCTCCCTAAAAAAAATGGTCCATCTCTGTAACTGAGCTCACCAAAACTGACGATCCCAGGGTCACCGGCTGTCGTGGTCCCGGAGACATTTTTCAGGGTTGAAATCCTTCCTCTTATTTAATTGTTTTTTAAATAAACTTAGGCTAGGACACTATCCCTAAATAACAAACAGACCAATTTGGCTCCAATGCCTCGAGCTCTGCACGTGTAAACTTGAGTTTTTTGTTTTTATTACTCTCGCTTTTTATTACTTTCGTCGGTCTGCTCAGGGCCGAAGGGGGCCCTCCCTCCCCCCTTCCTCCTCTTACAGTCACGCTCCGGCGTGGCTGCAGCCGTTGCGCCGCGTCATTTTTGTGGGAACATTGACCAGCGTTTCGAGCCTTAAGGCTCAGTTCGGGTGCGATATTCTATCGTCTACGCGCCCCCCCCCCTCCCCCTCCCCTCCTAAAGACGCTCCGCGCCACCAGACTATCGATATTTTAGCCCAAAATATTGTATCGATATTTCAACGTTGATATATCGTCCGTATCCATACATTTATCTCCAGAAATATCGAATCGATTTTTCTTTCTTTCTCCTGCTGAGTTGTGTATTTTACACCTCGGAAAATCGGAAATTATGGTCAATTTTTCATAGTTCGAATTTCGGATTTCGCTGGCCAGGTTGTACAGACCTACGTCACAGGGTAAACAAACCTCAAGATGCAAATACCTCCTTGTTTTCTCTATGTAGGTATAGGACTTTTCGCGTGACTGCTCGACGGTTTGTTAATCTGTGGAGGTTAAGCTACATTCACGCGTCGCAAGCAACCTGGCGCGTCTGCTTCTTGCTACTGCGAGCGCGCCTTCATTTCCTCCTGCACGCAACAAGGACAACCGCGATGATAAAGAATTCCATTCGGCGAAATCGAGCCGAGAGCAGGCACCACGAGTATATACATATGGGTTATTTTAGTGATGGGTGGGATTTTATTTAAAATTCCTATGAATCCTAGGTATAGTATTTACTTTAGTAAACAATTATCATTTATTCCATCACTTCTTCGGATTATTTATTTTTAATCAATCTATATTCATGTGAAGTGTAGCTCATCTGCATTTTTCTTTCCCTGGAACCTAAATGTATATTATGAGTTTGAATCCATCAGAAACTAAGTCAGTCAAAATCAAATTTAACTACATACGAAGTGAAAACGATTTGTATTTCGCAAATCAAAGTGATAGTTAAAGCAACCAAACTGTGTCAGAAATGTTCCCAAATTACTAGGTAAGGCTTTTATCAGCTCATCATCTGATCCAATAATTTTAATTGTGGCATTTCATTCGGCATGTCGCCGCACGACTTCTATGATACTCAAAGTCTCACATATATAATTTGAAAGGGGGGGTCTGGGGGGGCGGCGCCCCCTCAGCAGGTAGCTTTTGCTACTTGTTGTTTCTGTCAATTCCCCGTAGTAGTTGATCTGCTGATCTAGTCTTTCAATCAGTATCAAGATTCTACAGCTCTGTCTGTTTTGCTCCTAGGTTATATTTTAGCATCCTTACCAGTCGAAGAAATATTGCAAGCTCAATATAGCGCTCACATCATTTCAGCCATTGGGCAATTGAGTTTACCAGAACTTATGCTTGCTGCCTCTCAAGATCATCTTAATACTCTGATGGATGAATATTTAAATAAGGTAATTGCTTTCTCGTTATTCGGCCTCTTTACAACTTTTATGAAAAACGTTTTTTATACCAATTCAGTGAGAAGGGCAAGCGATAGGTTTAAAAAAAGAAATTGGAAAAAAATTGAAGTTTCTCACCCAAACATGAGGGCAGGGGTGCAGAAACTTCTTTGCTCTCATATTTATCGTTTAGTCTGCCTTCAAATTCTGTCGCTTTTAGGAAATTGGCTCCTCCGTATGAACATAGCACACCTAAAGATTTCCTTCACATTTTCCAGTTGCCTCACCAAGTTCATTGGTGCATAAAAAAACACACAATCTTCACTCTCTGAAAAAATGAAATGCCATCTAGAATTGCCTCCATGAGTTTGATGATGACTCATTTTTCCTCCCAACCCACTTTTCGTATAATAAAATTATGGAAAAATCCATTCCTTTTTTCACTTTTCATCGTTTATCTAGCACTGCTGATCACTCAATATTTTTTTACCCTGGCAACATTTTTATGGGCCTCTGCCATCGGAGCGTGATTTTGAATTTCGCCCTGCTGGAAGTTTTGATTCGTTTGATCTACACTTCAGTTTGATTTCTGCTCCATCTTTCGCTTCGGTCGTCCGTGACAGCTCAGTGGTTACATTACATCACTTCACAATAGTTACACCACATTACTTCAACATTGTGTAGTGAACATACTTGTCGACTGTTTCACGCAGGCGTGTTTTGGCTTTGTCTTTTACCAAGTTCAGCTATTTTTATTAGATTAATTTTGCAATATTGCGTAACCAAAAAGAAAGCCTTTTTTAGCCGCCAGATTTCAAAAACCCCTCTTTACTTGCCATCATATTTTTTGCATGATCAGCTGCGATTTGAAGATCGTTTGATTGCATAAGTTCTGCAACCCTGCTTAAGGAAGTATTAGTCAAATCATTAATTTGAAAAAAGTTAAAACAGCACTCACTTATGAGCTTATTTTCCTGATCCATCAAAATTTTCAGAGGATATGATTTAGCACTTGGGTTGTTTTAAAAATGAAAGGTTCAGCCATCAAGTGGTCTACCTTTCAGGATGTATCAGGACTTGCAAAATTGCCTTCAATTTTTTTTTTTATTCTATTTGTATTGCCTATTGTATTGCCTTTTTTTTTATCTCATTTTAATTAATAGTTCATCCAAATTTTTTTGTTTCTAGGATCACAACCTAACAGACATTCTGAACCTTCGGAACCTCATTCATTTCATCCCTGCTTCTGCTCTTGTGAAAATCAATCCAATGGATTTGAAATACATGATCGAAAGCGGTATTATAGACAAAAGACTTTGTGGTGATTCAAGCACTCGAGAGGCCTGGTCAAGACTTTTAATCACCATATACGGGTAACTCTCCATTTGAATCGTTTTCTGTTAGACGGGCGCGAGTCCAAAAACTTATGAGCCCTGGCTGTCGTTGATCACGCAGGATGCTAGGACTCATGAGTTTTTGGACTTACGCCCGTCTGACAGAAACTGATTCATTTATATTTTCAACAAATGCTTCCTCAAAGGACCCCGCACACCTCTTATGGGAAGCTGCACCACGACCGATTGCCTTCTGACTTCTGTCATTCGATTCTCCTCAAGATGCTGATCAAAAGTTATATTTGCGCCAACTTTCTACGATGCACCGTTTTCGCAAAAAGACCTAAGAGAAGATTCAATTATTCGGCGACTATGAATAAAAAAGAACAAAGCATTTGAGGACAGGCCCGATGTAAATAAGGAAAAAACGTAGTGCGCGTCCGTCTTCTTATCTGTACCTGCCGACTCAGGGGCTATCTCCCTCCCGCACTCGCCCGGTATACGTTCAGATTTTCCTGTTCTTATGCTCCTCGAGAATCTGATTTGGATGGTTGAGCAAAACGGCGTGCGGAATCCGAGATAAGACTGCCGCTCGGTGCGGGAGTTCGCATGATTTCCTTGTTGACACACAGCTGCTTGTCAATCGGGCACTTAAATGAAGAATCTCTCTGGCTTTTTATCGCCGAATAATTGAATCTTTTTGCGATAACGGTGCATCGTAGAAAGTTGGCGCAAATATAACTTTTGATCAGCATCTTGAGGAGAATCGAATGACATAAGTCAGAAGGCAATCGGTCGTGGTGCAGCTTCCCATAAGAGGTGTGCGGGGTCCTTTCTTAAATTAAAGGCATTGACTGTTTTGTGCAGGTACCATTGGGTTTACTTGAACCTATGAAATGAAAAATATCAATGCACAAAATTAAATGTGCTTAATTATGTCCTTCACATGAATCAACAAGCGAAATTTTTCTTATTTTTGAAATTTCTCCGCAATTCTTATTCTTGCGTGCAAGATCATCTCCTGATATTTTTTGAACCACTAGAACAAATCTCAAATTTTCAATTTTTACTGGCGAAAAAAGTTTCAAGTGCTCTCACAAAATATTTCTTATCATCAACTGCGTCCAAAAAAAATCACAGGATCTCAATCTTGTGATCTAGCATTTTCTGGAGCTCTACTCTGTCAATTCTGTATTTGACAATTTTGGATGATTTTATGTTGCACAGTTCACCTTCAAAGTGGAATGCAAGTCAGTTAGAAACGGTAGGAGATTTGATGATAGCTTTCTCTTCAGATCGTTTGGATACGATTGATTCTGCTCAATGGCAGTTGCTGGCTGACATTGCTGTGACCAGGTACACGGATATTGTTGAGTGGCCGAAAACCTCAACATTTTATCAGGTAGTGATTACTTAACTATCAAGTACAACTTTTCCCATTAAAGTGAATGCTTTAAATTTGTCATCGTCAAACGTTTCAATGTGAATGCTTGATACGAGGGTATCCCAATAACACAGGTCTGCAGAAAAAGAAAAATTCTTTACAAAGTCTGGGGATTTGATGGATTTGTCCCATGCAATTTTCTCTCCTGAATTCGAAAATGGAAGATAGAGAACTAAGGTCATTTTCAGATTCAGCAGGCAAAAGCACCTAGGGTGATGCATTTCGCTTGACTAAAATATTCTCTAATACAAAGGTTTTTTCAGCGAATGGCATAATCCGTCTGTATACTCGTATATGTGTAAAGCTGATTCGTTTTATGTAAAACTGATGTTCTTTTTCCACTAATTTTTCAGCTGCAGTCATTTGAAGCTTCCTGTATTTCAGTGCATCTCTTAAATGTTTTAGATTCTCTTGTTGGTTTCGTTTTTAATTTGATCGGGTTTTTCTCTTTCTTTCTATTTTTCTTAGGCATGCATGTCAACCTTGATCAAATCTGAGCAAAAGCGTTATTTGGAGGCAGTCAAATCCCTAGCAAGGAAATACTTCACCGAAGTGCAGCGCATGGCCAGCTCAATTAAACTCAACACCAAAGATGACTCCATCGTATTGATCAAAACCAACAAGAGCTCCTCAGAAAACTTGCCAGTGCCGAAAATCATTTCTTTAGATGAAGGAGGAAGCTCCGCAGAAGATATGTACGAGATCTTCACTGAGGAACCTTCGACCAAGTCACATCAAGAAACTACTCCAAGTCCTCAGCAACTTCACCCAAAAGATACTTTGAAAATGAAATCAGTCTCAGTCAGTTCCTTTAAGAGCCCATCTGAAATAATTTCTACTAGCCGTACTAGTCCTGAGGACGCGAATGTTTTGTCATCCTCAACAAAATTCCACCCAGGAAATGTAAGCGGTGAGAACTACAACCCTCATCCTAGGATCAAATCACAGGAAGATTCTAATGAAGATCATGCTTCACAAACAAATACAGATTCAGAGGAAAATGGAGCAACATTATTCAAGTCACCTGGTTTTCCTTTGATAACAGAGGTCTCCACCGGCACCCCTCATCAACAAAATGAAACTCCAGGTACTAACTCTCTGCACCTTATTCCTCATGATCATGAGTTTTTACCCGAGTTTTCAGAGCCATCAACGGTTTCTCCAAGAGAAACGACAAATTATTTTTCGACGGAGGCTTCAAGATACGGTTCTGATGATACTGTTAGCACCTTGCGAATGTCTTTTCTTCCAGAGAATATTCTGTCAAAAGAAGATGAAGATAATGGCAATTTGCATGTGCATATAATTGAGCCAGAGATAATGGAAGATAACCCGATTCTTAAAAATCCCGATGAGATTAAGAAAGGGATTTCCATAGATTCAGATCGGTCCATTCTGTCCGAGATAGACACTGATGATTCGCGCCAAATGCAATCCTCTGTAGAGGATGATAAGTTAGAGGTCTCCTTCACTGATGCTAATGAAAAACCTGAGTCCAGCTCGACAGATGCACCGAATTTCTTTTTAGGGTTATTCAATGGTTTTACAACAAAGTCCACAATCTCTACGGAGGTCCTTTCAACTGATTCTACTGAAAGGCCAAAGTTAAACTTCGCAGATGGACCAAATTTTCTTTCAGGGTTATTAAATGGTTTCACGACCAAGTCTGTAATTTCTACGACGCCTGAATCAGTCAATGAAAATTCCTTGGAAACCGAGTTTGATTCTAACTTAGTATCTTCAACTACCACAGAGGGCACCGAATACGAATTGGGGGATACATTTAGCGCTCTTTTATTTGGGAAAGAGTTTACCGACCAAGCTGTAAAAGTCCGCAAAGGGTTGAAACAACTCATGGGTGTAGATAAGTCAAGGGAGTCACCAATTCCTTTCAATACTACAAACATGAAGGCTACTGATAGGATACTGCCTGTTCAGAGTGAAAATGAAGAACAAGGTGTTGAAAGTAATGTCAATTCGTCATCAGTTGAGGATGAGGTACATCAGTCAACAATAACTCCGATCTTGAGCGTGGAACCCATAAATGAGAGGACTCAAGCTGAAGCCACTGTCTTCAATGAAAACCCCTCTGCGGAAAGAAATTCCAAGCCACCAACTGACGTGATCTCCTCAACTGAGCCTCTAACTCAGCCCTCCGTAGTGTCTGAAAACATGGATCCCTTTGATTTTCTAGATTATAAAGCAGGAAAAATTATTTCACTGGACAATATCTCTGAAATGTTAGACTTGGATTACGATCATCCTCTGGCTGAAGTAATCGGGAAGGAAGGAATCAGCAGCTCAGAGGCTGACGCCAGATTTGCACGTTTTCGCAGGAATGCAGATCAACCTTCAAATAGCGTAAGTTTTCATTGCTTTCTAAAATTGTGCTCAATTAATTTTGATTTTTTTTTTTTGGTAAAATGTCTAAATTAATATCCAGTAAGTGTTTTTAGTGCACTGGCGTTCCCTTGTGAGGCAGACATTAAGGGGGAGGGGAGATAGTGGAGTGTGCAGACACAGACACAGTAATTATAATGCCCCCAACATCATAGCGTTTTTCTCATTTTAGAGATTCCTGAATTTATCTGGATGCTGGTTCCAACTTTAAAAAGCTAAACTGTAATGCCTTAATTTGAGATAGAAACAAAAGAGCGACGCCAAGAATGGCACATTTTGGGCCAGCGGGGATTTTTCTGAAACCGGGCCCAAACGATACCTTATGATACCCTAAAACTCTGGTAAAAATTTTAGCTTGAGTATACGCACGGTTTTTGAGAAATGAGGGGGCAAAGTTGCCAAATCGCCATCATTCTAGACAGCATTTCTACGGCAAAAAAACCGGAAAAATGGATGAAAAAGTTTCACCTTTGATGGGTTTCGGCTGTAAACGTTCTCATTGGGCCCCCAAGCATTTAACTGTGTTCAGTTTCAAAAATTTTGGTCGCACAGTGGTCCAAAATGGGGAGAAATCGTCGACAAATCAGGATTCTTTGTCAAATTTTTAGAAATGGAAGTAAAATTGTCGGTCTGCTGCAGTTTTCATGGCTAACAATGTTCTTATCGGTCCTCAATGCATGCAATTGTGTTCAGCTTCACAAATGTACATCACACAGTGGTCAAAAATGGGGGAATTAGTGGACAAATTAAGATCCTCTGTCAAACTTTTTAAAATGAAGTGAAACTGTTGGTCCCCAGTAGACTTCAGGTCCCGGCAAAATTATTTAATCTTTTTTTTTGACTATTTAAATATTTTTTATAATTTTTCCTCTCCATTTTTCCTTCTTTTTTTTAAATTTCTGAAAGTTTGCATATTTTATTGAGATAATGCTACGAAGTCTATTCTATAACAACGTTCTATAAACAATACGGTCTGACATGTAGTAATAATTGAAAAAATTAAAATCATGAATTTTTCCGGGATCTAAAGTCTACCGGGGACCAACAGTTTCACTTCATTTTAAAAAGTTTGACAGAGGATCTTAATTTGTCCACTAATTCCCCCATTTTTGACCACTGTGTGATGTACATTTGTGAAGCTGAACACAATTGCATGCATTGAGGACCGATAAGAACATTGTTAGCCATGAAAACTGCAGCAGACCGACAATTTTACTTCCATTTCTAAAAATTTGACAAAGAATCCTGATTTGTCGACGATTTCTCCCCATTTTGGACCACTGTGCGACCAAAATTTTTGAAACTGAACACAGTTAAATGCTTGGGGGCCCAATGAGAACGTTTACAGCCGAAACCCATCAAAGGTGAAACTTTTTCATCCATTTTTCCGGTTTTTTTGCCGTAGAAATGCTGTCTAGAATGATGGCGATTTGGCAACTTTGCCCCCTCATTTCTCAAAAACCGTGCGTATACTCAAGCTAAAATTTTTACCAGAGTGTTAGGGTATCATAAGGTATCGTTTGGGCCCGGTTTCAGAAAAATCCCCGCTGGCCCAAATTGTGCCAAAAAACGGTCGTTTTTGGCGTTGCTCTTTACAATGTTAGAAAGTAAGTATAGAACCCGAAATTTCGAGCTGTAATTTCAGAGCTAAAACCATGTGCATTGAATTTCAATTCGGGTGCAGACAATTTTTTTTATGTAATAAAAAGGTAAAGAAGGAAATATTTTTTTTGAACTATAACAAGCCATTTTTAAAAATAAGACTTGAATGAAGATATTTTACTTTTATATTTAAGATTTTAAGTAATATGTTCCCCAATGTGATTTTTTTTTTTTTTTTTACTTTTCTAAAAGTACCTTTACAATTGTATTTTTCAAGATATTGTCTGAATAATTAAGGTATTTTTACAGGGGTTCTGTGATTCAGTTAAAGTGCTTGGAGCATCTGCAGTACTAGCCGTACGAGATTTCGATTTGCACTCAGTCACGAATGATGAACTTCTAAATTGTGTGGAAGATCTGGGTAAATTAGACTTGCCACAGTCGATCAAAGAAATCATTTGGCAACGAGTAAAATCTGTGAGTATTTTACTTCTTTTTTCCATGTAATTCCATGTTCAGAAAAGCGAGGTATAAAATCTGAGGCAAAGACGTAAGCAGTCTCCTCTATCCTTTGATTAAAAAAATGGGAAGGAAAAGTTACCAAGAAAAAGTAATGTCTCTCCCAGGCATGCTTCTCTCAAGATCATCAGACAAGGTATGAATTTAAGCATTCTGATACATGTTTCTCAACCAGAATTTCACGTAAAGCACAGATCTAACATCTAAAATTACTGAAATTAACTCCCAACTAAGATATTAACGTTTTTATTTTACATTGGTTACGGGAGATTTAAGTCACTCGGTCATAAGAACCGCAATTCTCTACGTTAGTCAAATTGCGCCTTACAAGGATTTCGGGCGGATTTTTCAATCGAGCATTGTGCCTCTCCCACCCTTTATTGCTCAAAGGGTAAACAATTTGGTTTAGCTGAGCCAAAGCGTCAACAATTTGGTTTAGCTGAGCCAAAGCGTCAACAATTTGGTTTAGCTGAGCCAAAGCGTTAAGATTGAGGTTGCCATACACTGTGGAGACTGCCACGTCTAGTGTGCGATTTGACTCTCGTAGATCATTGAGTTTTCATGGGCAGGAAGTTTGAATGCACGCATCAAGAAACATTATATATACTAGCTGCTTCAGCTCGCTACGCTCGCTTGCGCCGCTAGCCGGGAGCAAGCCCCCTGGACCCCCAGTTACTCGCTCCGCGAGTAACTGTTGGCTCGCGAAGCGAGCCAAATTTTGCTACTACCAGTGCTTAGAGGACTTCCTGGAGGCAAAATGATAAATTCAAAAACAAAGAATAGGAAACTAAAAATTACCTACTTTATTATAAAAAGAAACAACCTTGAAAAATAAATAACACTCCTGGAAAAGAAAATCAGAACACTTTTTGAAAATGTAACGGTGCGAAAGGGTGAAGATAAATCACCAATTCTCTTGGAAGAAGACATGAGCCAACCCCCGACATGAGTGAAACTGCCGTAGGACCCATGCTAGGGTAGAAGGGTGACACGTGTTGTGAGCAGGTAGGGATGGGTTTACGTGGAGAGGGAAACGGAAAATCAGAGGGTGGGAGGTCCCCCAACCATATGACTCGTCCAGCGTCAAAAACGCAAATATGTCGTTATCAAATCGAGGTAAATTTTGCAACTTCGGTCGCGCAAATCGAAAAACGAAGGGGTCTTGGCACATCTAGACCCTATGAGCTTTCATTTAAAACAAATCCGAGGAAAATCGGTCCAGTAGTTTCCGAGATCGAATTAGCACAAACTGTCCAGCGGCAAAAACGCTAATATGTAGTTATCAAATCGAGGTAAATTTTGCAACGTCGGTCGCGCAAATCGAAAAACCAAGGGATGTTGGCACGTCTACAGCCTAAGAGCTTTAATTTAAAACAAATCCGAGGAAAATCGGTCCAGTAGTTTCCGAGATCGAATTAGCACAAACTGTCCAGCGTCAAAAATGCAAATATGTCGTTATCAAATCAAGGTAAATTTTGCAACGTCGGTCGCGGAAATCGAAAAACCAAAGGATATTGGCACGTCTACAGCGTAAGAGCTTTCATTTAAAACAAATCCGAGGAAAATCGGTCCAGTAGTTTCCGAGATCGAATTAGCACAAACTGTCCAGCGTCAAAAATGCAAATATGTCGTTATCAAATCGAGGTAAATTTTGCAACGTCGGTCGCGCAAACCGAAAAACCAAGGGATGTTGGCACGTCTACAGCGTAAGAGCTTTCATTTAAAACAAATCCGAGGAAAATCGGTCCAGTAGTTTCCGAGATCGAATTAGCACAAACTGTTGGAGGCCAAAAAAGGCCTTAGGATATTAAATATATATAGATTGGTAAGGAGCTAATTTCAGTAATTTTCGTTGTGCAAATCGTGTTCAAAGTGAAATTCTGGTTAAGAAACATGTATCAGAATGCTTAAATTCATACCTTGTCCAGAAGTCCATTGCAATTGTTTGAAGAAGGTACAAAGTTGTGGCTCTTACAAAAAAGGCGATTCCTGTTTCCAAATTAAGTTCAGCAAAGAAAGAATATTCCAGCACAATACACATTTTTATTTAACTAAATTGAAAGGAAGATATGAAACTAGAGCGCAGGAAGTTAGTAATCCTCCTGTTTTTCTTATGCATAGTATTTTCATTTCAACATGTCTTCATCTCTGTTTCTTGAGTACCATGATTTAGTGGTACCTTAGGGGAATTTTTAACAAAATTTGTGTGTTAATTTGATTTTTTCTGTCACATATATGTACTTCTGCAGGCTGATCATTGAAATTGATCGACAAAGCAGTAGACAAAAATACAAAGGGAAAATTGAGCGATCTTATTGGTAAGAGTGGGTGGTTGCAGTGAGCAAAGTAGGTAAATGATGGACTAACCGAAGGCAACCCACCAGGGACTCTTATTATCAGTCCATCGCTTTCCCCCTTTGTCTGTAACAACCACATTTTTCAACCAATAGGATCGCTCCATTTTCCCTTAGTCCTCTTTGTCCATAGCTTTGTCTATTAGTTTCAGTAATCAATATGCAATTCCCATCTAATAGAGATTAAAATTCTTGCATGCAAGAGCATGACTAGAAGTAAAGACGTGCCAGATTAGCATCAGAGTTGCCTCGGTCAAGGAATATGTACCGGGAAAACTGGGAAATGTGAGGAAAAATGAGGAAAGTGTCCGGGAAAAATTGTTAAGTCATTTTCATTTGCTTTCTAGAATGGGTTTGACGTTTCGAACAACAAATTTTGCTTGATAACTATTTCAAATTATGTCTTTTTAACCATCTGGCATATCTTCAATTGACAGAGAATTTCACCAAAATGTATCAGGGATATCAGTGGAATTCATCCTCTAAATTCTGTGACAATCCTAATATGATATGTGTAAGTCTCCATTCAATTTGGTCGAACTTGTGTCACTTTTCTAGTTGGAAGTCGTAGATATGGCCATTGGGACTTTAGCGGGGGCTTGGAAACTGGATGATGCTAACAACGTGTCTCTGAATATCAGTGAGGATTGGAATTTGGAAATAATTCATCTGCTCTCAAAGTACAATAAGGACAATTTGGTTGTAAGTTATATTCTCCTCCTTTTTTTAATATGTATGTTTGAAAAATACATGGGTTTCTGTGTTGATTACTTCAGTCATCTTCCCAGGGCAGAAATGTATTCATGGTAAGAGATCTTGCAAAATCTTGGCATTAGTACTTCAAGATAAGCTGTACGTTCTCGACAAATGTTCATCAGAAAATAATCCTGCAATTTTTCCCCGCTTCGGAAGAAAATTTTAAATTGAAGTACTTACTTTAAAAATTATTTGAGTGTTTAGTAAAACTACCACCTTGAAGGACCTATATACCCTTGAAATATTGGAATGGATTGTCCGGATTAGCCTAATTATGTCGGATGTTGCCTGATTTTCTCTGTTGTTATATTTTTTAAACAGAACTCAATTCTCTTATTGCAGTTTATCCAACCCATTGAGTTAGCTGCAATCACGGTTAGTGCTATCATTATTTGATTTCGTTTTAGGCAAGCGCTGTTGTTAAAAAGATGAAGAAGCAAATTTTCACGGGGGAATTAATCGGTGAAGTGCCAGAAGCCGTCATAGTGGCCATGGGACCTTTGCTTTGCCATTTGAATCCCAACGAACTACAGCTCATGTTCCAGACGCCGGGCACTTTCATGCATGTCATTCCAATCATCGGAAATATGATGAGAGATTGTGAAATGGAATGTCTCTCCAAATTCGCCAAATTGGCTGTTGCATTCATGGATACCCCAGACTTATGGACATCAGACATGGTTGCATTGCTTGGCCCGATACCCGCAGGTACAATATTTTTCTACATATTTTTCTCTTATTATTTATGGAGGTTTTCTCACATACCCCAGCCTTGTGCAATATACATTAAAATCCATTACATTACATTCATTTATGCGTGAAAATGTGAAAAGGCCTGAAAAATATGGAAAGGGAAATACTTTTATTTGTAGGATCAAAACTTTTATCTTACTCTGCAATTCAAGCTTATCATCAAAAACAATCAGAGCACCCTAAGTTTAGCTTTTGATATATTTTAGGGAAAAGAAATTGAAAGAAGAGTAAAAAATTGCAAAAAGGTCATCATCATTGAAAATGGAGAGGAATTTAGTTGAGGAGCGTCATGGAAAATATAAAAAGCCCCCAGGCGAACGAACGAAAATGTAGAAAGTCTCTACAGCCCTTCCTTAAACTGTTTTTAATTCTATTTCAGATAGATTACTAATTCATTTTCAGTGAAAATTGACAAACTTATGTTCGTTTTTTCCTTCATTTTTGAAGTTCAAGTCTTGATTCTTTTTTGTTCCAGGATTAGACGAGGATAATTGGAGACTTCTCGCCAGTCGTCCCCAGTCTGTCTCTGGCTTACGACCGAGTTCTTTGGAGTGCTTACCACAATCTTTCCTACAGGTATAATCTTTTTTTGTACATATTAAAAAAATCAATTATATTCTGAGGAAATGCATCTTGCAGGGTTTTAGAAAATGCCTCATTTATGATCTGTGGATTAAGGCAATCAGGAGGAAAATCTTGAATTGAAAGAAATTTTAACTTCTTGAAAATTACACTTTTAACAAAGAGGATCTGACAATTTAAAAGCGCTTCAAGATTATAAGGGAAAAGTGTAGAATTGCAAAAGAATGGTCAGCGCCTTAATACATTCTGGAAGCTTGCGGCTGAAAAATTAGCTCATCTTAACAGAGGCATCAAGAAGATATACCTTGCACTAGATTTTTCGTAAGTAATCAAATGTTAGAGGAGCAATTATATCCCAAGAAGATTACATTATTGTTGCCAACTTAAAAAAAAGTGCATAGTTCAAAGTCCGGTCCCTCCTAGTCCCTCCTGCAGGCCGATTATTGAAACTGAGAGACAAAGCTATAGACAAAAAAGACAAAAAGGAAATGGAGGAATCCTATTGGTGGAAGCGGGTGGTGGCAATGGACATAGGAGGTAGGTAATGGACTAACTGCAACCCACCAAAGACCCGACAGTTAGTCCATCATTTTCTTCCTTAGTCTATAGGAACCCACCATGTCAAACAATAGGATCGCTCCATAGTCCCTATGTCTTCTTTGCCTATCGCTTTGTCTATCAGTTTCAATAATCGGCCCACTGGTGTCCCATCACACCCGGTTCTCCCCTATACAGGTAGTAGACATCTATCTACCATATCCTTGTTGAATTGTGTCCCTCAAGGAAAATGCAGACAAGCCATCTGTACGTGTTGGGTTGCACCACAGAATAAATCAATTATCAAATAATGTTCCCATTAAAATTGAGGACTATGCCAGAAGAAAAGCATCTATAGAAGGTACAGCGTTCTGAGCCAAAACTGCATTTGAAAGTTAGAATCGGTGTCCCAAGAAACTTAGAGGACCGCTTGGTTAAACTAATGGCAATCCTTCTAACCAAGATTCTTAAGTTTCGAAATCCAACAATAGTATGGAAAAACAAATCAAAACAAATTAGAGGGTATTTTGAGGAATACTCCCCTTCGAGGCTATTTCCCTTCCTTTGGAATGGTTCTCAATTGGTCCATTCTGCTGCTTACCTGACTGACTCATTCCGCACAAGTTAGAGGGTCATATGAGAGTGGTTTCATAGCTCATAGTATTTTTCCTAATGTTTGATGAACCTTATTTTCTACCCTGTAAGTTTCTACTCCATAAAAAAAAGCTCCTAACTCTGTATATTTTTCAAACTGGATAAATCTTTTGTTTTAGATGATGGGAGTAGAAGCACTGGGAAGCATTTCTCCTTTAACGGCCAAAATTTTAACGGACAATCAGCTGAAATCGCTAGAGAAACAGAAAGCAGATGTCTTAATCAGTGTGAAAAATGAACAGTGGAGCCTTCGAAATATTTCTGCGCTACACAAACTGAACATTGATACGACTACAAAACCAAAAATTGAAGTCGACCTGAGTTCTAATTCGAATTCTGTCACTCCGTCCATTTTAATTGCTGTCTGTTTATCAGCTATTTTCTCGTCTTGGTGTTAATTGTCAAGTAAATGATTCTACTTAGGATGATTGGCAAAGTCATTAAATTTTTAAGCCCGTTTTGGTGAGCATTATTTGTCATGCTGCTCAATTGGAAATTATTTTATCCATTTTTTCTTGCGTTTTCTTCTTGTAATATTCTACATGTTTTATGGTGCAAAAAATGTAATGTCTTTTCAATAGAAAGGATCTTACAATGAAATATTCTTTTTATATACCTATGATGTCTGTGATATATTTTTCTCAACTCAGTATTATTATTGATTTTCGCCGTTTCTTTGGGAGTACCAAACATGTCACATTAGCTCAAGAAATTTAGTGGATGTTTCAGAGGCAACCAGGTGAAACTTTCCAAAATAGTATATGTCTCTTTTAGCCTAGTTTTGTGTTTGTTTTGAAGTGATGATAGTCTCTTTATGATTTAAGGGAAAATTGCGCATTTCAAAATCTCAAAGAAGAACTCATTGTCAAGATTTGTGATTGTTGATATCGATCTCTTCTTATTTTCCGTACAAAATTGAACATTTTTCAGAAAATTTATAGAATTAAATCTACACCCTTTCATACTTGTATGTCTCTTTGAAGATTTAAGTAAAAAAATATACTCATGTTGTTTAGTTACTTCCTAGCGTTTTGCTGATTTTCACTCCTGAGACTCCCTGGAGCCCTGAACTGAAAAACTCGAGTTTCTGACTGTTTTTGCAGATTCTCTCCATGGCCTAAATTGGCCGATATTGAGAACTAATAGGCTCATGGAGCATTTGAGACCAAAAAAAAACGATCTCTATGGGTCATTTAACAGGGAATTAGATAGGTTACAGCCCAATCGGTGAACTTTTGATTTTGATCCCAAAATTGTTGTCCGTCTAACCCCTGTCGATTATTTTTCCCGATTGTGGACGGGGAAACAAGTTTTGAGTCAACCAACTTATCCTAAGAAGTTTGAAGCAAAGAGTCGTTTGCGCAAGGTTCCAAGGTTTCCCAGGGTTTCCTGAGCTGAGTAACGAGTTTGTTTGACCGTTTTTCATTTTCTAAAATACTTTTATTCCGTACAAAAATGAACATTGTCCTGAAAACCCATAAAAATAGATAAATACTATTTCGCATTTTCAAATCTCTTTGAATTTTCAATGAAAAAAATACTCGTGTATGATGACTTTGTAACATGTTGTTGATTTTTACTCTGTTTTTTGTTGAATAATACTGCCCCCGAGAGGAGGACTACAATATTGGGACAAAGTTAACCGTAATAGAGATTTTGTGATGGAACATTAATGTATCAAAACAAAAAAATAAATTATGAATAAGTTACAAGCGTTTTGAAAAAGTTAAAAAATTTATTAAAATCTAGCTTTTTACATCCTACAAAATATAGTTTGTAGAAAGGCGTCATCAGCTTACCATACATTGCATTGCTTTGATACACACGACGATGGTATCAGGAGGAGATTGATACTTGACACCATAATGCGGCGACACCAATAGACTGAACACACTTGCTGCCTTAAAGCTAAATTGCATACATTTGGCAATGATTGTCCAAACTGACAAAGCTTGTTTTGATCCTGCCTGTCGAACTGTGGACCAAGATTGGCACTAGCTGGCAACAGGATCGAAACAAACCTGGCCAGCTCAACACATAGTTGCCATATTTAAAGAATATCACTCTGATTCCATAAACGTATTCCTTCTATTGGTGTGGCCTCATTGTTCTATGCTGATATGTGATATAAAAGGACACAAGAATCGAATATGATTGGCTCTTTGGGTTAAACCGTTTTGATTGATGTTTTGCTGCTGACACCTCTCTAGGAAGGTATATCGTCACCTTCCAGGCAAAGTATCACAAGCGCCATGCGACGTTTAAAAATTTCCGTATTTCTTTACTGAGAAATTGTTGGTTGAATCTGTTTGGAAATTTCACTAAATTTTATCGGCAGCACAAAGAAAATTCAGTGAAATTTTCGGACGGCTTCGTTGAACAATTTCTCTGTAAAAAAATAAAATGGCGACGGAAATTTTTAAACGTCGCATGGCGCTTGTGATACTTTGCATGGAAGGTGACGATATCATGATCCGTGATGCGAACCATGCTCATGTGATAACATTCAGGTACAATTTTTTATTTTCATTTATTTTTTTTTTCATAGGATCGATGCAATGTCTTGATCATGACCATTATCATTTGGCAAAGCGTTTCCCCAAACCTTTTTTTCCACCGGATGCTTGTTTCTCTATGCTACGATTACTAAGAAGTGGGTGAGGCTCTGGAATCACACCAAAAATGAAAGTCACACACTTTAGACGATTAATATTGGATTTTAAATATTAAGGAGAAATCTGAGCCACACTTTCAATATTTTATCAACATCTCAATGTCATGCAGTTAATTTAAACAAGAAATGACATCATATCTGTATCAATATTGTTGGACTGGTCGTCAGATCTATTCCACTTTATGCTGATTGCATGACCTTCAGATAATGACGGAAATAATAAAAGTGTGAACACTGAACAGGGAAAACAATAAAACTGAAAGCAAAATTGAACAAAACATCTTTTCAACAAAATTGAGAACATGCATTTTTTTGAACCCGAAAGATGAAGGAGAAACATGAACCGATTTAACCAGAATTAATCTACTAGCATTTGGCATTGCCTAATTTCTTCCCGTGTTTTATGTTTTAATGAAACAACTTCAGACTTTCTGCAAATTCTCTCGGAGCATGAAGAATTATACACACAAAATTTCAAGGCAGGATGTTCTTTGAATTTTTTTGAAAAGAAAAAGGAACATGAGAGCAACTTAGGCGCTGTCTGATATGATTAGGCAAATACATTAGCAGGGTTGCCATTTTGTTTGCAGACTCTAAAACTAGAACCACAATAATTCTGCTAATGTATCTGCTCCCTGTGTATGTGTGTGGAAAGTTTGACCAGATATAAAGGTGGACTCTTAACGCAGCGTGCACCATAGTGGCCTCAACTTTGAAAGTTTTTTTCTAGCTTAGGGGTTGATTTCAGAGAAAACCAGAGGTACCACTGTGTTTCTTCCGAACTTTTACACTGGAAATCGCATTTTAATTGCAAATTTCTTACACATGCAAGAACTCCATTTTTCATCACAACTCACTCATTTCTTTAGGAAAAATAGTTTTAAGAAACATACCGTCTACAGCACCTCCTTGAAGCTGGATGTCAAATGAGCGGAATTTAGCCTTTTTTGGTGGATTAGGATGAGTCGAGGCTCCAGGTTGGGGTACGATGGATGGGGTCTCTTCTGGGTCTTCTACCTCCGGGGCAATGGGTAAGAACATGAGAGCGTTATTTTCATCACTGGCCTCTTCGTCTGAGCTACATAACATGGCCACTGGTTCTACAGTTGTGACATCAACCTACAACAAAAACGATAGGAACCTAACATCACAGGGTGATTGCAAATTCTAGCTAAACTGTAGCACCACCTTATCGTTCCTTGATGCTGGTCTTCCAAGTTTGTAGTATCCCACACACAAACTAGGGGCTTAAAGAGGCTCATTGATGGAACTGCCCACTCAGCATAGAACCTTAATACAATCTTAGTATAATATTGCACATCTTACACATCAACATTGCAGCCATATTATATCCATCTTAGTAAGAATGAGGTAAGATTGCATCAATGTTGATGTGCTGCTGCCAGAGACTTGCCTGAACATTGTAACAACATTGATAGTAAGGTTGAAGTAACATTACAATAATCTTACATAATATTGATATGCCCCCGTCAACATTGTTATCAGGTTGACACTTCTTGACATCTCCTTGATTGCCGATCTATCAACCTTACATCAATGTTGATATTGTCAGTCTTATCCTGACAATACTGATTTAACATTCCATCCATATTAGTAACATTACATCAACATATGTCAGCAAATAACAATATTGCTTTAAGATATCATGCTGAGTGGGTTGTCGGCAGGACAATCTTAGGAGGTAACTGATTTGTTTAGAACACATCATAGATTAGATCTTGATTTTTTCAAAGAGTTCTGTGCAGAAATGGCTCAGAAATTAAAGAGTTGGTGTCACTTTGAGAGACCCAGTTGGTGCATGGGACAGGCGCTATGGATAAAGAATATGAAAAGCAATTAAAGCAATCCTATCAGTGGAAACGGGTGGTTGCAATGGATAGAGAATAGAATGGTAATTGATAGACCAACTAACAGCATCCAATGAGAGGCCGTATAAAAAGTCCATCATTTTCCCCCTTAGTCTATAAAAACCACCTCTTTTGGCCCATAGGCTTCCATTTTCTTGTGTCCTCTTTATCTATTGCTTGTCTATTAATTTTAATAGTGAGCCTGCTGGTAGAAGTGCAGAAACTCATCATCCTCCATCGGGTCGCGCGCAAAAAGAAGATTTGGAAATTGGAGGGCTCACTTGCCTCAGCATAAGAGCTCTTGCACAACTCATAGGTTTTTGTACTGCTACCTCTGCTACAAGTCAAAATATTTGATCAATTTTAAAATTTATTGCGTGAAGAAGGCACAGTCTAAAACTCATGAGCTGAGTTAGATATAATCAACAACGGACGTCAGGTCTATGGGCCGATTATTGAAAGATTAAAGCAGTCTGACAAGACATCAAAATGTGATGAATTTTATGGTTAAGATGGCTATGTCTTGTTTTGTCAGGCTGACAAAGTTTCAATAATCAGGCCTCTAGTGAGTTTATTTACATCCACCTTTTAGGCATGTCCTAATTCTATTTATTTTTGATTTTCAAATTAGTGGATTCACTTAGTCAAAAATTGTTTAGGTAGTGTATGTGACAATTATGATATGATTACCTCTAAATCTTCATCATGTTTCTCTGGGCCTTCAGTCACCGATTTGTCTTCATCGCTGACATCAAACTCTGACTCGCGCTCTTCATATTCAACATTTTCATCTAATTCTTTAAAATCCGGGGCAAATGCTGACCAGTTTTCTACCTGATTTTGTGCCCAAACAGATACGATCCCACTTGATATACTCGTAATAATGGGGCGTACAGGATGCCACTAGAATAAAAACAAAACAAAAATCCTGGTGTCAATTTGGAATGAAAAATAGACAATTATCAATACTTGTTATTCTTTTTGCAATTGCAGTGAGCAGATACAGCTTAGACGTTTGGGCAGAATTCATTAAAGGCTCATTGGTGGAGCCATCCAAATCACATCACAAAAAAAATGCTTTTTATTGAAAAAGGAAGAGGAATGGTTCAAACTCAGAGGGTAGTGGCAACCAGTAGAATGTACAATTCTACATCACAGCTAGTTGTCGCAAAAGCAGCATGAAGCAGTGTCTGCACCTTGCCATAGCCTCATTTTCATAGGCCGATACTGCCGTGCTATGGAAAAGCGCCGTATGAACATTCAAGAGTTGCCAAATTTCCCTGGATAAAACATGTATTTTTGAGGAAACTTATGCATATTTTCCTTTGAAATTCTCATACACTTCAGGTTAAGTTACGAACGAAATCCTCCGAAAAATCGGAAGAAAGATATTTGCAAATATTCCTGAAGATTCGTGATTTGGCAAAAGAAATTTGGCAGCCCCTGATGGCTCATACGGTGTTCTTCCATAGCACGGCAGGATAGGCCAGTGTACATTTCTATGCCACAACTAAATCTCAAGGTGGATGCCTCACCACCAATTTCCGTTTGTTGTTCATTGAAGGAAAGTTCTCAGCTACCACAACTAAAAGGCAAGCAGCTTCTTTGCCAAAAATATTTTGGACATATTCTAAATTCTGCAGAAAGCTCAAAATTAAATACTGCCTTAAAATTTCCTCTGTTTACAGCGCATGTTCCAATATTTCTTCCATTCGGTCATCCATCTGCTACTATTACTATTTCTTCTTTGCTTTGGGGGTATAAAGTTTGAACTTACTAATTTTCATTTGAACTGTAACTACCAACTTCTAGCTTATGTTTTAATTGCATTTGTAAGAAATTCAGAAGAGGAAACATGTTTGGGGATACACTTATTTTCATCAACTCCAGTGGTATGTTTGATTGAATTTCTTTCAGATAATATTACATGGAGGTAATGAGCAAGTGCGCATGCACAGAGTGCCACAGGTCCAAACTAAAAGTCGTAAAATATTTAAAGCGCTAGGTTATTTGCCTTTTCATGAAAATATTATGGTGAGAAAGGTGCATTTGACAAAAAATTCAAATATCACGTACACAGAAGACACACATGTTTACAAATAACGTTTTTTGCAACAACTGATTCTTAGAAAACCTTTAAAAACTTACGACGACGTCAAGTAAAAGCTCTCCTTTTGTCCCATGAAGTATCTTTACAAGATTACCGGTTGCTTTCTCCCAAATATACAATGCATGCTGCCTTGCAGACCCTGCGCACACATACTCTCCATCACCGGAAAAACAGCACTTTTTCCAAGTTGTTCTGACGAATTAAAACAAAAAATTTGAGCATAAGAACTCATAAGATATATTTTTTTTTTTTTTTTGGATGAAATGTGTTGTTTTACTGTTTCTGGTAAGACAATCTTAGACAATCAAGCATTGGGTCTATTTCTACTGAAATGCGACAAAAATAAAAAAACAGGAAGAAAAATCCAACATGAACATGTTGGAAAAGCAAGCCGAATAACTGAAATGTTGGACACATATCTACTATTTTCATGTCATTGCAATTTGTATCAATTGGTACATTTTGCTAAATTTGGGAGATGATATTGATTCAAGAACTTTGAAAGTAAATTAATTTTAAAGATTCCGTCCAATTATCTTGATTTTAAGCTGATATGCGGCAATTGCGCACGACCACGATTTTCGGCGAACTGCTGTACATCAGCTTAGTATCAAGATAATTGGGCGGAATTTTTGTGCGTTTTCATCATAATTTCGTACTGGAACTAAATTTCCATCGATTCGAATCAGCTGCCTAAAAAGCAAGTCATTTTTGGAGGGTTCTATGAGAAATTCCTTCAATTATCGGCTCTTAGGAAATCACCACATGGCTAAAATTGGTACCACAAGTGCTGGTGCTCGAGTGCTTAAAATAATCGTATTTAAGAAACTCAAGCATTCAACTTTCGAGTTTTTACTAACAGGATTTACTACCAAAGATTGAGCTATTATAACCCCAAAATACTTTTAAACTGCCTTTTTTTATCCAGGATCTCGACAGAATGTTTTTTGGCTAAAATGACTCAAGAGACACTGGAGTTCAAGAATCTACAGAGCTTTTGATTGTAGCAGATAAAACAATTCCAACTCATTGAGGCACATCGTGTATTCTATGGGGTACGCCTGCTATTCGACTCTTGCCTTCAGGTCAAAATTCTTAGAAGGAAGCCCCATGTAAAAGACCAATTTTGTTGTTGACCAATTTATTTGAATTGCTTGTAAAATTCTGAGGTGAATGATATTAATTATATTTAACATTCCTTATTTTTCCCTTTCTTTCATTTTTTAATTTTTTGCGTTGAGAAATCGCATTGAGTTGATCTCTTTGGATTTCAAACTGTAACTTCTCTTCTATTCAGCCGATTTTTACAAATGAGGTTTCTTTTTATTTGTAATTTAACAGAAAGTAAGGAAACATTTTCTAAATAGACAGAAAACCATTTTCGTGAAAATTTGGTGGATCCTAGCGTCACAGTGAATGGTTTATCGGGCGTGAAAGATAAGGTTTGACAGCAGCGAGGGTCGGCCTTTTGTTCTCAAGTTCGAAACCTGACCACCATAGCACTATCGGAAGATAACTGCAGTGGTTTGAGTGGATTTCTGTATGGGTCACGGTTAGCACATGGTATAATGAGTCACAAGGCTCATCACAGAGTGCACTTACAGCGCAAGAAGCTCATTGGCTAAAAAGTTGTGGCGGGAAAAAAGCTTCTAGATCTGAGTCGTTCTACAGTAGAAAAGCTTATATGAGGTATCTGTCAAATGAAATAATACGGTTTTGACAGGCAAATGTTCTCAAGGGTTTCCCCTGAGAAGTTTATTCGGTTTTTTGGCAAAGGCCCATCAGGGCTTGACAGTATAACGGTTCAAAGACAAAAAAACGGGTTCGAGGAAAAAAATATTTGGATGGCCCATTGACTAGCATGGGTTGATCGGTGTGCTGTATTATGGTAGAACCAAGTGATTTCAAAAAGCGAGCCCTACTGGCACGCTGAAAGAGGTTGTTAACTGTTTAAACAACACGAGATTTTATCTCAGCATCAGTTGGCTCGAAAATATTAAATACCATACCAAGTTGAGGCTAATTTCATTTGGAAAAAGATCTTTCCAGCAAATTTTTGCTCCACTTTATTTTGATTCTTTTCCATAACTTATGAATGATGAAACTGCAAAATAAAAAACCTTACTTGGTAATGATACAGTTTTCTTCTTCACATCAGATTTTTTTTTGTAGAGAAAGACTGATCATTATTGTCCAAAATATCGAGTAATTTTTATTGAACCTTTTAAAAAACCTTACTGGAAAGTCATACAAAAATTTGTAAATATACTTTCATAAAATGAAATAGGACCAAAAAATTTGAAATATGCAACTAAAATGTGCGTTTTACCACCAATACAATATCTACCCAAAAAAAAAAAAAAAGCTTCGCTCTGTTTAAAGCTTTGTTACTCAAAAATTGAACAGAGAAACTTACTTATTGACGAGATCTTGCAGTTTCTGAATGAATTCTGGTTCACCATCTTTCCCGGAAGTTAATACTTCTTGACTATTGTACACCCGAATAATTCTATCACCTGAGTTGACTAAAAAACAACTGAAAGAGATGCCAAGAAAGTGAGTTAATTGATGAAACAAAGATTATTCACAAGAGAAAATTGACATTTGCTTTACGGATTTTTGGAGTGACAAATATCATAAATAAAAAGTGCTCAAATGATGTTTGATGCAAAATAATCTGAAGAGCCATTTACAGCACAAATTGGCTCTCGGATATTTTCAAGTGGAGTTGAAGCTTAAAGGGAACGGCAACCCTAAAATCGAAAATGAGATAGTATTAAAAATTGAAGCGGGAAGGTATAAGAAGCAAAATGGCTGTCCCCTGAAAAATTCGCAAAATCGGCAGAGAAATGAAAGATTGTAAATCTGACTGGTGATGTCATGCGCTCATGGTGCGACTGCGCACACAACTCGAAGTCTGGCGCGTTCGCTGTCTGGCGCCGCGAAGTCACCTTAATAGTCACACCTAAGCAAAGAAAAAAGAGTCGGCCAGGAACGAGCGAGATCGGGGCGAACCAATAACTTGTCACGAACACACATCGGCCACTTGACGCCAGAGACAGAATGCAGAGTGCAGACTCCAAAATGCAAGACAGAGCTCATGACGTCACGCGCTCAGCTGTTTTTTTGCAATAGCGGCTCAACGAATGCAGATATTCGCAAACGGATTTCGGTAACGTTCATTGCACACTTTTCTTTGTTGATTTAACCAAACTTGTTTTTAAGGTTGCCGTCCCCTTCAAATCGGTGCAGAGCTTGTTAAAGATTGATGGTACATGCAGAAAATGCTACACAACAGAGTTTATTGTTGCACACTGCACAGTTAGTATACTGAGCTTCTGTATTAAAACTTTGCAATTGAAAGAATCATTCCTATGAAGCTCAAGTCTTGAAATTTGTCTTCGGTGTCTAGAATTTTTAAGCATGCTTATTCCCTGATTTTCCATTGATTTTAGGGGGCTCATCCCCTGACCGAGGTTTTCTCCCATTTCTCCGAATGTGCTGCGGAAAAACTACAGACTTTTCTCGAGTTTGACGTATGAGACTCGTTTTCTTTTTTCCATCCATCAGCCAATTCTTGGGGGCACACTAAAATTTTTAATTAAAAAAGTGTTCCTGTTGTTTGCATTATCTATTCAATAAGACATTCTCTATTATTCTGATGGTCTGAAGATTCAAATATGCCATTAAAGAGGTCAATGGCGGTTCAGGTGCAATAGCATCAACTCTGAGCGGCAGAGGAAGAGATTCCTGGTTCCTGGAACAGATTCGCTGATTTTTCTATGATTTTTCCTACAATTTTTTATTCCCTGACGTGTCCCGGTTTTTTCAGGTCTTCAACACCATTATTAAGCTCACTTGCAAGTCTGCAGATCGACATTGGAGATCTTGCCTTTGCCATAAGCAAAAAAAGAAAACCAAATGTACATAACAATTCATCCTCAAAAGATTAAAACAGAAATTACTTACTCGCCGCGGCGTGCGAATTCTATACTTTTGACTGCGCTTGTGCTAGCAGTCACCCGGAAAGATGCTTTTAACTCTAACTGAGGGACAGATAAAATGAGGATCTTCCCACGAGCATTACCAGTGTAAACGTACTGCCCACGACGATCAAACGATGCAACTATAGTTAAATCCGACTGAAAATAAAAATAAAATAATTATTGTTGATGAAAGGAGTGAAAATATTCAACATTATACTATTTTCAGAAAACCAATCATTTCCTAACATTCTTGTATTTCAGAAGAACTTATCAATTGGCATGAAGGGCTTTTAGACAATGTCTGAATTAGAAAAAATGTCACGTGTTTCGACTCTGGAATCTAACGTAGAAAATGATTCACAAATCGGTAGGTTCGGGAAAAAACTCAAGAATGAGATATTAACAAGTATTATCAACAAAGCTCAAATTGAAATTAGAATATACAAATCACATCATTAGAATTTTTGTCAATTAAGGAATGTTTATTGTGAGCACTTACATCCTATTAAAGAGTTGATTTCTACAATTCCCATTATAGAATTCGTTTACATAGTAAAATTTTGAAAAGAAAAAACGTTGCATAGTGCTTTAATTCTGACACTTTAATGCCAAAAAGCTATTAAAGACGTTGTAAATGATGTATCAAACAAACTAAAAGCTGAAAAATAAAATAATTCAGTGTATTCAACTACCTACATGATGTTCACACAACAAGCAATGTTGTCCATGTAGCCTCCTCTGTTCTGCTTTCTTTCTGTGTAATTGCAACCTCCAGTAGTATGACTGTTAATGCTTGAGTTCCCCTTTATGTTTGTCCTCACTTTTTTATTTACTTACTCTACTTACTTGATATCACTCACTCCTGATTAAAATTTCAAATTTATAATATATTTCTTCTAAGATGTAGTTCGATTACTTTATAGGATTTTTAGATTGCTTTGCAGTTTCTGCTTTTTTCTTTCATCTTCCGTTTTTGTTAAAATGTTTCCATATTTATACGGTTGCACTGAAGAAGACCCTAGTCTTTTGGGTCAAAACATCTGCTATAAAGAAATGTTTTTGCGAGTTGTACTTTCATCTTTTGCTTGCTGTATTACCATCATATATGTAATTGAATACACTGAATTATTATTTTATTTTTTGGCTTTTAGCTTGTTTGACACATCATTTATCAAGTCTTAAATTCTAACCTTGTCTAGAGATCCACTGTTTCAGTAGTCATACTCCCGCCATCATCTACTGTTTACCCACAAGCTACTGACTACTAATTACTTTTCCATGGTAAAAAATACAGACAATACAACAAACTCCATGAATACCAATCACACTCTACATTCATGGTTACTGAAGAGATCGAGATTACTATAGATCGTAGTTACTGAATTTGACCAAAGTAATGAATGAATCAATGCAATTTAAACTTTTGAAATAAAAAAGGTTAAAAAGTTTCAGGGTGGTTTATAAAATCAATATTTAAAAGCTCTGATATGAAACTAATCAGCATCTTTCCTCAGAAGAAAAAAATGAATTCAGAGAGAAAAAAACCTCTTACATCTTCATCCAGAGGAACAATTTGATGATCGCCATCCGAGTCGACCAAGACAGCAGCATGCCTCATTGGACATACAAGAAACATACGGTCATTTCGAGGATGGAACTGAACCTGCAAAACAAAAAAAGTATGTAAAGATGATATATACTATTAAAATCAAAATAATTTCAATAGAAGTTGATTTCCTTATTTACAGCCAACGGATTTTGGCTCAGTTGCTCCTATTAGACCTCAAAAAACAGCAAAATGCAAACGATTCTAACTACAGTTGCTGTTGATCGCCGCAGCACTGGGGCTTAAAACGCACCACAAAAATACATCCTTCACTGAAACTAGTTTGGCCTGGCGCATGCGACCAAAAAAAAAAATGGTCACTATGACCGCCTGGCTGTACACACATTAATTTTTATTGCAGTTTTCTAGATAGTTTCGGGGGTTCATTGATTTCATTATTGGCTCTTAAAATGCTTTCAAAAGTACTCATAATTTAAAGCTCTAACTAATGGTCACTAACTCGTTTAATACAAAACAAAACTGAAATAAGAGGACAGTTTCACTCAACACTGCAGATTTTAACTAGATTCTCGGAGAGACACTATTATCACTGGCTGATTGAGTCGGGGGCTGCTTCAAGAAGCATGAGGCTTGGCATTAGCAAATAATTAGGAATCTTTCATACTGCTAATTATTGAACTTACCCTCTCTCTATGGTAACACCCATTATGATAAATATATCTCTATAACAATGGCATTGTCTGATCCGCATGTTCATAGATTTTCATTGAGAGCCTCAAATTATAAAGAAAATTTTTCTTTTGCCTAAAATCGTACTGTCCATTGCCGATTGGTTACAGAGAGGGAGCAGTGTATCGAAAAACAGGAAAAAAGAAGGAGATGGTAAAGTTTTCAAACACTTACTTTCAGTATAGGTGATGGAAAGCGGTATTTTAACTCACACTCTCCAGAGAGAACATCCCAGATGCAAACATTATTGTCTGTTGAGGCACTTAGTATTTTGTGTCCATCTCGTGACCAACTGAACAAACAAAAAAATTCAATGAATTGTGCAGGAATCATTCCAGTAATTTAACACTATAACATCAGTAAATCCAAATTTTTCATAACCAATGCTAAATAAAAACGTTGAAATCTTAGTGGTGAGTTGGTTTTGGTAATTTTCATTGCTGAAATCGTGTTTTACGAAAAGTTCCAAAGAAGATACATACTTATATCAGAATACTTAAACTTGTGCCTTGTCTGGTGGTTCTATGCAACATTTAAAAGTCCTTAATTTTGTCTCATTTCCTTCAAAAAGAGCTAATCAATTTTTTTGTTGTACTAATTAAATATAATTTATTTTGAATGATGAATTGAAAACATTGACAAAAATTCCGATAGAAACTGTTGGTTAACTTCCCTTTGAAAAATGAAGAATGAACTAAGATTTACGTTACAATTCGAGTTATTCGTTTTTTGGATTTTAGCCATTGATATGAATTTACTTTTAGAGCATAGAAATGTCCTTGGGAAGGCTTGAGAATGTGAGATTTAAGCTAGATTTTCAGAGATTTGAATAGTGCATTGATAAAGTGGTTGATTTGAGCTATTAAAATTAGAAAGCCCATACATAAAGAAGGAGGAAGGACATTCTTATGTTTGAAGCTATTACTTACTGTATTGAGCAGACAGGATGTATGTGAGAGCTAATAATTTTGGCGATGCCTCGTGTTAAAAAATCCCAAATGACGATACGACCATCATTACACCCAACTGCAAGAAGAGTACCACGTTTGTTGAAAGCACAAGTTACTGCTAGGGAACTACTGTCTAGAATTCCATCAAATTCCTGAAAAAAAAAAAATTTCATGATTAAATTAGTCTTTTCATTCAGTCTATTTTGTAGCCATGCCAAACAGGTTTGCTTGCAAATTATCTGGGCGTTGCAGCGTTGGAGTTGACGTTAGAGAGAATTCAGTGTTTCAATATATTATCTTTTTTACGCGCACCGCTCACAAAATTATCTGGATTCAAAAAAGCTAATGCTAATACTTAAAAGCTCATTTCTTGAATCATGTACAAATATGTTGATGTGTTCAATTTCCTCTTGATATTTAAAAAGTAATGTTTATTTAAAACCTTAAATTTTACCTGGAATTATTAAATGGGCTATTGTAGATTATTTATTTTGTATGATTGAGAAAATTATGCTCAAATCTTGAATGTTTTGCGCAAACGGGGTTATTAAGTTATTAAAATTAAAAAACAACAATAACGATGAATATTTACCTCTGGGTAGTTTTGCCCAAACGATTCTGTAAAAAAAAATCAGAGTACATGAATACATTGTAATGGAAATTGGCTGCTGTGTATCCTATCACCCTTGTTGTTTATTTACTTTCAGGTCGCAGTTGGGATTCCTGACCATACTTGCAATACCTTCACTGAGTGAAGTGAATGTTTGAGTAATTTTTTTAAAATGAAATCATTTCTTTGTCATTTGAATCTTACAACTAGCATGTTGCAATTGATCCAAGTTGGATGAAACCCAGAGCTGGATTCAGGTTTTGCCGCCCGATGCCAAAAAAATGTTGCTCCCCCCTGATATACGGTGTGATATCTTACTGCAATGTGCACGAAATATAAGTTTCGGAAACACGGCAAAAGCGTAATCCGGTTCTGCAATTTAGTGAGAAGGATGCGCATTTGTGCAGAAAAGTGTTGCAAGCAAATATTTTAGGAGGAGGAAATGATTCTTCAAGGAATGAGGATTTGTGACAAAAAAAAGGCGAAAATGAAACAAAGTAAAAAATTAAATTAAATGATGATGCTGAAGTAAGAAACCTCATATCTCTGTTGCGGTGTTTCAGAATTTCCCCTTTTATTATGTTTTTTCAAAGAGAAACAAGCAAAATTTGTAGCTTGAGATTCATAATCTTACAAAACACTCTGAATACAGAATACAAATTTCAAGAGTTTTCAAGAAAATACACTGACTACTTTTCCATAGATTAAATAAAGTATCACAGGAAGTCTGCGGCGTCACAAATAGAGATTCATTGTTTCGCACTTTTGTCATTGATGTACTCATGTTTACAAAAAATTTACAGATTAATTTAGATGAGAAGAGAGAAAAAAATTGTGGGATAGAGAGTTTCACCGAGGCATTGAAAGCTCTAGAAATCTGCCCAACAGTTTTTCCATTTGTAATTTTTTTCTCTCTCTCCTCTCTTTTTCTAGATATAAAAAAAAATCCGAAATTTCCCACTCGGTTCTACGACACCGTTAGCCCTCCCCTAAATCTGGCTCTATTGAAACCATGCATTGTCTCCTCATGTGACGTCATAAACAGCAAGCTGATGAGAAATATTATTTTCACAACTTCAACATCTAACTTTTTTATCCTGTCCAAAAGCTATTTTAAGCTTTTTGTAGTTTGAATATGCTTTTCTCACTAAATTTTACTACAGAGATACCTAGTTCCAAGGCAATTCCTAAATCTTATGATAGCCGATTTGACAAGGAACATCCATATCAACAGTGAAACTGCATGAATGCATATTTTGTTGGCAGTGTTTCTAAAACCCTCCACCTATATCATTTTATCAAGAGGAAAGAAACCAAAAGTATTGCTTGAAATTTCCGTAGATCATTCTCCACAAGGTAAGGAAATATCAGAGAAGTTTTTGAAAAGTGATGCTGACTATTTCCTCATTTAAAGACTTTGATATGACGGAGCCTGCAACGATGCAAACCAAAACATGCACTCCTGCAGTTTCACCATCAATATGTATGTCACAGACCACTCAAAATATTCAAAATGAATTAGTTCGTATGGCTTCATTTATGCCAAAACCAGAACGATCAGACAGCAGAGGACACTTATCAGATGTGGACAAGTCGATGAAACTGCTTTGAACAGATAAGTGAACTCTAGTCGAATAAATGACGACAAAGGTAGGAATTTAAATATCATACCGAGAAGTTCTAAATTCATACTGAAAGAGCATCTAGAGGTACTGTCTCTGATTCATGGGCATTAGCAACAAAATCCGCAACAAACAAGCTCCGAACTTCCTGAGAGCGAACAGAGAAAAACGGTGGCAAATAGGATGTATCAACAGACAGATCAATTTAGTAATTTTAACTAACTACTATATTATGAACCGAAAAAATCGTTCAGTTTCACTGCAGAGAAATTTAGAGCCCAAAAAATGGGAAGAAAAGGTGGATTTTAAGAATTAATATAGCTCTTTTAACAGACAAAAATGTAAACAAACAATAAAAGGAAACGATTCGATAGTTCGATACTTAGATATCGATTGAAAGAATCGATCGGTCGAATCATCGATTTGAGGTCACGTGACTTTTTTGGCGGGCAGGTTTTAAAACAAGTTTGAAATGGATTCTAGACAGCCATTTCCACGATTAGTTCACTCAGAAAATCTCAACTAAACCATAGAGTTACTAACCTAATAATTTTCAAAAATGTCTGGTATTTGATAGACGATTTTAAAAGTAAACCCTTGGATTAAAAGCTAGATGTAACTGCAAATTCAGATGTTGGTTCTATTTGCGAAAATATGTACTTAATTTTAATCAAAAATACCCCCTTCCTCTCGTTTTTGAATGGTTTTGTCACTTTTTGAACTTTAAGTTCATATCAACAGGGAAACTATTAGACCCTACGATGATCTTTCATTTTCATGTTACAACATTTTCACTTCTTCATCATTTTTTCCGATCAAAAATTCATGGGTTGATGGAAACTATTGGATTTTCTTCTTTAAAATTAAAAGTGATAAGGAGTCTGAGGTCATAAACTAAAGGCCGCTCATGAAATGCGTAGGTAACCCTATGGGGGGGGGGGGGGGAGGGAAGGTCTGAGCCTGCGTTAGGTACAGGAGAGGGAGAACCAGGTGACAATTATTCATTGAAGTTCATCAAAATAATCCAATTTGAGATAGTTCTGTAAGTAATTTTTTTTTTCAGTGGGCGCAAGTATGTTACATGGGGGAGGTAAATAAAAATCATTCTACTGCATTTCATATTTTAAGAACTCATCCAAATACATTTTTGGGAATTTAAGTTGCTTCTTCCGGGAACTAAATTTTGTGAACAGCTGTTGGAGAATATACGGTTTGAAATTTATGCCTGCTTTGTCCTAAAATGTTCATGAGACACTCTTTTATGCTCTATCTTGCAGTCTGTCACATTCACTTGCCAACAAATGACTCAGAAACCAAATGACCTGGTGACCTAAAGGAAAGGTTGGGATAATACTGCTGGAGGTACAGTTAAAAAACAAAGAATATGATTGAGAGAGATTAATTTATTTCATCATCAGTGACTCCAAACCTGGGAAAAATCAAATGGAATCTTCCAATATTTGTCCATTGGTCTTACTTCCATTTAAAATTGAAAATCAGGTGAAGACAACCGGCTGCTGCAGCAGGAAAAACATGATGGGATTCAAAAATTACAATCAGATTTACAAAAGAAAAAAAAGTGACTAAACTAAACCTTTGGATAGACTTTAAAACTGAATAGCCACTGACACCTGGGGAAATCTCATTGAAATACCTGGTAAATGTAAAGTAGAAAGATACAAACAAGATACAACACAACAACACTAGATAAAACCATAATTTTGGGTTTCAGACTTTGTTTGCTGTTTTTTCTTGAGAAAAAGATATCAATTTCCTTTAATTTTTAAGTACAGGTAACTTAAGTGCTTCTGCACAATGATATAAATGAGTATTGAAAAGATATATTATCAGTTTTTTTTTTTTTTTTTTTTTTTTTTTTTTTTTTTTGCGGAAATATACAAACTGCAGAATTGATCAAATCACTTCAAGCTACAACATTTTCCCTCTTGCGGAGCAATAAAAGCGCTTTGTTTACGGACAGTCGCAAAATTGAAAAAATACTGCCATCAAGATATCAAAATTGCATGCAATCATACGCAAGAAAATTAAAATCATGAGTGCCCAAACTGGCAACTTTGAAGAGAATAAATTCACTCCCCAAGGGTGGACGGTAAATTCATAAAATTATCCTAATAAATTCATCAAAATTATCTCTGTAAAATTGGGTAGTCAGCAAGGATGCCTTCAATAGGGTTGTTAAAAAAGAGCCTGTTTTTCTTTAAAAATTAAGAGCTTAAAATAAAACAGAGACATGCTCCATGCTCTGTTAAAAGGGGAAAAATAAAAAGCAGAAGGGAGATTTTAAAACTGTACAAATTTCAAGCGAGAGCGACCAGAGGTTTTAAAAACTGTACAAGACAACAAGTAAAACAAACAAAAACAAACTTAAATTTTAAAATATTCAACAATCAATGACCAACTAATAAGATTGAAACAAAAATGTTTAAATGCTAAGACTGAAAATCAAGTGAGGAGAAAAGGATGATTAAAGACGACTTAAAATTCCAGGCTTCCTCACACATGCACGAGAGATCTCTGACACATTTTTTCTTCTTCTTCTTTATATGTTGTGTTCCAAAGTCAGATTCTAAAATCTACTTGCTGATAAAAATCATTTTGACTAGGAAATCCTTTAAATTACATTCTAACTCTAAAAAAGGAGGACAGTTCTAACACAGAAAATAAATCCACTACAGTTTATAACAAAAAAGGACGTGGATATTTTGTGTTGGTTTCTGTTCTTGAACATCCATGCATCAATTGTAGACTGGATAATGGATTGATATATTCCTACTACATATTGTTCCCGATGACGAAAGCTTGTCTTATATGCGATAAAAATGCTAACACAATGGTTGGCAGAAGTTGAAAGATGCTTTCATCAGATAATATAATAAAAACCTACGAGTTCTAGAGTCTTTGATAACAGAAAACCTCAACAATGATAAAACAGGAAACAGAGGTAATGAATGCAGCTGTAACATCACTGATTATAAACAAGAATACACAGAAAATACTGTGTTTCTGAAACAACTATCTAATGAGTAATAATTATATAAACTTTATAGATGAGCAGTACACTCTATGACAGCAACACGAATCATGTAGAGGATAAAATAAATGTTAAAATAAATGACTTGTGTTAAACACTCGATTCCAGGTCATTTGCGGCTGAATAGAGCGACATGCAGAAAAGCGTGATGCCGAATCCCTAAAGTTAAAAATTTGCACCGTTTGATGAGGATATTTGAATCTTCAGAACCGTGGATTATGTCATAGACACCAATAATTTATCTGTAAACAAAAGTTAAGACTTTAAGTGAGAGACTTCAGATAAACTTGAAAATTTAAGAGTTATTTCATTGTTCAGAGTTACAATGATATTATTCCACTCCTATCTCTCTTAGCTCTTAAATAAAATCTCATAATAGGGCAAAAGCAATGAATTTGTGCAGGGTCATAATGCAATTTCGTTGACTTAAGATTCCATGAAAAAATCAAAAAGTTCATTTTTATTCCCTTCAACAATCTTCCGACTTAAACGCACAATTAGGACGAAAATATTCTTCATAGGACTGCTACTGAGATGGAAAATACTGAGCTTTTCATATTTTTTTTTCTTTCTCAAGAAAAATCACAGAATTTTATACTGTGACTTTTTTTACTTTGATCAATTTTTCATCCCCCCCCCCCCANACCATATTAGGAGAACTGTTATTTTATTCAACAGTTCCTTTATCATACTACAATATAATGCATATCGACAGCATAAGTCTGCAATTACATATCTTGTTTACAGTGTCTGAAAATCTCCGCCTCTGTGTTATTTTCTTAAAGTAGGACAAATTGACATCATTCCTTGAAGTTTTTGCAGAATTTTCTTTGAAGAGAGAAGAAAAATCAAGGCAGTCTTAAAGAATTGCCATTGAATATTTTTCCGTTTAAAAAGTAAAGTATGACAGGAAGTCTACGACGTCGCAAACTGAGTTATGTGATTGCCGACTTACACCGTCGATATACATTGTCTTCATGGCGTTAATAGTAAAAGATGAGATAACTTACCCTGATTTGACAGTCAGCACGGATTGGAGCACTTATTGTTTGGGCCGAGATCTACATGACACAGTCCAAGGAGGCCAAGATTTTGGTTGATGTCCTTATTCACATTCCGGTTGTTTACAAGACATGTTTGAGGTTTATGAAATTTCGTTTTACCAAAAATGGGTACGCAGATTTTCCGCTGAAAATTAAGATAGCGCCCAATGATAGCGTGCCTTTTTGAACTATTCTTTTTGTGGTGGTGTATGCTAGGAGCATTTATATTGTCTTTCTCCACAGTGATCGATAGTCGATTCAAATTCAAATCATCAGGGACTTCAGCTTTTGGCGGGTTGAGAGGCGCTTCTGCTTCTTGAACTTCCGTGATTCGGTTCAACGACTGACTTTCACGTAATCGAGTCTCACAGCCTCGCCCTCGGCGTCTACCCCCAATGCAGTGTCTTCTACCATGGACAGTCCCAGAGCCGAAAGTGTTATCGTTTGAATCAGATTTACTACTGCTGTTGTTTTGACTGTTGCTACCATCATTAGGAGGATCTTGGAAGGGATTCTGAGGTCCATTGCCACCTGCTGAACCACCATTTCCCCCTGGATCTTGGAAGTCTCTCCGGTGTAATGACTTTGAGCTACTACGTTTTTTGCGACTCTCTGAATCCTCATCACTGGCATCAGATGAGCTGCATGAAGCTGTGCGTGCTTTGCGGAACTTGTTCCGTCTTTGCTCGTAGCCAACAAAAGTCCTCGTACTGGATTTGGGATTTGTCGGATTTGCTCCCTCCTCGTAGATCTCTTTGAGTCCGAGTTGCGGACTGCTCAGTGCCGAGGGGAGAGGCGAGGGAAGTGTTTTGACAGGTCTTTGTGGGATTTTTGATGTCAGAGGTTCGGGAGCAGTGCTTGCTTCTGTAATGATGCTTGTTGGGATAGCTTCTCGCCTGATCTCTTGCACAGCCAGATTAAGTTTCCCTTCTGAACGCGATCCTCGCCTCCCGAGCCCTGATTGATGCGAGCTGTCGTGGCTTGACGTTTCATCTTCGTCATCTTCCTCTTCAGCGACAATGCTGCACTTTCTTGTGCGCTGTAACAAAGCATCAAAACAGTGTTGATTAGTAAAACATAGCGTAAAATCAATTTGTACTACCAGATAGACTCCTTTAACTGATTAATACCTAGACATCGGAAAATTTCGCTTTTATTTTTCCCCGATTTCGCAGTTATTTTTCCCACATTTCGCTCTTATTTTTGCTGATTTTGCCGTTATTTTTGTAGCGCTTTTTGCGTTTTACAGCTTAAAATAAAGCTTTTATTTAACGAGCCATTGGTCAGTCTCTCTCTCTCTCTGATCCTATTTTACAGAAGAAGCACTTTATTCTTGATTAAAAAATATCTGTTGGTAACTTTTTAAAAGCTTTTTCTATCAATATGTACTCCTTTTTTTATTATTTTTAGTGACATCAATTAAATTTTAGTGAGATACTGATGTTAAAATTATTTGAGGTTACGTTTATGCCCCGGTTGCCGCCATTTCTTTCATCAGTATATTGATGCTATTGGCGAACGTTGATAGCTAGTAGCCAATGACGACCAATGCTCAGAAACAACTCCGTACTTCCTTATTTTGAAAAAAAGCGCAGCAACTTTCGTTTTGCACGCATACATTTGTAAATTTCACGAAAATGTACGGATTTTGCCAATTTCGCTTTATATTTTCATGATCAGGGGGTTACGATCAGTGCTTCTGTCTGGTTTTCAGATTCCTAAGCACATTTTAAAAATTTTGTGGCGAAATTTTCCAATGTCTATCAATACCATCTTAACATACCATTCACTGATGAAAAAAATTTTTGAAGGTTAGAATTTCTCTATCAATAACAAAAGTATTTCCATTTAACCCAAGAACTTACTAGGTATTTTGAAGAATCAATGTTTTTGCAACATAAATGTTTAAAATATGTAATGTTTTGAATAAATTTCTCATAATGTCGGATTTATCCTGAATAACAAGATTGCATAATTTGTATTAAAACTTTGAAATATTTAAAAACTCACACTTTCACTTGGAGATTATTTATTGGATGCGTTTCGGTGGCTACCCGGGCCACCATCAAAGTTTTAATACAACAGCTTTCACTGTTTTGTGAAAAATTTGATCGTTTTATTAAAATTGCATTACTTGTATCTGATTTACTTTCAGAAGTGTACGGCCATTATACTTGATAGCCGCATGGAGTTTTAAAAGTTCAATATGGAGTGTGTAATTTATTTATTTTGTGCATGACGACAGATCTTAACCAAACAGTAAGAGTTTAAAGTGCATACATTGATTTCTTCACTGAATGAGAATAGTAACAATTTCAACCTGCTGTGTACGTCTTACGTACTAGAAAACCCAATGCTCTTGACTAAGTGACTCTAACATACCATCCTGCTGAATGGTATGTTAAGATTGTATTGGCCTGATCCTTGTTATACAAATATGAGGACGTAATGGTCTCTTGGTTACATGGAGTGAAATCATTTAACACATATTCTTATGAGTAAATGAATAAAAAATTACGTAATCTGCAAAAGTGTGGCTACGGTATTAGAATTTCAACTTTCTGGAAAGAAATGGTTCGGCATAAATGCATATGAAAAATTGATCGATCAAGACATGATTACAACTATCACCTAAAATTTCATACATACAGTTAATAAAAAAGTAAAATCCAGCATTACCTGCACTTCACCAGGAGATCGTGACATTGATAAATAGTTTTGATTTACTCGATTTCTGGGTGCAGATTCAGCTTCTTGACAAGAGTCTACTCTCACTTCCGGCACAAGTACATTTCTTCTGAAAAATAATACAGGACTGATTTAAATTGGAGAAAGAAAGAATTCATACTATATACCATAAACTATGTACTAATTGGCAACTTCGTTTTTTCCTTTTTTGAGAGTTCACATTTTGAAAAAAAACTATTAGAGAATATCAGAATGTGATCTTTGGGAGATGGTGACTTGTTTTGTTGGCTTTATAGCGATCTTTTGATGAGCTATTGGTTTTGTCAAAAATTTAAAACGCCTTTGAATCAATCCATTTTTCAAATTATGGTTGACTGTATCACTCATCTCTACTTGGTAATATTCACAGTGAAACCTGTGTAAAATTTGCTAGACTCGAGGATTTGCACCCCATTTTTTATTCTTTTTTACTTCCCCAGCTGGCGTACAAGCTGTAGATCAGCTTAAAAAGTAAAACCACAGAAAGAATGCTTACATTATGGATTCAATAGGCCGAAACTTTAATGAGAAAAGAAATAAAATAAATACAACTGCAAAATTCCTGAGAAAACAGTTGAACGAAGGAGGGCAAGGAGAAACTAGACATAACAACAGTTAGTACCCGTGAGATGTTGATTTCTGAATAGCTTCCAGATGTGCTCGTAATTTCCGCTCAGTCAGGAGGAAATAAGTAGCCGTGATATGATTGTACTCATCTTTTTCCAATGCTCTACAAGGGAAAGAAAAAGAGACTTAGTGATAAATCTAATGAGATAATGATCCGTAAGCCTTACACCATTGTATTTTTGAAATTGACAGACAAAACTATAGATAAAGAAGAGAAAGGGAAAATGGAACTATCCTATAGGTTGAAATGGGTGGTTGCTGTAGACTAAGATGAAAATGAAGGGCCAACTACAGGGTCTCTTGTGAATTGCCGTCAGTTAGTCTATTACTTACCTTCTTTGTCAATTACAGCCACCGGTTTTCACCAATGGAGTTGCTTCAGTTTCTGTTTGTCTTATTTGTCTATTGCTTAGTCTACCAATACCAATGATCTTAACGCTGCAGAATGCATAGAAGGAGGATCATGATTTCACGGACGGATTCAAAGAGTAATCTTTTTCAACTTGCCTCTTGTCAAATTATAAATGTTTGCAGTTATGAGCTCTCAAAAATGACTTTGAAAATCATTCTCTTAAATTGTTATTGTAACATCACCATGTGAGTAGGGTCGTGTATGATCCAGGAGGAGCCTTAGCTTTGAAACGTGGCTGGAATTTTGGCAACTTTGAAAGTCAGTTTTTCAGCTATAATTTGATTCAATGAAAAACTGAAAAATGCAGGCATTCTCAAGTTTTTACATACTGTCTAAAAAGAATTTTAAAAAATTGCGGGACAGAACCATTCATTCCACAATTTACTTACTCTAGGATTTCTTCTTTGGTTGCTATTTTTCCATTGACCATTTTTTGAACGATAGCAGCATGCTCTTCATCACTGATATTCTGCCTTGAAATAAGGGGCACAGAGTAATCATCCATTTCTGCTTGGGCCAACCACGGATCAGCAGCTATTTCAGCTAGAGTTGCTCTTTTCTCAGGTTCTCGTTGCAGCATGCGAGAAATAAGTCTGTAAATACAGCAAAATCAGCATCAAGATGAGAGCGTAACCTTCACATATATTCTTTATTTTCAGCAATGTTCAGGAAATAAATAGATAAGCTTCAGCAGAAACATTTGATTTCTATTTGTTTGGACTGGGGTTTTCACTTTCAGGTAGCCTGTGAGAGAATTAGCGATAACGTGATCCGAGGGTTTTTGAGATCTAGTACAGAAAAAGGAAGGGTTGGCATTCCAACACCTTCAGACCTGATTTAAAAGATTGATACCTTGATATATTTTGTAAGCTACTTTTTTTTTAGTAAAAATAGGAATGACAATTTCTCAGTTGACTTGTTGCATTGCTTCAGTTTTTGTATTTCTGAGTTCCTGCAAGACTGCATCTCTGTGTTTTTCCATTCCTCTTTTTTGTCATCTTGCTTTAGTAATCACCAGAAACTGTGTGGAAATGTTTCATGGCCAGCTTTACAACAGTCAGCGAGAGATGCTGCTGAAAAATGACACTGAGGATGAGAAAAGCTAATTTTTTTACTTCCACTTAGTTTTTCAAATATTTCGATCTGATTTGGATATTTTTCAAAGAACAGTCCTAGTTTTACATTACATAGACTCTTAAAACTCATGCAAAAAATATCGAAGAACAAAAAACAGAAGTCGATTGGCCCTTCATTTAAAGCCTCTGTTTTTAGGGACAAGAGAGATGAGACACCACTTCTACCGGGAAAGTCCAACTGCCGTAATTATAATTTTTTATCTTCATATAGGAAGAACATAAAGTTTCCTGTCTTCTGATAGACACGCATTGAAGAGGTCAAGCATTTACACAAGAGCTACTTTGAAAGTCTCCTAGATTAAGTCTCAGTTTGGGAGATTACCTTGCGCATTCTTCAGAAACATGGTGAGGAACAGAGTATTTACAGTCCATAATCATAGTAAGTGTTTCACTATCATTGGCTTCTTGGAAAGGAGCTTGTCCACATACTAACATATACAAAATAACTCCAAGAGACCAGACATCTGAAAAAGGAAGAATACAAATTTTGTAAACAATTTCAGACGAGATGCATCCTAAATTTTACATATAATATCAGGGGAGCTTTCGTAACCTAGTTATTATAGCTTCAAGATTCAAGATATTAATTCATCAAACAGGATTAAAATTAGCCTCAGTTATTGACAACTCGAATAAACTCTTTTAAATTAATATCTTTCGGTTTTATGTGGTCCTCTCAATTTCCTCTTGGGATTTCACATAAGTACAAGAGTAAAAACTTTCTCAACATCCAAACACTCTCATTGCCTTTTCGACTGTGGATAATAAATGGCTTCTCAGATTTACCATTCTGACAATGCATTCATTCATTAGCAGATCTACTGATATGTACACAAACTTATTAGTCACACGCTAATATGAAGATGAATGCATCTAAATTTTCAACAGTGCACTTACCCACGGCTGGAGCATCATATGAGTCACCGAGTAAAATTTCTGGAGCTGAGTATGCCAATGAACCACATGATGTTTCAAGCTTTTGCCCAGGATTGAATCTATTACTGAACCTGGAAATGAAAAAAAAAAATAATTATCAGGAAATGGGATATGATGTACTGCACTCACAGTTGAGTATAAGTAACTAGGCAACAAATAATTTTCGCCCATCTCTAATCAAACTTGGCGACAAAAAGAGTGCTTGACTAACTAAATCAATGATTACTAAAAGGAGCTTTTTTACTTACTTACTAATGGCGCTACAGCCCGGGGTGGGCTTTGGCCTCCAAGACGGCGCTTCGGAGCCTTCTCCACTTTTTTAAATTTATTAGGGAAACAAAAAAAACTGTTCAGAAAATGAAAGGTTAGGAAAATGTGGACACTGAAGGTTTTATAATGGGTTTGTGGTAAGCAAGAGATACAGGTAAATAAATTCTAGGTGGCGGTAGCCACCCTGGCCCAATTCTAAAAAACTCCCCCTAAGAAGTTGATAATACTCTGTGCAAGTAAAATAGCACGAAAATCCTGTTGGGCACGTCAAAAATCCATTCCTTTGCGCGCAATCTGCGTAGTTTCTAACATGCTTTTTCAAGTTTTCCGCGTCTACGGGTAGTTTTATCTCAGTCACCGCCAACCAGGTTTGTACTGACAGGGGCCAGAAAAACTAGTCTAAGTAAACAAACGAGTTCACTAACTTTTTCTATAGTATGATTTCAATCGTTTTCAACCGTTTGTCTCCTTTTTCTTTCTTTATTTTGCAAAAACAAAAGCTTTGAATGAATTGAAATCTTAAGCAAGGAGAGTTTATTACAGTACGTATAAACCCTAGATTGTTTGTTTATATAGGTTAGGTCTCTCTCCGAGCAAACCTGACTGCTGGTCATCAAGAGAAACTGCCCGCATACGCAGTTAATTTTAAAAAAGTGTGTTACAAACTATGCAGATTGGACGCTAAGGAGTGGATTTCGGACTTATTGATGTGCCAAATGCAATTTTCGAGCGAATTTGCTGAGAGAAAGTAAATTTAGTTGGCTATATCTCTTGCAGGCATCAGACTCATTTGTCTGTGGTGATAATGAAAAACTCAGAAGCAAAACCAAACATCTGGATAAATACTTAAGCTGAGGAGAGGGAAAAGATTCAAGTGGAGATGGGCCATTCTCAAAATTACTAGCGACTGTTATTTATGCTTAATCCTAAAATTGTAGCATAAGGATAAGAATTTTTTAACTTATGAGCATTTTTCCCTTAAAAATATCATCTCAGTGTATACAAATTGACAGAAGAGCACAAAGTATTATGTGAGAAAACCTGCAACAAGTTGTGTTACAAAGGCAATGATATTATCACTAGCTTGTGGTTAGTGGACCCATCAGCTGTTTGCAGTCTACCAAGAGGTAAATGCCTATCGCCTACCTCCAGCTTTTACTGTTTCCTTTAATCAGGGTGTCTACTGGTACCCTGTCATTCAAATTCTTTGCTTTTTCCTTACTTTCCTGAAAATTCCTTTCTTGGCAATTCTCAAATATTCTTGCTTTTTCCTTACCTTTTCTTTACCTCACAGACATTATTAACTATTTTCGGATTGGGAGAGTAAAATGATAGAATGACGAAGGAATAAACCGAAAAACACAAGGATTCAAACTGGGATGTTGATAAATGGATGATTTTAGAAAATCGCATACCCCCAAGGCTACGTACTTCAGTTTGTCACAAAAATCTCGAATTTCCATACCTTTTAGCCGAAAATCCGTACCGACCTTCTGAAATCCGTGCTTTTTCGGTGTATCCATACTTTTTCCGTACAGGAGACACCCTGTTTTGTTACGAAGGCAATGGTATCATCACTCACTTATGGTTACTGAACCCATCTACTGTTTCCAGTCGACCAAGAGGTCAATGCCTACTTCTAGCTTTTACTGTTTCCTTTAAATTAATTGTACTTTAACTCTCAGCACTTTCAAGACATTTCTCTCCTCCTCATATTGAAGTTGATATACATAAATACAGCATTGAAAATGATGGCAGAAGTAAGTAACAAATGGCTTGGTTCCAGGCTTTTATGATGGATACTTAAATTTAAGTTCTTTACAGCCACCCTCAGTGTAGCTTTTTCTGAGTTTTCCTTTCTTTAATGAAACATTTAGGGGACCTTCCTTGCGTAGGTTTAAGAATTTGTTTCCATACTTCACTCCAAATGATTGGCCATTCATGAAACTTCAAAGTGCCAAAATGCAATGTCCATGATAAAAAAAAATGCTTCATTGGCATATACCTTCGTAAAAAACAAACTGAGAGAAGATGGATGGAAAAAGGACAAATAATCTTCAAAAAGGAAAAAGAATTTCAAGGCTTTAGCACGACACATGAAATAAAATGCACTTACCCAAAATCAGTTAATTTGACTATTCCGAGACGTTCAAAAAATACTACATTTTCTGGTTTCAAGTCTCGATGAACTACGTGTAGACGGTGACAGTATGAAATGGCGCGAACTATTTGAGCAAAATAGTCCCGCGCTACAGCCTCAGAGAGACCAGACTCGTGTTTCATTATGTAATCATACAGATCTCCTCCATCTCCTAATTCGAGGATGAGGTAGAGTTTCGAGTGGGTATCTATCACTTCGTACAGACGCACAACATTCGGATGCTGGACAAGTTTCATGCAACGAACCTGATGAAGCAAAAGAAAGAATTGAAATTGATCCATTCGAGTCCACTACAAAATTGAAAGGTCTATGACAGATGAACAATTCTGATATTCAATCCTTTCAAGTTATGAAAATGAATTGAATAATGAAATTTCATCCTTTTCATTTGATATTTTTGAATGTCCATGTATCATAACAAACAGCATATTTGATTGTTTTGCATTGAAAATTGTTTACCCAGGAATCTAAAAGGAATACCCCCCTAATTTTTCCACCTTCTTTTCATACGTAACTGAAGCCAGAAATGACCTTCGTTTCTCACCACCGCCTATTGATTTTTCAGAAAACAGAGTTTAGTAAAGAGCATTTTTTCAGCCGCTCTTGTAAAGGAAACTCGATTTTCAAAAGGTGTAGGAAAAAATCATTTCTGACTTCAGCAGCATTAAGGAAAGGGGACATAGTTCCATAAGACATGCAAAGAAAATAATTATTAAATTAAATATTTAACTGACATTGGAGACCAAATAAGAGTCACTTATATGAATCTTAATTGGAAGGAACTTGAACAGAGTTTGACTTTTCTCTCTACATTCAATGACTGCTGCAATTTATTTAAAAGCAGATTGAAAAATTAAACTTATTTTAAAGAGCCACAAAGGGAAAAATATATATAAGAAAACGAAAGTACAACTCATCAAAGAAAGAAAATGGTTAGTATTTGAAAGCAGCATGGCGCAAAAAGCTCAAGTATCTAACTAGTAAACGATATCACTAGACTCTTAGCCTCATTGAAGTTTCACACAGATGTAACAGAATTAGAAGAGAAAAAGAAAAAGAGAGAGGAAAAAATTCTTTAAAGTAAATTAGTCAGAATTATGCTAAAATCACCTCTTGGAAGAGATGCGCTCTGGAAACATCATCAAGCTTAGTTTTATCGATAACTTTAACCGCGACTTTTTCGCCTGTAAAAACATGACGTGCTAACTTGACAACTGCAAAATGACCTCGACCAAGTGTCTCCTCCAGGTCATACATGCCAGCGATCTTACTTCCACTTCCACCATTGCTCCCACATGATCTTCGACCTGCGCTTCCACGCTGCATCGTGCCTCTCTCCTGGAAAAATTTAAAAATTTGCATGAATGTTGCTTTCAGGGTAAAATTATATTTCAGGAGCAATAAGTAATTGATACAACCACACCACATCTTAAATAATTTTAAAAAAAATCAAAGGTACAAAATCTTCCGAGTCAGAAATACATTATTGCCTACAAGGAATTGAGGAATTAAATCTTCTGCTAAATTTTGGAACTTGACTACCACCAGATGGACAAGACATTTGACATTAATCACTCGATAACTTCAGTTTCAATCGGTGTCATTATCTTATAAAAAAAAAAAACTCCATCACCAGGAGACTGGGTAAAAAACTTAACTTGCAAGTACGTTTATTTTATCATTTTTTTTTTTTTTTTTACTTCAAATAGCCCTCAAGGGCTAATCCCATTCAGTTCCTACCTACCATCCGTACTATCCTATTATACCTATCCTATAAACCAAATTCCTTCTATCTATAGCACATAGGCAGTAATTCTCCATCTCCCCGATGTGCTTCCTAAAACTTAATCATTTCCCTAATTACCATTTACTTAAAACCATTGATGTCTAGATGTTCTGAAATGTCACATCCAAACACCCAGTAATCCTTCATTCCTTTGAAAAATAGCATCCTTTTTACTGTGTAATCAATCAGGTACAATCCAATCAAGTAAAACCAGATTTACCGTCTTAGTGTCAGGAAACTGACGATTCCTAGAGGAGAGCTTTTGTAAACTTTACTGGCAGACATCTTTCATTCATGTAAATTGAGCTTTGGGTTTTTGACGGATGCTCCTCAAAAAACCTCAGAAAACAAATATGATTTTTTTTCATTTCGACTAATTGATGGTGAAATTGCAGAAAAGCGTGTGTTGGTCTGTGGCGTTGCAGACTTCTTGTTATACGTTTTAAATTAAAAGTAATTTCTTGAAAACTTGAGAGGTTTTTCAATCCTCTAAGAAGAATATTCTACGGAAATTTCAAGCCATGATTTTGCTTCCTCCTCCTCTCTTAAAAAAAAGCAGAGATTTTATGTTATGCTTTGACAAAAAGATAAAGTGAGCATAAACATAAGCTTGCGAGTAACTGCCACCTGTTTGCACTCTTGAGATATTCTACCTTGAAGACACTTGAGTGGAGAACACAGGAATACAATCTTATTCAGGTCATATTAGTTGAGATTTGGAAAACATTTAACAAAATGGAACTACTATTTCTGGTTATTTCAGAAAAAAACGAATGTGCCATTTGTTTCTCTACGTCGGTATATGCTTTAATGGATGAGCTAGAATTAGTAGTTCCTCAACACAGAATTAAGTCCATTTGTTTCCAGTGCTTGTCATAAAATCTTTGGCCGGGATCCTTTAGAAACTGCTTCATCCAGTTGGAATGTAGGTAGGTGGTGCCTTGAAATGTAAGCACAGTAGATGCTTAAAAGAAGTGCGGACGTAAATAAATCTCAAAATTAAAAGAGATTGATGTCTCAATGAGCACTTCATTTGCTGTATAGGAAAACACATCTGCTTGTGAAATAAGCAGTTCAGTGCTCGGAACCAAATCCTTGACCTTCCAGGTGTCAGCAATTGGTATCTTTCTCAACATATCTTCATGGGAGCCTCTGGTAAGAATGAGAGGACCTGAGGCTGAATGACAGGGGTAAGTGACAAAGGTCTTGGTGAAACAGTCTCTTGCTAATTCTCGCAACATAACTATTTTTCAAGCGGTAATGGCATTTCCCTCAGCACCTATAGTTACAGGTCAGTCACATACACTTAAGTAATACTGACGACATCTGCGATCTCAATCCACCACTATGGTAACTAATACCCAAAAGAATACTAGTGATCATTCTTATACAAAAAACCAGATGTGTTGAAGCATGATTTACAGTATTGAATGAATCAAAACATTTTGTGAGGTTTGACTGAGAGGGTTTCGCAAGAAGTCAATGTATCGACCTACTAATTGGGTATTTAGTGATACATTTGACACAGACCTCCTAGAGGGTAAGCTTTCTTCTGCCATCGAGAATACCAGACAATGATGCACAGATTGGTGATGCATGTTCAGGCGAATAGATCAAAGACTGACAGGCAGAGGACAACCAGTGTGCTACGCTGCGGTGACACCAAAACTTGTCGAAGGCTTTAGTGGTCTCGAAAATATGACCCTGAAGCAATAAGTGATTGCGAATAAGGAGGTACAGTTTCGGAGAAAGGGAAAGAGAGCTATGAGACTCGAGAGTGTTGGTTTTGGAGACAGTCAAGAATTTAGAAGGGATGCTCACCTGCTAAAAAAGGGATCAACAGGAATTATGGATTTGTTGTTCCATCATTTGATCCCGTGCATCCTTGAGAAGGCACACGTTTCTCTAATCATGAAAGTTGTTCACAACATTTCAGGAGCAACGAAACACACACAACCTAACTCCAGACTTTTGCCATTCACAAATACAGAAACAGATTATAAGTAATGGTGATAAATAGTCAAAATTATCATTCTACTTCAGCTCGTAACAACACCATATTAAAGCAAAGCAAGGCGGATACAGAATGGTGGGCGCATTTCGTACCCTCTTGACGTCACACGGGATTGGATTTTTGGGCTTTTGGATACCTACACAATACAATATGGCAAAACCCGTACCCACCTGACGTCACAACGCTTCATGGCAGCTATGGGGCAGGCATTTCTCTAAAATATCTGTATTTTCTAGTTCCAAAGACCGCTACAAGAGCGCTCTACTGTGCCGCAATCAACCCAAAGATGACCCAAAGTGCCCATTGATTTGGGATCTTACGGAACTGAACCATCCTATTACGTAGTATATATTCATCCATGCAAATATTCTATGACTCTTCTGTCTCAAAGTATGTACCTTTTTAGACAGAGTATGGCCATTCGTATCTTTTTACTACAGGAAAACTGTTCCGCTTTTTGATTGGTCAACGAGTTTATAGGCTTCATGATGCTCTTAGGGCCGTATGTAAACAAACAAGATGGCGACTCACCGTAATGCCGTAACATCGATAAGAAGCTAAATTTGAAGAAAATTTCAATTATACGGCAGTAACAATTTAAACTAGCATATCTACGAATAACACACGAAAAAAACAAAAACACACGCTGGGCCTCGTGATTTGGTCCGCGGTGGTAGTGGCGAGCCCGAATCCGGGTGCCCCGAAAAAACACCGGAGTGCTTTCCGACCATGAGCCCTGGAAAGAACGGCCGTAAACGGGGACTAAGGCTCAACTTGGATTGGTCCAAAGGCTGTTTTGACCTTTCTCTCTCTCGCACTCATTGCTCAGATGCGGCACGTCAAAGGAGCATACTCGGCTTTGACAAGCCGCCGTTTTATCGTCTATCTCTCTCCCACTCATTGATCAGATGCGGCAACCCGCGGATCGTCAAAGGGACACACACGCACTCGCAAAAATACAGGCTGGGCCTCGTAATTTCGTCCGCGGTGGTAGTAGCGAGCCCGAATCCGGGTGCCCCGAAAAAACACCGGAGTGCATTCCGACCATGAGCCCTGCAAAGAATGCCCGTAAACGGGGACTAAGGCTCAACCTCGATTGGTCCAAACGCTGTTTTGTCCTTTCTCTCTCTCGCACTCATTGCTCAGATGCGGCACGTCAAAGGAGCATACTCGGCTTTGACCAGCCGCCGTTTTATCGTCTATCTCTCTCCCACTCATTGATCAGATGCGGCAACCCGCGGCTCGTCAAAGGGACACACACACACCCGCAAAAATATAGGCTGGGCCTCGTAATTTGGTCCGCGGTGGTAGTGGCGAGCCCGAATCCGGGTGCCCCGAAAAAACACCGGAGTGCTTTCCGACCATGAGCCCTGCAAAGAACGGCCGTAAACGGGGACTAAGGCTCAACTTGGATTGGTCCAAACGCTGTTTTGTCCTTTCTCTCTCTCGCACTCATTGCTCAGATGCGGCATGTCAAAGGAGCACACTCGGCTTTGACCAGCCGCCGTTTTATCGTGTATCTCTCTCCCACTCATTGATCAGATGCGGCAACCCGCGGCTCGTCAAAGGGACACACACACACTCCCAAAAATACAGGCTGGGCCTCGTAATTTGGTCCGCAGTGGTAGTGGCGAGCCCGAATCCGGGTGCCCCGAAAATACACCGGCGTGCTTTCCGACCATGAGCCCTGGAAAGAATGACCGTAAACGGAGACTAAGGCTCAACCTGGATTGGTCCAAATGCTGTTTTGTCCTTTCTCTCGCTCGCACTCATTGCTCAGATGCGGCACGTCAAAGGAGCACATTCGGCTTTGACCAGCCGCCGTTTTATCGTCCATCTCTCTCTCACTCATTGATCAGAAGCGGCAATCCGCGGCTGGTCAAAGGGACACACACAACACACACACTCGCAAACACGAAAACATTGTTAAATCGCCTTTCACCTTTATCACAGGAGGATGTAAGATGTGCATAGGCATAACCTCAATCTTGCTTGCTGAGAACAGCCATTTTGTTTGTTTATTTTCGGCCCTAAGAGCATCGTGTCAGCCTATTCGCTTGCGACCAATGAAAAACCGGAACAGAAATGGCCATACTCTGTCTATATAGGTACTCAATTCTGTCTCTGTGTTCTGTAATTTATTTTTTGTGTGTTTTTGAAGTTTGAAGTTTCATCTAGGTACTTGGATCTTTGACTCGGCTTTTCGCTAATACATAAGAATTATCAAGTCATGGCCCTGTTTAATTGGCAGTACTTTTTCTTCTTTATTTTAGTTAGTTTAAGTGAACACACCGGTCTTGCAAAAACACAAATATTACAGCTAAATGAAGATAACTGGGAGTCTATGCTGACAGGAGAATGGATGGTCGAGTTGTAAGTACCTGCAGTTCTTTTTTATTTTAACGTTGAACAATTATTGAGACCTCTTAAATGAGTTGCTAAGTTTACAGGTATTCTCACCAATGTGGATGGTAATTTCTTAGGTCCAGGGGTCCTAAAATGATCCACTGGAAACGATCACCTCCACATGAGCATGAGGCATCTTGACATCTTCGGTAAAACTCACTTGTGTACCTCATTCTATAAATTTTGATAGTATAATAATTATTTCATCAAAGTCTCTACAAGGCACGCCTTTCAACATTGCTGTATTCTTTGACTTAATAAGCATCTAAAAAGGAAATTGAAAGCACAGTTGGAAGATCATATTATTTTCCCGAGTTTTATATTATGTACTCATTCTCCTTTTTACCTCTTCTGATGCTTTACACTGAACCACTAAACCCATCAACCGATTTATCATTGATTTCTTTGTCTATTCAAAAGAAAAGAGAAGAACGGGACTGGTATGTCTACTTTATTAGCTCTGCCTAGTAATAAAGTGATAAATTAAAATTAAAAGAGTATTGGAGCGAAATGAGCCAAAAGAGATAAATTTAATGTAAAGATAAGATTCTATCTAAATATATGTTACCTTAGTCAAGTTTTGTCTGTCAATACTTTTTACTCCTTGAAATTTCTTTTCCTGTTAATGGAAGTGAGGTTATAGTGCAGGCGCAAATTTCATCCTGTGGGTCGATTAGTGATAGAAAAGACACCAGACACGCCACTATGAGGACTTGATGCCCCTCCATCATCAAATTTAGAGCCAAATTTGGGCACCATCTTAGATTTCGGGCTCCACATGAGGTCAGAGATAATTTCGAACAACATATTTTAATTCTACGAACAAAAGTACATGGAATCGATATATCATAACGTAACTTAACTATTCAGAATTTTTTACCACAAGTGTCAGCCACTTTTGCCGCCATTTTGGGACCTAGAGCCCCTCCGTGCCCCAATAATGTAAATTTAACTCCATTTTCACCACACTACTCGACACCCTACTCGGCACTTCGAGGAGCATTTGTCCCTTACCCCATTTTTGGCTCAACTTCGGCCGCCATCATAGAATTGCAGCCTCAAAGATGGTCCGAGTGAATTTTGGACTGCAGTTTTGAGTTCTACGACCAAAAATACACAGGGATCAACACCTCAGTCAGGCAATTGGGTTGTTTTTGTTACTATCATACCCACGGAGGTGATTTTGGCCGCCATCTTCTTTAGGGGGTGACTTTTTGAACATTGAGAATGACAGCATCGGAATTCTGATTCTAGACATCAAGACGACAAGATTAAGACATCTCCCACATTTTATAACTAATAGGCCCATGGGACCCTAAAAATGAACTTTTGCGCTGCACTATTAATTAATTTCAGTTGGTGATGACAGGAAAATACAGAAGATGAATCGGACGCGCATTGTTTTGGTAACCTTCGGCAGGTCCTTCTTATCTACCCACCTCCAGGTTACCACACTGGTCCCAATGTCTTATTTGGATCCTTTGCCAACATCATTAAAGGAAACTAATTTATACATTACAGATGCCTTTGATGTGGCAAGTGAATCAATGCTTGAATGAACATAGTGCCTTTTTGGACTTGTTAGATAGAATTAGTGATCAGATCACTAAAAGGAGTTTATCTCTAGTAGCAATGACTTTTTCAAACATTCCTCAAAGACTTTTCAAAAAGCTGTTAAAATTTTCGTAAGTAGTAGAAAACCCTTTTTGGCTATTTTATTTAAGTAAAATTTACAAGAAGTATAATTTAAGGGGAAAAGTGTTTAAAAAAACTCTCAAAATATTACTGTAGTTTTTTAACATTTATCTTAAACATTTTTAGCTGTGAAAAACTACAGCTGATATTCTAAGAGTTTTTTTTAACAATTTTTTTACCTAAATTTTACCGATTGTAAATTTTACATAAAAATATTGCCTAAAAGGGTTTCCTAATGAACTATAACAGTTTTTCGAGCGTTGTCTTTTTGAAATTGAAGAGTTTTCTAAAAGTTTGCTCAACAGTCGTTGCCACTATAGTACCCTATGAGGTACCCATCCTCCTCCCTCTTACTCAAAGAGAACTAAGTTTAGGTGAAAAAAATGTAAGAGGAGAATGAAAGTGCTGAGATCATTAGGAAAGAGAAAAAATGATGGAAAGTAAGTAAAGTGAAAATCTAGATAATGTTTTCTGTATTTCTTTTCTTGGTAGGCAATTTTAGCTTTCATTGCATTTCATTCAGATGAAAGCCCCTTAATTGTATTGGATGAATAGTTGTGTGAAGAGATATCCTTGATTAACAGTCAATGATTCACTCCCTCAGATTTGTTTCCTTATCAATATTAAATTTAACCTACTTAATTAAATTGTTTCAGCTGTACTTAAAAGTATTTCAATTTTTCAGTTTTGCACCCTGGTGCCCTGCCTGTCAAGCATTACAAACACAGTGGGAAGAATTCGCGTCTTGGAGCCGAGATTTAGACATCAAAGTTGGGCAAGTAGATGTCACCAAGTCTCCGGGATTGAGTGGAAGATTCATGGTCACAGCTCTTCCATCCATCTTTCAGTAAGTTGAAAAGCCTCCACCATCTACTTTAATACTTTACGGAGAAAAGTATCAAATTCCAGTAAGATATCACGATACGGTAAATTCCATCACTTAAGCTAAAAGAGGAATGAGTTATGAACTCTGGAATATCCTATCTTCGTCCTAAAAATTTATGCTTAAAATTATGTTCAGATAGGTGGTCTGTAACATTTTCATTTCATTTTTTTCATTGCTGATCAATTACATTCCTCAGCATCAAAAACTAAAAATCTGTAATTCTAACCAAAACTTCCTGTTGTTGCTCTTTTAAAAAATTTGGCAACTCGCCTTCAAGCTCTCTTTTCCTCAGGTCCCAGGTTTCCTCAGAGCACACTTTATGAATGGCCCCTAACCTTTCCCACTATGTTTGTATGTGCTTAATCTCGTCATTCCATTTGTTTCCAGTGTCTTAAATGGGGAATTTAGACAATATAAAGGTTCCCGTGATAAGGAAGCCTTCATGACCTTCATAGAGCAGAAGAAATGGGAGCAGGTAGATGCTATACCATTCTGGAAATCACCTGCATCCTTGCAGATGTCAGCTGTCGCCAAATTCTTCAGGCTCTCTCAAATTTTAAGGGTGAGTCGCGGGTTTTTTGTGTATCATGCTATAAAATACAAGGTTTCTACTGATCTGAATACTACTGAAATTCTGCAAGAAAGTTCAAAATTCTTTAATTTCATGCCACGCAAGTTTTTTAAGACATTGTGGAAAGTATACTGTCCATTGAGCACTGATTTTAAGTGCAGTACTTGCCCACTAAATCTTCCTTGTGCAGCCAGGTGATCTTCAGGCCACCAATGAGCTTCGAATTTCATGGCTATGTTATTCTTGCCTCCATTCGCTCGTCAATTCCGTATTTCATCACAGGAAGGTACTGAGAAAGTACTGAATTTTTCTGTTGCGGCAGTGACTTTTTTTTGGGGGGGGGGGGGGAAGCTGAAAAAGTACTGTACAAGCACTGATTTTGTGGCAGCCAGGTTAAGTAGACACCCTGGAAACATGATGATGGAAAGGGTGGATCTCACCACTTGTCCAATATGGACATGGACATGGACATGGACCCTGCCAGAAATTTGCCGGTACATGGGAAAATATTTTAAACTTTTCCTGTACTGCTTGCTAAGCCTTAGCAACATCTGGGAACACAGGCATATCTTATTCAGCATGTAACGGAGCAGCAGTGCACATTATGAGTTAGGGGTGTATGCATAGTACGTGGTACTTCTGACCATGGCCCTCTGAGTTGACAAATATCTGCCTATGTGGCTAAATGTGAGCTCCTTGGTATGATCTACAGCAGTTTTGTTATGGTTCATGTCTTTTGCTTCTTTCTCTCCTTTCTTTTTAAGTTGAAGTTGGTCTGGAAAACAAAGCTCTCATAAATTCAACTACCTACACTCAAATATTTTGTAGGGTTTTGGGCTGTCCGGAAAACCTGGGAAGTCAGGGAATTTACAGGTAATGTCAGGAAATTACGTGAATCGTAGGACGACTCAGCAACTTGAGCCAGTGCCCTGTTAGTGAGCTTGAACAACTACCAAGTGCCTTTTCCTTGAATGTGAATCTATAGGAATGAAGACTTTGTCTACACTTTGGAGAAAGTCCATGTTTAGCAAAACGGGGAAAAGAATCTACAAGGACGCGATGATCCAAGTTCAAGAAAAAGTCTAGGAAAGTCGGACAATTTAGAAATTTTGGAGTCAAGATAAACGCAGGCAAATTTCGAAAATGAAAAATTCATAGAAAATGAAGTCAAGGTCTCCAGCTCAAGACAGTACACTCAGCGTTCTAGTAGGAAGGAAATTGTCTACATTTGGGCTCATTTTTTATCTTTATGAATTTTTTTGTTATAATACCTAAGAATGTAGGTACATCAGTTAATTTTATTGATACAAAAATATGTCATTTCTGTTTGGTTTTAGATGGTGCATACACAACTCACAGAGGAGTATGGTGTGCCAATTTGGTGCTCTTACTTAATGTTTGCTTTTGGAACCATCTTTATTGGAGCTTTGCTTGGTTTGGTAAGCTTCTAATTAATTTTAATCTGCTTCTAAAGCTTCTCATTCCAAGCAAGATAAATATTATATCTTCAAAAGGAGGCTCAAATGCCTGCAAATGAGTTGGTATTTAATCATTTTCTGTTTGGCGATAGCTGCATAGTATGCAGAAACAATAATCGCTCAGTTAATCATAACGGTCAAAAGTAAACAACCGTTAGCATTTTATCAATATATTTAGCTTTTTTATGGCCAAATTTTAATTTGCCTCTAAAACCTGCAAGCCCCTTGTATATGGAACAAAGTAAGAAATTTCCTGTTCCTGTGCTTTACAATTTTTTCGGGAAATTCCTGGCTGAAATCCATTTTTCAAGGAAACTTTGATAAAGGAACACAGACACTTACATGTGCATGGTATTCACTCATACTTAGAAGACGGACATTCCCAGAATTACTGTTCCCAGCGTTTGACTCCTTTGGGAAACCGCCATGATCGAAATAAGTCACGGATAGAAATGTGAAAAAAGAATGAATCTCATGTACACTTGCACACTTTTTTTAACGTCTTTCAATAAAATCATCCTCCTGTGTTCTTCATCACAAAGTAACTTTTTTTTTGTTTTCTCTCTAGATCCTAGTCTTTATTCTTGACTTTATCTTCCCACCAAAACCTGCAGTCTTGCCCAAAGGCAGAGCTTCTCAAGGCGGTAAAGGTGGAAGCACCGAGGAATCTGTAAGTTTGTGTTATCTTTCTGCTTTGGCTCAAAATAAAAAAAAACATTACCAATGAAAGAGTCAGGAAAATAAATAATTAAGCAAACGTATTGAGTAAAACTCATCTCAGTGTCATTCTTGCAAAGAGTACAAGGTCACAGGACCTATCAGTTGTGCGTGGAAGTTTTAAAGGGTTTTTTTCTCCTGCTCTCCTGTTATTTTTGTGAACAGTTTTAGATCTTTTCAAGCCTCCTATCACTCCCTGCTTTTAATTGCATTGAAAGGGAATTGATTTTTGAGACTGAAGCCTAGCAGCGTAAAGTTGGGTTAGTTTTTTCCCCTAAATCGCTTGGATTCCTTTTAAAATGTAAATAAAGAAGTGAAAAAGGCCTCTGAGACAAAATCATTAAAGACCGTATTGAGCCTCTTTGGTTGTTGTAATTGAATCCGAATCATTTGCCATGGAGAGCACTTAAAAATCTCGCTGAAAGTTGTAAAGGTTTGTCAACAACAAATGATGAGAAACTAAGCTGCGTAAGCAGTGATAGAGCATCATTTTAAATTCCATCCGGCCTTTTTAAACCCCCCCCCCCCGCCCCTCTTAGCTCTTATCACAAACCACGCGAATTTAATTGAAGCTCAATAGCAAATGAAATATTGCTTCCAAAGAAGTTCTTGAAATGGCCATCATGCCTTCACTGATTTTCAGAAATTCAGTATCATTTCTGTGTGCCTGGGCCTGCGCTAAATAATAGCAGCAAGTCCCTTTTAAAATCATAACTTCTTTTTTCCATCGCTTAATTTTTTCTTTTTAGGATGATGAACTAGCACAAGAAGAGCTGGTCGATGAACAAGCGAATCCAGACACGAGTCCATCGGTGAAAAAGCGAAAGGCCCGCAAAGCTGATTGATTTTCATGGTCTGTCGAATGGAGTCTCTCTCAGTTTTTCATTTTTTTATATGTACTTCGTAATTTTCCTCTTTTTATTTTTGACTCACAATGTTTTTTGTCATTCATTGATTTCCTTGCATATTAATCTGCTTGACCTTTGATACGATGTTTAAAGAAGAGAAGTTCATATCAATGACTGAAGTCGAAAATGCGTACCTCCATCATGTTTCAAAATCTCGGATTGTGTTTGCTTTTTCTCAATGAACTTAACTAAAATTTCTCTTTGAGATTTTCTGTGAATATTTTTTAATGAATGAAGAAAATTTCAAGAAAAAATACTGATAAGCTTTCTTTTTAAAAAAAGTAAAACATGAGCAGCGATTTGCACAGTCGCGAGCAAAGTTTCACATTTTCTACTTTGGTCATAGATTTTTATTTCCTTTACTTTTCCCAGAACTGGTCTTTTTCTGAACGTGAATTTCAGTGTAATTAACATCACAAATATGTTGAACACTGAAGATGTTTAAAATTTTCAGCGGTTTTTACTTAAGTTTTATTTTATTTTTTTTATGAAGACAACTCTCGTGCCACTTTATTGAAGTATACTTGAATAATTTAGAAATCGTTTGATGTGAAAATCTTTTGAGAGTTTCACTCCTGTCTTTGAAGCTTCTCAGGAATCTACCGAGATTTTTTGTTATGTTGATGTTAATTTTGCAACCAATTCTTGGCTCCTGTGCCGAGGATCAAAGTTTTGAAGTTGCTCAACTAAAGACAAAGCTAGTCCCCATCTTCCGGAAGAAACTCATTTGAATCTCCTGAGGATGTGTCTTGTCGCCATGAGAGTCTTCTACCCTAGTCATTTAATTATTCCCTTTAGAAGTAAAGGAAAGGGTAAGTGGAAAATATAACGCAATAGTTAATGTAAAAAAGAACCGAATGTTGCTCTGAAAAACGTCAAGTTAGGAAGGGTTGATAAGAATTGAAATAAAGAGCCCACAAAATCACACACTCTAATTCCATGCTTACCTTGTTCCATAAAAGTATTGTGTTTTTATTTTTGCAAATTTAGTACCCTTCCATCCAAAAGAAATACTCTTGCATGGTTTTTTAATCTTCGGAGGAAAAAAAGACCCTTCAACATCATTGAACAACTGAGGTATGAACAGGGCAGCACCCCGGCGAAATGTTTTTAGTCTAAGAGTACCACCTACGTTTGGAGCTCTCGTACAGTTAATTTTCGACTTCTAAATCCAACGTAACGTTTAAACTTGGAATTGCAGAAGTATTTGTATTCTGAAAAGTGAATATTCAGGTTGTTTTAAGTTGTAATTTTTTCTGCCCGTGGTACATGTTTTAACTTAATTTTTAGTTATCCTACTAAGTTTTCAGGTGTAAGAAAACCGTTTTTCAGTCTTTCAAAAATTTCAATTGTCTGATTTTGGGGAGTTATGTTACCTGTGCAAGCTCAATCCATGATCAAAGTTTATCAGATTGGTCACTTGGTTCTTTCCCTTCAATATCTCAAGGGGGTCTTATAATGACCAAAATAAAATCTCAGGAAAGGTAGGATTTGATAGCTCAGTTTCATCAGAATCAGTATTTTCCTCTCTTAGTCAAACAGTTTTTTTGTAATTTCTGATAAACCCTGTAATTTTTTAGTTGACTAATTCTCCTTCCTTCCTTTTTTTCTCTTTTTTTTCTTTCTTTTTTTGTACTGAGTCATTTTAAGTTTTTAAAGTCACAATTTGTTTGTCGCAGGATTATCTGCCGATTCTCTTCGTGAACCGATGAACCATCTAGTTTTGGAATAACTATCAGAGGTTCACAGCAGGGAATCCTTGTTGGATACTTAATTTTGGATCTGATTTTAGTGCTTTCATTTTGCCAAGCTCCCTCGTTTTCTGTCTTAGCAGCTCGTATCATTTTAATTTTGGGAAAAAATATTTGAAGGAGATAAAGCCTCAAAGCTGTGCAAACTTTTTATCGCATATAAGAAAAGGAAACTAATATGATTACACTGTTTTAAAAATCGTGCTCCTTCATCTTTACCTGAACAAATGCCCAGAATAGTAAATGGTCATAGTTTTTCTACCAGAATTCGTTTAACTTTTAAGAAAACCGATTGTATACATTTTATTTCTTCACTTATATTTAGTATTTCTCAAAGCAAAGAAGAAGTTGCACGATTTAGAAAACCTTTAATTGCGTCGTTTCCCTTCTGCTTACCGCAATCCATTTTATGACTCGCAAGTTTAAATGAAGAAAGAAATATTTCTTTTTTCATTTATTTCATTTTTTTAAAATGACAAGAAAAGACTCATCATAAATGAAAGCACTTGCAATGTCAATGTATCTGTTTCCAATACGCCACTAATCAGTATTGAAGGTGCCTTCTGTTAATTCTAGTTCCAATTTTTCTAGAGTATTGAGTAGGATTTTATATTTATTAGAATGAGGCATTTAATTTTTTGCATTTCCATGAACTTAGTCATTTAATACTTTTTGTTTTCTACAAAAAGTCTCCTTTTAGAGAGGATTTGTATCTACTTATCTGAAAAGGTTCAAGAGATTAAGTTGGTGGAAGTTAATTTTTCGCTGTTATGTTGAGATAAAATAACCTAAGAGCATGATGCCAGATCATTTGAGACACCACCCACCTACTGTGGTTGTCATGATCGGTTGACCTTTTATAATGCTGCTGTTGTATCGTGCCAATTACTATTGGATCAGGACAGTAGTGTAATCATTGGTGAGGGGGTGTTCATTCATGACTTTAGTGTGTGTTTTGCCACTCTGAGCCCTCAAGAAATCGCCTAACACCAGGGATGAACTGATCGCTCTTTCTCATGAAATTTGTCATTTTTTATTAACGGATGGTCCATTCTGCAGAGCGATGATTGACTTTTCCCTCTTATTGTCATATTTTTATCAGACAGCTTGTCCCAGGCAATAACCATAACCGCATCAACAGCATAACTATCTCTTAAGTTCGCGCCTTTTTGTTGTAAAAGTTGTGGATCCAGCAGAGACAAGTCCATGATCAACTTGCTAGCCTGTTTGAAGAACACTGTGTAAAAGCACACTGTCAGATCATGAATTTAGCTCTCAGGTTGTTCGACTGGTTCTTAGACACTACTTTTGTACCATGTTAAGTCTACTATGTTACTATGTTATGGAAATTCCCTAAAATAACCATGGAATCACATGCTTCAGTGAATGCTACGTGGCAATTGAGAGGCTGCGACAAGCCACCGGGTCTGACAATCGCTTTTTCTATTTTGCTCCAGGTACAGGCAAAGCCAAAGTTCCTTAAGAGGGGCTCTTGTGCTTGCATTTCAAGTTTTCAACAATGGACCCTGATGGTCATTCGGACCATGTTAAGCAGAAAGGAATCAAGCAAAATCAGCTATTGCTAAATTTAATTGGGCGTTTTAATTATTTACATAAAAGGTTATGCGGAGTTATGTGTACATTTCAGTGAATTTTCTGTACAGTCCAAAGCAAATTCCATAAAATTTTCAAAAGAACTCTCATGGACGTTCTCTTGTAAAAAAATAAATCGCCCATTTGAATTTGGCAATAGCTGATGTGGCTTGTTTCCTTTCTGCTAACTGCGCATTTGATGCTTCTGAACTGTCACTGGCAGCATTGATTGTTAAATTTCTATTATTTTCAGCATATTGCCAATGAAAATTTGAAAAAATTTAATTTGATTGCAGTGTTTCAGTTATCATACCTCCCGTTAGTTTTCAAAGACAAGTAGACCAGTTGTATTTTCTGAAAATTTTACAGAATATTTCCATGGTAATGTAAAGAAAAGTGTCAAGAATAAGAGGACGGATTTGAACTGAAATCAGCCGGACTGCGTCACCCTTCACCTTTCTCTCGTGTTTTCTTTTTTTTTACATAGAACTAAACTACTGAATGCTTTCAAAATTTCTGTAAACTTTGCCCTAGATTATGAAGAATATACCCTAAAATGTTTTCAAGGCTCGGTTGTTTGGTTATCTGTTCAAAAAGTAAAACATCATAGAAAACGAGGCAATGTCTGATGCAGTTAGGTTGATTCCGCTGAAATTGGTCCAAATGTAAATAAGTTTAAGAAAAAGTGTTTGGAAATCTGGAATCCAAGATATGCATTGAATTTTTGCTAGTGATAAATGACAGTGCAGTTCTTCTGCTACAGTAGATGGTAGTCTCCAAGATGTTTTATACATTTGTACATTTTATCCCTTAAAGCTTGTGGCTAGTTAGGACTTCACACTGTAATAATGAAAGTAAAGAATAAAAAAATTTCAAAGCAAATATTTGTGTATTTGGCCGTTCAAGTATTACGGAAGGCATGTTTGCCAACTTTTGGACCCCTCCTCCCCTGTAAGGCACCCGTAAGAAATCTCTGAAACCCCCCCCCCCCCCCTTTTAAATTACGTAAGATTGGCCGGGACCCCCTCACCCCCCAATTTTACAGGAAAAAACGGAGAATGCCCAGTGAAATGGCTGGAATAAATTTAAGGCTTTTGTAATGGTATTTTGATGAAAATCGGCAAAAAAAAAGAAACAAATAATTGAAATTTAACTGTCAGGGTGTTTACCAGTTAAAAAAAACCAAAATTGGGGACTTTTAGAGGTGTTTTTTCAAGAAGATCGGGGATTTTTTCTCCCGAAATAGTCAGAGAATCAATCAAGATAGCATTCAAAATTGCGATTTAGGCCTATGCTCCGATTGTGTGAACATTTTGATATGTTTGTCCTTTCTGTGTGACACACAGTCTCTGAAAGATTTTCTTACTATGTGGCACCGTTACCAAGTTGAAATCTTAAGATCACACAGCTTGCCCAAATATGGAGGTATCAAGTTGCGTTTTGCGCAAACAATTTTCAAAAAAATTGTTCTGTTACATTATGTTCAATTTCAGGGTGTTTCATACATTTAAATCCACGCGGTTTAATTTTTTCGATTTTTTCCCTCTAAAATTTGGCAAACTCAAATTGCAAAATATTCCAATGTTTTATTTCTGAAGAAAAAAAAAATGTGTCTGAATGAATGGTTTGGTGTGATTCCGTACCTAGTCATGTAGCTCACACAGAAATGATTAAATTGCAAGATATGTGTAAGCTCCTCGTGACAAGAAAATTGCCTATTGCCTATCTATACTATAAGCTCCGAAAACTCCTAAATTTGCATAACTGGTAACGCTTAGTTCCAGCGTTCTACTGGGCCAATTTCCATAATTTTTGCGGTTATCGACAGGTGATAGTCCCTTAATGAGCTCGCTCTAATCAGATTTTGGAAATAGGCCCTTGGTTTTTTTACAATCACGTTATAAAAGTGAGCGAATTCACTGAGTGCTCCGCAACTGCTGCCGCTATGCGCAGTAGCCGAGAAGGTTGCGCAGTGGCCCAGTAGCGTGCGCATTACCTCTACTCTATGAATAGAAGATTCATTCACGTAAAATCAGTTCGGATGGTGGCCGAGTCGTCTAAGGCGTCAGTTACACCTCCATGCTGGCCCGAAATGTAGGTTAAAATTCTGACTTATGCACCGAATACTACCTGTAAATCATCGTACGCTGTTTTACTGCAATAATTCATTAGACAATCATTGCGAAAAGCATCCTTTTGACTTAAAATTTTTTCTTCTTTTTTATCAAAAACAAAAATCATTCCTTTCTAAAATGTAATTTATACACCATATCATACTTTTTTAGGAGAAAACTAAAACCAACATTGATAAAAAGCTACAGGAGAAAGACGCAATGATAAAAATCGGAAACGAAAGAAAATTTAAAAAAAAAAATATTGATGAATAAATAAATAAATAAGAAAAAATGAAAATAAGGAAAAAATTGGACAGCATTGATAGTCTAATAGGCTCGAATGGCACTCATGAAAGTTTTGCCGAGATTTATTAAACAAATTTTATCGTGAAAATATGAATTATGCTACCGCTGCGGCTACCAAAAAGGGCCGCGAAACGGCCTACAGTGCGGCCCTCTGGGGCCAAAAATCAAAAATTCACAACTTGACATCTGAATATTTTTTTGGAGTTTGTCATCTTAAAGATATTACTGACTCACGATGATGGTTCATTTCCAAATTTTTCGTTCAAAACTACATGAAATTTAGATGGAAAGTGGGCGGAAAATGGGTCAAGAATCATTGGTCCATAAGAAATACGCGGAAGAAAGACGTCAACTTCAAATGAAGATTTCTCGCTTGAAACGCAAAATGCGCTGGGTGATTGACATTTTCTTAATCCTCACATACCAAACTTCAATTCCAGCAAAAAGATTTTGCGACTTTTTGCGACTATCGGAGGTATTTGAAGTTAAAGTTTGGGTGTTTTAAGTTGCTTTTACTTTGTTAACATAGGGATAATTCGAGGTTGCCCATCTTAAATGAGCTTCTCTCGCAAAATACGCAAAAAAATCCTGAGATATAATATTTTCTTCTTCCTTGAGTGTTTTATTTTGATAGTGCCAAAGGGTTTTCTTTCCTATGCCGGTGCTATGCTGTCTTCACTCTTTGAAGTGTCTTTTACCGATTTTTGTCCGCATCGTCCATAAGGATGCCTCACTGTAGGGCCCCTTGATGGCGCGGAGCGCCTTTGGGGGTAGGGCCGCGTAGTCCTCTAATCTCCTAAACCGTTTGTTGGAGAGGAAAATGGAAAAAATTATCCAGCCTGTCTAAACTTCTACGTCTATTTTGGGACCCCCCACAGGCCTATTGAGTGCCAGAGGTCTTGTGGATGGGTCCTGAGAATTAGATGTAACTGAAATTGATTTTCTTACAGTTGTTTGACATCTGAGAGCCTACCACTTTCTTGTTGAGATGCATTTGCATATGATATTGCCGTTGTGAGCAGTACTTAAGAGTTAAATCACAGGAGCTGTGGGGAAATGAGAAAACTTAACTTGCCTTAAAGAACAAACAACAATTTATTGTTTTATTTAACATTTTATCTTTACAATATAAGAGTAAAAATCATCAACTAAATTCATTCCAAAGAGTACAATATTAGAAATGTAAATTGTGACTCAGTGGAGGAAGGAGAGGGAGTAAGCTAGCCAAAAATTATATACTACCTACCTAAAACTTCAGCCCTTGATGAAAGATACTAAAGAAATCTTATTAACATCGAGAACTGAGCAAAAAACTTAAGTAAATTTACAGAAAGTAATTTCAAATATAAAAACAAGAAAAAAAAGTTTTTAAAGGACAAGGCTTTATTTACATGGAATTATTGCCTGTTGTAAAAAACTTTTTTCTTTATCCTACATTCGTCACTTTTTTCCCCATTCTTAAAATCTAATCAATTATTCTTTTTTTCATCTTTTCTTGACATTTTTAGTCCAAGACCTGGGTCAGTTAATAAACCTAGGTTATGTTCATTCCATTTTCAGAAGCAAATCCCTAAAACAAGATTTCAGTCTATACGGTTTATTCATATTTCCCGCAATGAGAGTATTGAACATTTCCCTTGACTCAGGGAACTCAGGAATTGAAGTAGATATCCGAAACGATAATTTCCATAGGGGCTCGTATTCTTCATCAATCTCAGAATTTTTCCAATACTAAAGGAATTTTTTCACAATCGATAATCTACCTTTTTCACACATCGAAATGCAATTGTCGAATCAGGTGCCTTCTGCTATTGTATGTTGTCAAAATGATAGGTATGGTAACTAGAAATCATATCTTATTAGCGCATAAGGAAAAATCAAACTAGATATTCATTGATGATACTCAGGAGGAGAGGGGACATTTGTGCTGCCTATGAGACATGATCGAACTTTGTTTGACTCGCTGCAAGCCTGAGTGACAGATATCCACACAAATGTACAGAGAAGAGCGATTAAAAATTCTGATAGAATCTAAAAAAAACTTGCTTTGTGAATTAGAGGAGATTCTGTTGCTGTGGCTGGAAAAATAAGAGCAACAAATCACTTAAACTTTTATAAAAATACACGCTTCTATGAGTCCATTATATCTGATGTTCTTTAAGTATATTAAAAATCAATGTTATAGTGCATTAAAAAATGAACGGAAGCACAGTCAGTTGCTCACTCCATAAAGATGAAATGAAAAAATAATCTAATAAATTCTAGTGATGGGGTCATTTTACAACTCTACAATCACATGATAAGTTGTAAGTAATGTGTTATCTCAAACTTTTACAATTTTAAAAAAATAATTTCAAATGAATCAGTTTGTAAAAACTTACATCTACGAATAAATTATTATTTACGACTTAACATTACCTAAACAAAGTAAAATCTTGAAACTAGTCTCATTTTTTTCCTCCTTTTTCTCTCCTTTCTAATTGGAAGATAGCTAGCTTTCTTTAAACCTCAAACAATTAACCTAGACTTAACAACTAACTATTAGATACTTACAAACTACGAATCAAACTATCGGTTGATTTTAAAAAAAAGAAGGGTGGGTAAAAATCGGGAATAAAAAAGAATTACTGACTGTAATTTGGAATTACTATTTTTTTTCCCCCAACAAACAGGTGTATGTACAATTATAGAGTTCTTTACAAACTGACATGAACGAGAGGAAATGAATAGGAATTTTCAAAAAGGAAGAAAAGGAACCTCTAGGTTAAGAAACACAGGAAAATAGGAAAGTGAAGAAGTTAAGATAATGTACAAAGAGCTTAGATAACACCTCAACCACAGGTGGAGTTGTTAAAAATATATAAGAAATGTACAAATTCACATAAAAAAATAACCTAGGTTCTTTCATTGTTATGATATAAGAACAGAAGGTTAATTTCTAGGACTCTTTAGCCGGAACTGTTTCCTCAACCGAATTTCCAATCATATCTAGAGGATAAATGGAAGTTCCCATGTACAAATCAAACTATTTGTCATAAGGACCCAAATTAAAAAAAAAAAAAAAAAAAAAAAAAAAAAAAACTTTCTAATTGGGTTTCTTTTTTGCCAAGATTACAGCGTCAGTGAGTCAGGACTGTAAAAATAATTACTTCACATTCATTATCATCAATTTATTTTTCAGCTTACCTAGTTCTTATGCCAATGGCACAATGATCAGCACAAATAGGCAGTGTTCAGCAAGAGGGAACCGAGTTCACTGCAGTGTTTTCAAAATCGTGCAACTTCTTCACCGTAAAGAAACTTGAATAAATGTATAATAATGAAACTTACAGGATTCGTTTCATGTGAAACTAAATTTTTTTCGAAGGAAAATTAAAAAACTGTTCAAATTTTGGGGCTATTTCCAGAAAAACGAAAAGTTGTACGATTGTGAACTCATTATAAAGGAAACGGTTTTTCTCTGCTAACCACTGTCCAAATGTAAGTCAGCTTATGAACTATGAAAACATCTCAGTAAAGTTCATAAAATTTTAGTGTTTGGATTCCTTTATCCGGAGTTCCTCTAATGACATACCCATGGGTGAACTGAGCATTTTGGCTTGGATTGGTTGGTCTAAGTTAGACAATCATCAAATCACCTCGTGCCTAATTAGAAAATGTGCTGGGGTGCATTTGGTTCCTGATGATAGTAAATACATTGAGATAATTGGATGTGTAATGACTTCTCTTGACTGCCTACTAGGTTATTTGTCTTGAGAAGGACTGCTGAGTACCTATTTCTTGCTACCAAGCAAGTTATTAACTGTCCTGTTTGGAATTCTGTAACTTTATTACATTTTTCTATGTCATATGGGAATGCCAGCTGACTAACTGATGATGTAAATTTATTCTTGACAAAAGAGCCATTATGCTAATACAGGTATCAAGGAAAATCAAGGCCTGCTACCCTTCAATCCTGGTAAACACAATTTGAGCTTTGTCGTCAACTTATTCTTCATCTGGCAATACAATAATCTCAAAATACTTAACTTAGTTATTGCCTAATTTGTGTCCTAGAGGTTTTGTCAGATAAGGTGGTATTTGTCTACTTTCGATTGTCAATCCTGGATGGCTATTGGACGACTACAAAGCAGCCTCTTGCAAATAGAAAGTAAACAACCGTCACATTGTCTGACAACATCTCTACAATGTTAAAACAGAAAGCCGGTTTAGGTTCACACACCTCTTGTATTGGTAACAACCTGGGATCGTAGAGGTCTTTCGGCTCAAGACGGAATTGACCCATGATAATTTTAGCACTTTCATGACAGGATGAAAAAATTCAAACATTTTAGAGTAGAGAGGAAGAATAGTGCCTTAGTTAAATGATTATAACAGGGTGAAGAGTCATAGTACTATGCGTTTATTGCGAGTTATTTACATGCGTATAAGCTGAAGGCCCTTTCGGCCTATAAGGGCCATCTTCAGAGCAATATAGAACAAATATAATAGAAAAATAAAACTACATATAGGTGTCAAACAGACGAACGAATATTAACTACATGAACAAATATTAACTACCTACATGGCATATGAACAGTATCAGCAAATTAAAGTGGCCAGTGCACAATCAAGTGGTGTGATATTAGTGACAACGAGATAACAGTTCTATGGTCAACCACAGTCTGCAGCACTGTTATCACTAATATCACATCACCTGATTGTGCACTGGCCACTTTGTTTTGCTAATACCATTCATCTGCCATGTAGTTAATATTTGTTCATGTAGTTAATATTCGTTCATCTGTTAGACACTGGTACGTAGTTATTTTTCTATTATATTTGTTCTACATTGCTCTGAAGATGGCCTTGAGAGGCCAAAAGGCCTTCAGCATGTAAGCATGCCACCATTCTAAGCATGTAAATAACTCGCAATAAACGCATAGTACCATGATTCTTCTCCCTGTTATAATCATTTGATGAAAAAATTGTGCACTAGGCTCACTAAGAAAATTCAAGATCAAGGAAAGCAAAAAATACTGTTGTTTCCATTGACATATAAACCTTTTACTGGAAACGAAATTGAAACTCATAAATGCTTGCCTAAAAATATTCTTTGGTTTGTTACTTTTATTTAAAAATAAATTTGCAAGGTTGTCAAAAGTTCGTAAAGAACAAATGGAGAGTACTTCGTCCGATCATTTTGGCGCAAACACCGCATTGATTTCGGGGGTGGGTGGATCCGAGATGAAACAAGATCCCTATCGTTACGAAGTTAGTGCACTGATGCAATCCAGAGATTTGAATGGTTGGTGGAATACAAAAAAAGGTCATTGCTACAAGCAGCTCAGTCTTACAAACTTAAGAAAAATACGGTGAGACGATAATTATAAACACATCACATTCATTAAAACAGATTACCCAAATGCACTTATATTCTGCTTATGAAGGATTAAAATAAGATTAGCGTCTCATAAACGTATTCTTGCGGTTTCTCAGTGCAGGTTTTCTGATGTATCCTAACCGTTTGCCTTGAGAGCATCATTACCTTGTCCACTATGACTGTCATGTTTGGAAAAAAATCTCCAACATTTTTACTGGCATGATAATAAATATGAGAGGAAGCACATGATTTGTTTTCAAAATATTCATGTATTATTGTTGACCCCAATTCTTAAACACATTAGTGTATTTTTGTTCACCCCAATTACTCGTTAGTTACACATTATAGAGCTCCTTCATTTCCTCTTGAGTAGCATCACTATGACTGGTTTTGTGATCAATGAAACGGCTTTTTAATAGAGAGGCTGAATGCTCATGTTGTATCGCTACCTAGTTACGTTGCTCTATTTAGGAAGATTCTTCCATCAAATCGAGTGAGTCTTCCTCCAATTTTCTTTCTAGCTCTGTTACTCAGGTAAGCTATGTTCATCATTGGAAATCCCTCTTAACGCAGAATCATCATGAAAAATGATGAAGTTGATTGTTTGAAAGTGGAAAGGGAATTTGGGATGAGAATACACAAACCTTCCTAATCATTTGAAAGGTTTCTATTATTTCTTAACAGATTTCTAAAATAACGATTGTTTCGTGCTCCATAGTTAAAACGCATTTTCTATTTCTCAACATAGATTCATGTACAACATTCAATCATGTTTTACCTCTGAACTCTTGATAAGCGGCATTGTTCCTCTTCACACCTCCTGGGGGAGTAGGAGTGAACTCCTGGACAAAAGCTCAAAAGTCAAGATTAGTCACTTTTCAATGATTTTTTGTGGTAAAACTTCAAAGGGGAAAAAAAATTACACTCTTATAACCGTTACAGTTTCCTACCTAATTAAGATATGTTGCTCCCATGAGGTCTTATGCATAGCGCTTTTTAATTTTCGTTGCTTCAAGTAGTTGCCATTTTAATGGAAATTCGGCTAAAAAAACAATCCTACTGGGAAAGATTACAGCAAACTGCCAAGATAGCAATTGCTTTTCAGTGCTTCTTCGCTTAAAAAGAAAATAAATAAATAACTTCTGGGACTGCATGGTCACTTTCCTCGTCTAATTTTATAACAAAAATAGAAATACAATCACACATCGGACAGAGCTATCATTTTCAAGACAAATCTGAGACTTTGTTTTTAACATTCAAAACAGTTGAACAAGAATCCAGGAGAGGAGGAGAAAATACTTTCTTTCATTCCAGTTCTAAGCTGTTATTAACTGTAATGCTACATAGTTAAATTTACTAAAAGTTTTGGTCTATGATTTTCTGGCATTAATCTAATGGAGCCACCCGCTGAGTTGACAGGATACCATGTTCTCACTTCCTAAGATTGCTTTGATAAAAGAACGACAGAGCATTGGGACTCACAATACAGTGCCTTTGATGATTCCTTCCTAACATTTCTCCACCCTTTAGATTAAGTTAAGTTTTTACATTTTTGCGTTAAACTTTAGCACGGTGAGACCAGGTTTGAACTGCTGCTCGGATGCAGTTAAAACTGAAGTTGAGCTCACTCTACAGTCGTCAGTTCTTGTAAAACAGAACTTTGGAGAAGCGTTCCTTAAAGAAATTGTTCTTCTGGCTCTTGATCCCTCCCTTCCTGTCGATCAACTTAAAATTGTGTCCATAGAGACCTGTTTCAGCGCTGACATCACAGCCTACATTGCATCTTTGGTTCACAACAAATGAAGAGATATGAGTGAGTTAAAAAAACATTTTTTGTAAAGTCAGGTGAACCGATAGATACACAGAATCCTTTTTAAGTATGCACCAATACAGTCTGGCATCTTCGAATATTATTATTAAGGTTTTCAAACTTGCACAGTAATCAACATTAAAACTATTTTTAGCATTTAAACATTTCTCCTTTAACTATCATTTTCGACATTTTCAGAAGATTCAAGATTGTGTAGTAAAATTCTCCATAGCCTCCTTGGAGAAACTAAATTTTGGGAGGCTAACACGGCAAAAAAGAAACTTATCCAGGTGATTATTCAAGTTCACATTTTTTATCAAGTTAAATGTTTTGTATTGACTGTTCAACTTTTCAGAAGGATCTCTATTTCATCCTCTTCGTATTTTACAATTAGAAAATTAAGTTGACAAGCGCAATACAACTAAGGGAGGGAGAAAACTGGAATTCTTTTGAAAAAGGAAGAAAAAAAAAAGAAAAGAGGCAACGAATCATCCACATGTGTGATTGGATTATTTTTCAGTCAGTTTAGGAGTTTGGCTACAGTTTCATACAAACACATGCCTGAAAAACTTTACACACGAATTTACAATGTTCTTATTTACACATGCAATTAAATCCTGCGAATATTTTGAATGTTCTAGTTCATAAATGAATAAAAAGGAATTTTCGTATAAAAACCCTATAATTGTAGAGGTATGCAAAACGCTAAGAGTACACAATGTACTAATATCACAACTTGTTTGTAAAGACAATTGCATACTATATACAGAGAGGAGAACACTTTCAAGTTCAATGATAACAATAAGGTAGCACTAGAAATGCTTACACACATATGCAGAAAAATTCAACAAGTATTCAGCCAAATTCAACTCTCATTTGGATGTATTTATGGAAAAAGAAACTATGTTGCACCCGAACCCTATGGGCATAGCTCCTTTTGACACAAATACGTCCACTTCAGGATTAAGAACTTAACGTTTCTATTTGTTCATCATGTAAACTCAGTGCTTTAGTAGGAGATTGACATACAGGCTGGAAAAAAACAAAAAATTGTGGCATATTACAACTTGGATTTTGACTTTTTGTCGGCCAAGAGCAGGACCTACATTCAATTACAAACCTAAGTTCAACCTAAGTAAACCTAAGTTCAATTGCACTCCATTAAGAAAAATTAAGAAAATCAAAAACAAGCCATGCTTTTTGCTGGCACTGTATTTGCTTGATGTTTTGCCACAAGTAGGTTCCTATGGAATAAGGCATATAAAAGGATGAAAGGAAATTAAGTAATTGAATTTGCAGAAAAGTTTGTTAACTGATCGCTTAGGTCAGACTAAGGAGGTTGGACCCTCTCCATTCTTTGATAACATTTGCAACTGATGAAGGGTAAGGGTGTTCATTAGTAATATGTTGCTCTCAGGAGATGGAATTAGAGCCTCTTTCACAAAACTGAGGGAGGGGGCTTAAATTGAACACTAACCAAAATCTTATATACTTCATAAAGAAGGAGCACTTTGTACGTGACAAAATTAGAAAAACAAAATGCACTACGCAATGAGCCCTCATACACACAGTCCATCAGCCATAATCATTGACACCAATGTCGTCTCATGTGAGTTACAGTGATATTTTCTTTTTTTTAAAGTTACTATTCAAAAAACTCGATTTGTAAATTGTGTGTACTTCATGGGTTTTGTGGCAGAGATTTAATGGAAAAATTAAGGCGAGAACGAGAGGGATCCATAACATACCAGACCTTAAAGAGCCCTCATATCCTAAGTTTTGTTTTTTCTTACTTCCTTCAGAGGGGAAATACTACTTAACAAACGTCAAGTTATTCCTAGAGCATTCTGAAACATTTTTACCGGCACTTGGTGCAAAATTAGCCTGCTGTCGGAGGAAACTTAAACTCATACAAACTTTTAAGGTCAGGGTTCCTGAGGTGACATGCCTCTGAAATTTTGCCGAAATTTTCCTTTAAACTTATGCTGTTTTTGAACAAAATTCCATGAACTTGAAACCACACTGTAGAGAGAAATATAAATTCAAATTTCGTGGTGAGATATCAAACGGTTACCTTGAATTAAATACAAATGGGAAGAGGAACTTGCAAAATTTCATACTGAAATGCGCTTGCCTGGATTCCCTCTTAATAGTGGAAGCCAGGCAATGGAGCTAATAACACAGTATGTTCGCTGTTCTTAAACATAGTTTCTTTTCTCTAGAAATTCTCAAGTTTTCTGTATTCTGCTTTTATGGCAGAGTAAATTTCTATGAAATTTACTGATATTAGAGATCCTAGATTCTTCATTTAACCTCCCAGATTTATGTTTAAGCAAGCTCATGGAAATTGGGTGCTTCTGCTTAAGCAAAAATTTGAAGGCAGAAAGCATCAGACACTTTCAGCTGGAAAACCATTTAATGAACTCAATTAATTACGGCACTATTGTTGAAGAGAATATGGTCATATTTTGTTGAATCAAAGAAGTTCTTACTGTAAAAAATGTTTCGCTGTTGACCTTAATCAATTCTCCACGCTTTAGGTCTATCTTCCTTGTAATTTCTGGTGGCTACAAATAGAATTCAAAAACCTCGCCTTCCAAGAGAGCTCTGCAGTAGAAAAACTGACTCCAATTTTGGTGAAGATGAACTGATAATTGCAAAATGAATTTCAAGGATGCTAGAAAGTTAAAGCGCTAGAATGATTCGATGTAAACTCACAAAGGTAAGCAAAGCCCCAGTTTTGCTCCCACCTTGGAAGACTGATCAAAAAGTAAAGTTGTTGTATGAGAGCGTGAAACCGAAATGAGGAAATCGACAGCATTGGATGAATAGCGTCAACAACTCCAGGTCAACATTTTGAAAATTACGTAATTGAGATGCTGGATGTAGGGGAAGGGCAGTTCTCAGCTGTGTTCTTCCAGAATCTCCACTAATATGACAATCATTCAAAAACAATGCAGAATTATGTGTATCTTCCAGGCCTTTACCCATTATTTTTTATACTTACATAATGATCTTAAGAAATTGAATAGCGACAGAGATTCTGACAAACTGCAACTAAGAAATACGGTTCCTACACCAAGCACTTAAAGTATGGTAAAATTATGATTAGATGGATGACTACCAGGCTAATCCAGGACAAGGCCTAAAAATCTTTGAGCAGATGTTGTTCTAAACATCCATGTAACTTAAATATTAAGGCAAAAATAGAGAAGGCCTGCAGAAAGCTAGTTCCGAGACACATCAGAAAAAAGCGGAAGTCATCATAAGTACCGTGGAATATTCCTTGGAATATTACCTAAAATTCCAAAACTACGAATGTCAAAATTAATGTCCAATTTGACGTTCCGCCTATCATAAATGAGATAAGGAAAAGGGAATCCTAAACATAACTTTCATATTTTAGTTATTACTGATTGCTCAAAATTCACTTAGGCCATATCATATTACTCTACTAGAATTAGCTCTTGATTGACACTCAAAATATTTTGTTCAAAGGAGGCTGCTGTTGCCTGTACACAATTCCATTGAAGGGGAAAATGAGATTTTAATTGATAAGCAGAAAAAGTCTGAGTAAACTTAAGGACGCCACTTCTCGTCTTTGCATAAAATCTTCACAAAAATCTCTGAACACTTTTGACCTCCAGATGTGATATTACTCATGAATGTAGGTGTGTAAGGTTCCCAGTTTTTTAAGGAGGAAAATGGAGTAAGGATGGTTACTGAAACTCAGATCTCTGCCTAGAGGCGATGCAGGTTCTAGCGGTTGAGATATCTTCGCATCCAAACTCATTTCGTCTCAGATGCTGTTTGTCAGAGGCAGATGTTGCTCAGATGTACCTTTCAAAAACAATCCTTTGCAAGGCAAGGTTACATGGATGCCAAAACGCAGGCTATAGTTTTGTATGGATTCATAATTGTATAACCACAAGGTACCTTCCGAATTCATGCCAGAGACTTCTTCAAATTTTTTTAAAGCTCCTTTCTTAATTTTCTTCCACTCGTGGGGAAATTAATGAGTTTTAAAAGGGATACACAGTGAGGTTCAGAAAAAAAGGAGATTGCGGCTGATAAAATTGATTCATTTAAAAATGAAGAAGGTAAGATGTAAGTAAAGAGGTTTTGAACAAAGATCCATTGACAGCTTGCAATGTAAGTAAGATGACGGTTGGAGTGGAGGATAAAGGGAAAGATTTGATGAGTTTTCTGTGCTCAAATTAAGTGTTGGAAGATATGTCATGTTCAAGAGGAAGGTAGAATTTCTAAGTCTGAACTTTCATTAAAGGAACACAGAAGCAACTTGACGAAAGTTTTGTATTTATTCTGAATTGTAGTAAAAAAACAAAGGATGGTAAAACTCTTTAGTTTTGGAAAGTCAAAGAAGCTTCACTTGGAGAGTGAACCTGAGTGAAAGACTACAAAACATGTTTAACTGTGCTGCCTAAAGCAAAAGACTTTTGGGAGACATTTGGATTTCACTTTAGGACACTGAAAGTATCTTAGAAACAATAAGGACACATGAGTGAAATTAGGATTAACAAGACATGCACAAGACAAACATTGAATCTGAATAGCTCAACCGGCCTGCAGCTTCGATCAGGTGTCACAAATTACAAGATAAAAATACAAAATGTACTGTAATTGCTTAATTTTGAAAAAAAAAGAGAAAAAATTCACGAGGACTAGTTCAAATTCTGGGAATAACCTTCCAAAAAACAGTGAGGAGGCTCATACTCAACAAATATCATAAAGGTTCTTTCATCATAATGAAACAATAAAAAATTTAGATAATGGTTACAAAAGAGAAGTTGAGAAGAAAAATATAAAAAAAGTAACTGCGAGTGAATGCATTTTGCAAGGAAAAAGGACGAGACACATGCACAGCACACGCTTGGGAACTTGAGTGAGTTGTGAAATTCGTTGGTTGGAATATAAGACATGCTAAACAAGGATTCGGGAAAGGAGACTGAGATTAGGTCATCAAATTACACCTAACTTAAACAAAACTTAAACTTAATTGTTGACCGCAAAATTTTCAGTAATCAAGTAATAAAATTTGCTAAAGTCTATAACGTTATCTCCTATCGAAAAGACAGAATTTTCATAAATAATACCAGCGGTCTGTACATACGTAGAAATTTCAATTTCTACATTAAAACTTCCACACTCATACTCTGACTTCTCTTTCAATGTGAAAGAACTTTTGGAAATAAAAGGAATACGTGACGGAAAAAGGAAGGAGTAGAATTAAACTGAGAGATATTTGAAATACTAAGAATAGAAAATAAGTTAGCGAAATTATCACTTGGAGAGAATGTTCTTATAGAAAATCTGACAATAGTACGAATTAAGGTCAACAAATTGAGTCTCGAGAAAATTACAAATAATACTTGTGGAAGCAGAGTTAAGTTGAGAACTCAATTTCTCAGAAAGAAAGAAAAATAAACCTTTTTACGAGACATCATTGCGTGATGATTCTATCCAATCGTTTATGGCTCAAACCTTGCTCCCAGAATAATCAACGACCACAGATCAAAATCAGAGCCCCTGCAACCGAAAGCACAAACGGTTAAACCATCATCATCTCAAAGCTTCGCCAGTGTTCTAGAAAATTGTATCATTCAGGTCGAAAACGACCTAACTTTGAAAATTTGAAAAAACATCTCATAGCAGAGAAATGGTTTTTAGGACCCAACGCAACATAAACTTGATTTTTTTTTTTCTAAACATTTTTCCGTATACTTAGAGGATGACGTAGATCTATTACGAGAGTGTCTAATAAACAAAATTTGCAGCGCAAAATAGCAGGACGAATTTATGAGGGCTCAAATTTTTGAGGGAAAAATCATTACAGACTGGAAGACAGTGCTGCAAAGCTCAGTACTGAAGCATTGTGAAGTTATGCAAAAAAAAAAAACAAGGATCTTGAAGGGGAGTTCGTGACTGCCCCCGATATGGGTTTTCCCTCCTTGACTTTCCTGGTCACTAAAATCCCTTCATTAGTCGCTCTATGATGGATTAACAATACACTCTGAAATCATTTTTAAATCACTAAAAACAAAATACTCCGATTAGTATTTTTCGTTTTTTGCACTTTTCCCCTTTTGTTGGATAGTTTTCGAACTTTATGATTCATTCGGTCACCCCATCCCTAAATTACATTAGTTCCTTGACACAAAATTCCTCAACTTCTCAGAAGAGTTAGCCATACAAACTTCAAATCAATGAAATAATTTAAATGGGGGAGTAATTTGCAACAAAATAAAATTTCTTGACAACTTTCAACAGAAACATGCTATGACAAAATCTTCTGCATGGCCAAAGGTCAATATGTTGAAAATAAACTGGGAGTGTGCAATGTAGTTGAGGTGAAGTAACGGTCTTCCTTCGAAGCTACTTGTACTTGATGCGAGACGAATAGTGTTATTGCAGACTAGAAAGTAACAATGTTCTTCTCAATACTTGCTCTGTTTTTAATTATAAGAATTCAGAGATAAAAGCATTCACATAATTTATTTTTCATCTTCTGGGCGCTAAAAATTTACTATACACAGTTTGATGTGCATGTCCTTGGTTAGGCCTTTCTTCCAACTTAAAAGATAGTATCCCTTTAGTTAAAAAAGAGTCTCTTACACAAATTAGATATGCAGAGAGAGTAGATTTTCAACATGTAAAATCGCACGAAAATCACGTTGGGCACATCCAAAAAGACTGAAATCTACTCCTTAACGCATAATCTGCAAGGTTGTAACATGCTTTATTAGATTTCCAGCGTCCTCAGGCTGTTTTTCTGAATGACCAGCAATCACTAATTGCTCTAGAGATACAAGAGAATCTAACCTAAAGAAATAAACAATCCCGCAATCTATCACTAACTCTTTTACAAATGATTTCTACTGATTTAAAGCTTCTGATTAGGCTACGCAAAGAAACAAGGTGCAAAGGTTTGAACTTGATTCAAATTATGAAAGAAAGAGTTTGCCAGATTGTTTGTTTATTTAGGTTAGATTTTTTGACTTCTTGGGCCAAGTAAACTTGCAGCCCCTTTTTAGAGAGAAATGAAGACACATCAACTCAAGAATATCACAAACAGGAATATAGATTACGTGGTTTGAACGTTTTTGGTAATCTTTTATCTAATCATTCTCACACTTCTTTCCTCTAGTCCATTTCTCTAACGTCCTTCTAACTCCTCTGTCCTTTCCTGTTTACAAAACTTCATGATTGGTGAGAATGTAATGTTTACTCTCATTTGTGATACTGAGGAGACCTAAAATATGGGAACCAATCAGAAATGGATTCCTCATGTCTTAACTCTCAGGATAAAGGGACTCTAGATAAACATGACCGCCGACGATAGAAAAAATTGCCCAGGGAAGCGGGAAATTTGAAAAAGTATGTTACAAACTGCATAAATTTCAAGCCTAAGAGTAGCTTTCAGGCTTTGTGATATGCCCATCATGATTTATGCTTGATTTTTCTTTTGGAAAGTTAATTCATTCAGCTGCGTCTCTTGCAAGCAACTGACCCATTAAGAGTGAATCCATCCTTGGGATGATTTGCATGTTGGAGCAAACTGAAATCTTCAAAACGTCAGACTATTTTGAGAATCAGATTCAAATCTGGCAGCTCTGACAATAAAACTCAAGGAAACTTACCACATGATCTCACTTATGTTGGTACGACGAAGAATAGTTGTCATCAGGTGACGCAGCAGTAGAAGCATGGTCTCCACTATCGCCGGGCACCATTGCAGCATGGAGAATGGACGGCCCTGCAGGACCAGCAAAATAGGGATAGGCAGGCGGCCCTGTTGTTATGTACTATAACATCAAAAAGACAAATTAAAATGAGCTTCATATCGAATCGTATCATTAATTGTTATTAAATTGATAAGTTGTTATCCTTGGAGCTCACTCTAACATATTCCTGCAGGCTAATTATTGAGATTGATAGACAAAGCCATAGATAGGAAAAAACCAAGAGAAAATTGAGGAATCCTATTGGTGGAAGTCACTGAATGAAATGAACAAAAGAGGTAAGTAAAAGACTAACTGACAGCGACTGACAAAAGACTTGTAGTTAGTCTATTATTTCCTTTTCAGTCTAAAACAACCACCCATTTCAACCAATTGGATAGCTCCAATTTCCCCCTGTTTTCTTTATCGATCAATTTTACTGATCAGCCTACTGACCTAATCACAAGTAATTATATTTACATTTTTTTCTTTCCTACCTAGTTATTAAACCAAAACCAAGTGATAATATTTCTTGAAACTTTCAGCGGTCTTTCTAGACCTATGATCACTGTCCACACTTGGACGTAGTTCTAGCAGATAGAACTATGTGCAGGTGGGAAAGATGAGGTGTGCTTGTTAGTGGAGGGCCGTGAGAATGAATGGGAATTATATAGCGCCTGTGATGGCAGCGGCGACGACGAAGACTCCGGTCTGAGGATCCGAGTCTTCAATCCATGAGCCCTGTCCGCAACGCTCTTTTCCCATGCCCATGTCTCTAAGAAACATGTGTCTAAGAAAAATGTGTTGAGGTGCTTAATTTTGAAACCTGCTTCATGGTTTGTTGCTGGTTGCAACTGCCAAATACTTTGTAGCAAGCAGAACAACCAAGGACAGGTTTCTTAGAGCAAGAATTTTTGGCACAGAACGCTTAAGGTACTACACTTGAGTTGTGAAAGTCCACCACATAAGGTGGAATCGCGGCCCATCAAAAAAACTCCATCCGATTTCATTTTACAGATTCTTGCGCTGCCTCTGGTCAACAACCTACCCACCTTAAAAGCAAGGTTGCCTTAGAATTTACAAAATGAATTTTCTTTACACATTTCAGTAAAATTCCTTGACAATGAATGATATGCCAGATCCTTAAAAAGACATAAGTAGAGGTTGTTTTCACGCAAAATATGTACAATGGAGCCCGTATATAACAAACTCGCTTTTAACAAAGTTTCCGATATAATGAAGTAATTTTCATTTTTTTAGTGCCTCCATAAATCAATGGTAGAAAAACCCACCTTTAACGAAGTCCCGGCGGCGACACCTCGCGTATAACGAAGTAATTTGCTGCCATTTCCGCTATTGTGTTCGGTATTTTCTGCTTTCTAGGCGAGTTCCGCTCGCTTGCAGTAATACGTGTGGTGGTCGCGGAGTCACGAAGTTACGAATAAACAAGACGAATCTACACAGGTCAGTCATTCCCAAGGACGAGTTTTGGAACTCTACTGCGCAGTGACGTAGTATTGAGTGCCTGCAATGTATTTCTTATGGGAGCACCCATTGTGACATAGCATTGAGTGCCGCCGAGTTAGGGCAAGGCGGGGGAGTGGATCACAAGAAGATGCGCAGTGACTGACCTGTGTGGATTGGTCTTGCGAATAAAAGAGAATGAGCGATAACGAAGTGAGCGCTCACTGCGCAGCGGGCTGCGCATGTCTCACACCTCACTCTCTCACACTTGCACGCGTGTGCGATGGAGGGGAGGGGGGAGTCCAGCAACGCGCCGATTCATCCCATGTCCCTAGTTAGCAGGATTCATCTCCGTCATTTTTCTCCAGGAGCCTCTCCAGAAAGCTTTCCGGGAAGGGGTTGTATTCACGTTTGAGAGGATTATTGGAGACGAATTCTGAAAGCAGGTAGGACCCAGATTCTACCGCCACTCGTAACCGGGTTTTACGCAACTCCTGAGGCATTTCATGGAGTTGAGTTCTGCACCGCGAGGAGCGTTATTGTTGAGTGTTTCCCAGAGCTGCCGCACGTGACCGCCCGAGCATCTCGTTGACGTCGGCCACTTTCATAGGTTAGGGTCTGTCCGTTTGTTCATGCAATTTATGAGTCCGCTTTTAACGAAGTTCCGAATATAACAAAGTTTTTCTGGGAACCGTGAACTTCGTTATATACGGGCTCCACTGTATTCGAAACATCAAACCCATTCTAGAAAGCAAATAAGGGTGACAGAATAATTTTTGCCTGACATTTCTAGGTTTTCCCAGACTACGGCAACCTTGTTCATGGCAGTTCTTCAAAAGCGAGTTTTTTTAAAAATGATGTGACTGTATTCAACGCACATGTATCAATAAGCTCCAGTCTTGGATGCTGGTGAGGAGTAAGAGATGCAGAGTTTTAATTTCAAGTATCATGAGAGTATTGAGGGGACGAGTAAAGGGGAGCAAAAACTACGATTGACTTTTACTTACAGAGCCAGTGGTGCTAAGTTGAAGGGCTGACATGTGAGTTGTCAATTGTGGTATCATAGAACTATATGGTACTGCACCGGGATCAGTTTGGGGCATCATCTGACAAGAAAAACAACAGACAAAGGTGAGTCGAGCAATGAATAACACAAGGAGACAAGACTTTTGATCAATTCATTTCTCAGAAGGCTTACTCTGAAACTTCAAAAACAAGAGTTAAAAACAAATTATAGTCCTTTCCTGCATGATGTGAAAAGCATGTGACGTCTAAGCCCAGTTCATAGAGTACATAGATTTGTAATGTAAATGGGAGAGCTGGCGCCATTTTTAAGCATTTTCCAGGTCCCAGCTTCCGTGACTCCTGTGTCATGCCGGGTCACTTTTTCAATACACCGGGACCCGGCCATGTGATGTAAAAAAAGAGGACAGGAATTACTGCGTACTCTATATCGCCATTTTGGATTGAAAATGAATTGAAAAAGTGATCAAAGCTCAGCGCACACCGAGCTCGGAACTTGTCAGTCAGGACATAGTGTCAGTTCTCTCCTTTGCATTACAAATCTATGTACTCAATGCCCCAGTTTTAAAGCCCTATGAGCGCATTTAAGATTTCTTTTCATTTTTAAAAAGGCTTGCTTTTTAGGGGAAACCCGCTATTTTACCTCAAACTAGATTAACTCTAGTTGATAAGATAGTGAAATTAAGGTTAATGGATAGTAGTGGATGATAAGAAGTAGGTGGGGATCAGTGACAAGCAGTTTTTTCCGCGTGGTTTTCGTAGGTTTTGCAGTCAATACTTGTAAACGATAAATTTTCCTTGATGCAGTGAAGATTTTCATTATTAGCATCGTATAAGTAAGAAGCAAAATGGTAGTTTTTTAATATTACCACAAACGGGCGAAAAAATACCGGACCAGTAGTCAGACAGTATTGAATTCAACTGCGTCAACTTTTCCTAACTTTCCATCAAGATCAGTGTGCAACATGTATACTTGTTGGAAAACATATTAAATTTGGGCTTTATTTGCTCAAATTGCAAGTCAATATCTTGACTTGTTAAAAAGTCATGAGGCAAAGTCTTTCATCGGTTTTTCAACTTTGAACCACTGCTCCTACCAGATATTGTGGCTTTTGGGCTTTTTTGCGTTTGTTTTTTTTTTAAAATTTGGGGGCTTAAATGTTTGGAAAAGATACCCCTAAATTAACCATTTTAAAATTTCAAACATTCAAGAGATACAAAGAGGTGTGGGATGTGGATTGCGCATTGATCCTTTTCTTGAAAGTGAGAAAACTAGGTAAAAGGAGGACTTAAGTATGGTTCATCAACACATGAAATTTGGAAAAATCCAAGTGGGGCCAAATAGAGCATTTCTTTAAAAAAATCTCAATTCTCGAAACCCCACTCCTGTGCAAAAGAGTTTAGGTATTACTCGAACTTTAATTTACTCACATAATGTTTGTTCATAAAGAGCACAAAGTTAATATGCACTTATGCTGCCAAAAATATGATCAAAGTTATTTCTTCATTTCATAAGGTTAAAGCTCCTTTAAGAAGCGAGACAAAGTATATGAGTTGCCAGGGTTGCCACAGAATTTAGAAAATGAAATTCCCTGACCTTTCCCTGATTTTCCTGATACATTTAGGAGGAGTTCCCTGACAATTGAGGATACGACAGGTGGTTAAGAAAACACAATTAAAAATAGTTTTTAGGCTACATTTGTTGTTAGAAACCTCAAACCCAATAAAGGTAATTCAACAAATTTTCAGAGAGCAGAGAGAGTAAATCCTGTATTTTTTCTTTCTTTTCTTTGGGTTGTTTTCCCCCTAAATATAAACAACCCTCCGTATTCAGTCACTTGAGCAGAAAGTCTGAGAAAGGTTAACCCTAACTTAAAAAATGATGGCTTTGAAAAGAAGATCACTGAGTTTTGGATAAGAACTAAGGGGAGGATCGCAAACTCACATCAACCTGAGCAATATGAGAGGGCTGGACAACAGTATACTGGGGATGAATCCATGGTGACGATAAAGATGTATAACCAGGAATTGGTTGTGTATAGCGCCCGTACTGAGCTAGCGTTGGCATGACTGGAGTTGCGGCTACTCCATTCTGACCCAGAGTTGTACCATCATAATTTAGATGACCGCCCTGAAACAGAGACAATTTTGCTTTAAATAGGAGAGAAGACTAAAATGTGAGTTCTGCCAATTAGCCAACACTGTTTCTTTCGCTTGGCTACATCATCAGCGCCTACTAAAATTATCATTTCAAACGGGTCCCAATCTTGACATTTTCGAAATAATTTTTTTGCCATTTAGGATTGAAAAAAATCTGAGCAAATTCCTAGGAGCTTACTTTACTCCGTTCTTTTAGAAATTGAATTAAAAAAAGTGGTTTCCACTGACTCAATAAGCAATAGGACCAAGATTTACGATAAAGAAGTGCTATCTTTGGCTCATTTTAGGAACAACGTATGAGGCATTTTTTTATCAATGCAGACAAGTGCTTTCAGGTGTGAGCCAGAGGTAGTAGTTCCTCAGAGAAAAATCAAGTCTGACTGGTACTGGAACAAAGCAGAGTTCCGTAAGAATATTTTGAGGCAATTACATGCGTAAGAGCTTCAATTCAAATGGAAATTACATACAGCTGTTCCAAGTCTCCAGTTTGAAAATCATTACTACAACATCCAGCTATTATTAAATTCTAATCTATAATGTTTAGGGTACAATGTTACCGCATTGAATGCAACTTTCTGCCTCTAATGACACGAGAACCAAGTGGACAACTTACACCTTATTCACGGGAATTTTTCGTTAGCACCTAAAAATTCAATTTTTTTCACCCATCTCCACAGAACTCGCTTTGGAGAAAATTTTCCTGCTGTTACCGAGCACTGTTTTCATTTGAAGGGTCTCACTTGAAGAAGAACACATAAAGTCATACAAAATTGCTGGAGATATCAAAAAGGGACCGAAATAACGAGTACCCAGGGACAACATTAGTGGTTAGCAAATTCCTACTTATCCCATTTCATACTGCATCCATGGGAAAATAAACGGGACCAGGTGGCAAAATGTCCTCATTTTCGCCATTCCTTATTCAATAAAAGCTTCAAAACATACTCATATACTCACTTCAGAGTCTCTCCACATTCGAGTATCATTCCTGTAAGGACTACGTTTTTTCTGACCACCGTCAGCAAATTTGACGAGTAAAGGCTCTTTGGAACCAGGTATGGTAGTTGCGTTGAACATTTGTATGATGTCTTCACACTTTTCTTTGGACTCCAACCTGGAAATGGAAAAATCAATGTCAGTGTGATTGCATTCCTTCTGCTTGTGTTGTCATAAATATGAATAGAAAGCCCCCGCCCAAGTTGGACAATTGAACTAACAGGAAATACACGAAAAAATCTGGTTTCCAGGGTTTTTACAGCATGGTCTACAGAGGGTCTTCAAGCCAGAGCCTATTTTTATGCCATACCCACACGAGAAATTTTATTGCTTTTGCCAAGGGTTTCAAATTAAAAAGACACTGACTTAATTTTAACACAACTCATGATTTAGGGGCTAATCGGGAAAATTATGTTTATACCCTCAGTTTACTATGTTGTTCCCTAATATCTGTCATTTGAAATGTAAGAGTTGGCTGCGAGTTGCTAGAATTTTCACCTGAATGGCAGTAAAGTACATTTCCTTAACTCCTTCATGGATATGTGGACATCACAAAGCAAAATAGATAGGGCTGTGCGAATAGTGAATTTTCCTGACAAAGCGAATAGCAAATAATTTTGGCAACTATTCGCGAATAGCGAATAATTTAAGTCAATTATTCACAGCTACGAATAGTAAAACGAATGATTTGAAATGACTTTTTCAAGTTTGAAAATTCGCGAATATTACTAAGGTGGACAAAAAAAATGTGATTAATTTTTTTGAGAATTTTCCATTTGCTCATACATCTGCACAGAAAACAATGAAATGCTATGATAGTAGCCTAGGCTGTTAAGAATGTGTTTGAAAATCCCTGGATGCTCGCTTGACTGTCCCTGCAGTTACGTATGCATTCCCAGGATTGAAGGTAACTGCACGGGCAGTCAAGCTAGTATCGAAGGATCACCAGACACATTTTAGTATTTTATTTTTTTCGGTGTAAATGAAAATGTATTTATGAACTTTTCTTTCGCACAATGTTTCACGATTGCCACTCGAAAATTCGTTATTTTTGGAGGCGCAAATAGATGAAAATTTGTTCTTCGTGACGGCGCGAATATTTGAAAATGTCAGTTCAAAAATTCACTACTCGCGAAGGCGCGATTATTCGCAATTTGCGAGTAATGCACGAGGCAGACGAAGCGAATATTCCCAACGCGAATAGTCGGAATTGCAAATACATATTCACACAGCCCTAAAAATAGATCTGAGTGAAATTTTTAAGAGAATGGACCACTGGACAAGGTTCATAATTGAGCATTATGATTAAAGTTTTCTCTTCAAAACTTACACAAAATATAATTTGCACAACTTAAGTTCCTCAATCAACACGATGATAACGTTTTTATTTAGGATGGTAAAGGAAAATTTAAATCTCTTGGCCACAAAGACTTCAGAGTCTACTAAAATAAAAAAAATCCCTCACTACGACGGTTCTGGAGGCTTTTTCATCGAGCAGTGTGCGTTCCTGGGCCAGCATTGTTCAAAATGTAAACAACAATGTTTACGAATGTAAAATGTCCTGTGTACAAGACTTAATTAATTAGAAAAATTATAAGTAGTAAAAATCAGAATGTATCAAGCGTTTTTAAGAGATTCAAACAAAATATCAAGCCTAACTCTAGAGACAGATGATATTGTAAGTTGTCAAATACATTACATAAAATTTCTTTGAAATCTCTGATAAGCTCTAAGATAAACAAAAAATAACTGACCTTGCAAAACCAACACCTTTGCTAACATTGTTGGGATCTCTCAAAATCCTTGTCGATATAACTTGACCATATTTCGCTAACATGTTTTCTAAATCGTTTTCTTTGAAATTTAGAGGCAAATTGGCTATGTATAGATTTGTCGGGTCTTGCTCTTGTTGCTGTGAGAAAAAAGAAAAAAAAATCAATTAGAAAAGAAATTTCGTTGGCTTCACTTAAACTATCAGGAAACTTATGAGAATATGCCTGTCATACTGAAAAATAGTGACAGGAAAGCTGTTATCTTAATTCCAGTATTGCTGGCAGTGCTACAAATCATTAGCTACATTACTTAGCTTTTTGATAGTGAGATTTAACTAGATGTAAAAATGGCTGTTGGTATTAAATTAGGTTAACTTAAATACTGCCTAACAGAGTGTCCTAAACGTAAACCTATTTCATGGTGTATTAGTAATTAAAGACATAACAAGAAAGAAAGAGAAAAGAAAATAGGAGCCTCATCAACCTAATAACAGCAATTAGGGCTTGCATTTTGAAAGCGACAAAAATAAATAGTTATGGTGAGTTAGCAATGCCACTTGTGACCAGCCGCTGGGACGCGGCTCATAACTTAGGCTCACAAAATTTTCGAAGGTTCTAAATGACTGAGTTGGGATAGAAAATATTACATTTCTATTTTTGACACAATACACAGCAAAACACATAGTGTATGTCGGGCTGACAAACATTTTTAGCTTATATGTCTTGTAAATTCCCTTCAAGTGAGAGTTAAACAAACTTGAACTGATTTTCTTACACAAAAGAATACATATTTCTATTTCAGTGCTTCAATATGCTCTGGAAACATGTTTCTAGGATTGAAATGGGGGAAATTATTTCCTCCCAAAAGCCGATCATAATCTATTTTAACAGAGAAACTCCCGAAAACTTTATCTTGTTTGTAGTGTTTTAAAATTTCTGCTCCTATTTTATTTTTTAAAATTGAACAAATCAGCATCATTCCTTCAAGTTTTCTCAAAAAATTCGTAGCTTCCAGAAGAGATATCATGGTAGTTTTTCATTAAAAAATGAAACATGACAAGAAGTCTGCCATGTCACTAACAATGATACGTGGTTTGGGAGTTATACTGTCGATTTTCATTTCCAAGTTGAGGGCCGTCTTCCAACAGCCAGTCACAAATCTCTTGGATTAAGAATGTCATACAACGAGTTACAGCAACTAAAGACAAATAGTTCTCAGAATTTGTATTGAGAAACTATTAATTGCTGTTTCAGAACATGTACATGGTATTGTGGAACAAGACAGGGTCATTGATAAAATATGGAAAAAATGATGTGGCTTAAATTTTATCACTTGATATCTACAATTTCCATCTTCCCCTCACTATCAGAGGTTTTGAATGGCCTCCCCATCTTACAGTTGTCTAATGGACTGAACTTTTTCCATCTGCTTTGACATACAGATAAGCTTCTCTCTACCATAAGCAGAGCTACATTTTCTCGTATTTTTTCCTGTTTGTAAACTAGCCTCTTAGTGCCACAGCATGGCATAATAAAAAGGCCAACTGAAAAAAGTTGTTGCATTTTCACTTGGTGCTTTTGTTACTTCTTCAACAAAAAATTTAGCATGATAATTGGATGTGATTGAAGATAAATCGTCAATTGATTCAACAAATTTTCCAGGATGATTTTTTGAGATTTGATAGAGATGTCAAAATTAAGTTTGGTAGTTTTCCAAGTTGGATCCTAGTTTCAGGCTAGATATTGAGACATACATAACTGCACACTCATCTGATACAGATATTCTAAAAATACAGGAAAATGGAGGGTACCAAAAGGGAGATTGACTTGACACGCTTTATATTCCTACATCATTTTTAACTTTTTCTTACTATCCCCTGTATCATATTTTATGGGGACTGATAGTTGTATTCAATTTTCTCCCTCAACTAACAATTGGTTAACAAACAAGGCAACTGTTCTTTGTTTTCCCTTGCTGAACTTTCCTCCCAACAAAGTAAACTTACATCCTCACTATACGCATGGGTACAGATAAAAAATTAAAACAATTATTTCCTCTTTCAAATTTTTCTTGAGGAAATATCAAAGGATTTAAGTTGCTTCATTACAAATGTTTTCTTTAAAGCTTCAACATGAATCTCTCCATGAATTCTGATCAGTGAAATAAGTCAGTCCGTCAAAGTTTTGGTAACACTCTGTTTCATGATATCACTTCAAATTGACCCAAGTCCACACTTTCAAGAGCAGCGATTTTGAAAACTTGGGTGATGTGCTTTCCACTCACATAAATTGTGAGGAGACAGTACGGAAATAAATAGATTTATATCTTCATTTAAAACAAGACACAATTATTGACCTCATGGGGCTGTTGCAAAGGTATAAAAGGGTGACGTATTACCATTCAATTAAAAATTTATAATGAACGAGAACTGAGCATACAATATCTCTATGGTTAGAGAAAAAATTTTTACATGACCTCATAGCAGTACTGCTTATTCTGTAAAAGCAAAGATACTCTTTTGCCCAATCCTTAGTTTCGTTTTGACGTCTCTGAGCTTGGTAGCAGAAAATCAGGAGGCTGTGCTGCACTGATGGTGGGTCTACTTAGACCTGAAATGCGTCTGCAGTTGCCTTCCTGGTTGGTAGTAATTAGAGCTGCTCAAAACAAATTACCTTTTGAGGGAAAATTTAGCTCTAAATGAATTTTCCCTTCAAACTGAGAATTTCTCCTTTCCGAGAATAAGCACCAATGATGTAAAAATTTAGAGTGCCTTTCTAGACAGAGTATGGCCATTTCTGTGCCGGTTTCTCAATGGTCGCGTGAAAATAGGCTGACACGATGCCGTTCTTACGGCCGTAAATAAACAAACAAGATGGCTGTTATCAGCAAGCAAGCTAGAGGTTATGTACATCTCACACCGTCCTGTGATAAAGGCGAGAGGCAATTTTACCGTGTTTTCATGTGTTTTTCATGTGTTATTCGTAGATATGCTAGTTTAAATTGTTACTGCCATATAATTGAAATTTTAGCTTCTTATCAACGTTACGGTGAGTCACCATCTTCTTTGTTTATTTACGACCTTAGGAGCATCATGAAGCCTAAGAACTCGTTGACCAATCAAAAAGCGGCACAGTTTTCCTGTAGTAAAAGGATACAAATGGCCATAATCTGTCTATAAAGGTACTCTGTAAAAATCTTGTCTCTAAACATGGATGATATCCATAAATTGACAAAGATGAAGTGATATTTCTCTTCAACTTTTACATTAAATGTTCAAAATTTCCAGAATTTAACTTTTGACCATTGCAGCAGCTCCATTTACAACTTTTGAAATGAGGAATTTGCATCTTACTATGTTCCCCTCAGTCATGAGCATTGCACACAAGGAACTGGAAGTAACGTTACTAATGTTGCCAAAAACTTTTTCTTCCCCTTTCTTCTCAGAAACTATTGGTAGGCTGCAGCCTTCAATTTTTTTATTTTTACTACTGACATTGCAATAGTCTGAGTCATGACCCAACTTGAGGATAGATTGCATTGAATTCAAGGCTATTCTACAATGCTGATTGCGAAGAAGGAAAACTTAAAGGGTATAGGCATATCTACAGATTAAGAACTTTTGCGTAAAAAATTCAGAATAAATCAGTCGGGTTGTATTCGACAACAAAAAGGAAGGAAAACTTGTATGATATCGGAAACACTAGTGGCACTGCTCGCAGTTCCCTGAGACGTTATGGGAGTAACTTCAGGTGCTTGTACCGCCGGAATGGAGGCAAGTTCCGAGACGAAACTTCCTTTTCTGCTTTAAATTTATGTTGAGCTATTTAAAAAGCACAAATTTTCTATTTAGAATTATTCTCCTCGAACTACTTTCAGATGCAATAAAACCTATTTTGGACTTAAGAGTTATTTGAATAACATTTCTTTCCGTTTTTCATTTTCATGGAATACTGCAAAACTTGATTTTTCCATTTTGAGATACCCTCAACCATATTGATAGGCATTTAGTTTTCTTTTCCTCATCAACACTAAAATCTCATTTGCCGGTAGCAATGGTTTGAAGAACACTTATCAAACTAAATTTAAACTAATTAAGGTTCAACAATGACGACTGAAGCTTGCGACTTTCACAGAGGATTGCAAATACTATTCTAAGAGAGATAAGCAATTTTGTACAAGAGATTCTAAACAGGTGTCAAGTACTGTATAAAATATAAGCTCTAATAATGGCAGAAGTAGGATAAAATTGTTCAGCAAATTGAACGGCAGTATAATGATTACAGAACAGTGATGAAATCTTGCCATGTAATGGTGTGGTACAGGAGATTAATATGTAAAAAGAATCAGAAGATGAAGTGCCATGAAACTTAGTCACACGACATGAAATGAAGCTATAGTAAGGAGGGACAGCGTAGCAATATACACTCATTCTATTGGGGTTTGTCGCATCAAGCAAAAATGATTGAAAAGGGTCAGAGCGTAAAGTTAGAGTAAAAGAAAACGTCGACTTAGCCCTACAATATTACACAAAGTTGTCGATTGTTTAATCCGTTCTGATTAGGAGTCTAACAACGCTTCAATCATTGGGACGGGCATTGACGTTTTTGCAGCAAGGTTATTAGGATTTGATGATATATATTCGTGCCTGTCAGGGTATCTATATTGCTGCATGTCATCATTCAAAAAATTATGCTTCCTTAGGGTGTGCAAAAACATGAGAAGGATTTTTAGCTTTGAATTGATACAAATTTTTTAATCACTGGTAATGTGAATAAATTTGTAAGTTGGAGGCCAGGTTAAAGAGAATAGCGACTACTTCAACTTCAAATAAGAATTTAAAGCACTGCAGATAGTTTGTCATTTAAATGTTTTTTTTTTTTGTAGGGCTTTTTTCGAATGTGTGGTACTTCTTAGGCGTATTTAGGCCCTCAATTTAAAGGGCCTGTGATTAGAGACTTCGAGATGGATGAAAAGACACGAGCTCCCCAAATGATCTGAAGCTAAGATGCTCGAGATTTCTTTCTTTACAACAACTAACTTTCTACGTTTGATGAGGGAGGGTCCTATTTGAGGCTAAGAATATTATCAAGGAGACGGCACATGAAAAATTGTCTAAGAAGACCAAATTGGTAGACTATTGATAAGATAAATGCATTCTCACACAACATTTTGACACTAATATTAAGGACAAAAGTACAATATTGATTCTATGAATGCATAAGGAGAAGAGGTGGCTGTAGAAATACAGAGAAGACGAACCCTATTTAATAACAAACTGTACTGAGGCCTTGCCTGAATAAATTAAAAATATTCTATTTCAAGCTAGAAAAAGATACAAAAACAGGAGGGCTAAAGACGCTAAGTTGTCATAAATCTAAGACCTAGGGAAACTGCTAATGTCTAATGTAACAGGTACGATGGGTCTCTTTAGCCTAAGTAACAAATTTATATGCTAGAACAAAATTACAAGAAACCTAATTTCATATTTACCAGCCATTTTAATCTTTGGACAAAACGAGAAAGTAAAATTTCATTACAGATAATTAGTTATTATTTCAACTCCAACACGATCAACGAAGGCACAAAGAAACAATTACTATCATGGGGATTTAATTTAAACAGCACTCTTCAGTAAAATCTACCTCAGTTGTCACCATCAGAAAGGAATTTACGAGGGGAAAAAACGAGGCTCAATTGAAAAGATCTTATAACAAAATTGGAAATCAGCGATGAAACTTTCAATTAATAAAAATATGCTAATTGTGAAAACAATCCCCGAGGGAAAGAATCTAAGATAAGGTCAAGTGTGTTATGCATAAAAAAATAATGTGAGGTTCATTATCCTACAAGAATGCAATGTGAATAAATACCAAATGTCAGTCAATTGAAAAAAGAGGGGGAACAAATTGAACCAACTGAAATAAACTGAGATTGTATAATTGTAGTTAGAAAACACTGTGATATGAGTCAGGGTCACTGAATAAGTTTGATAGGTTTCGATTTGATTCCTTGGAAATGATTTAACCTAACAGGAAAAAATCTATCGAGTCCCTACTCATTTATCCTCATCATTTCAAAGGAGAATCTGGATACAATACATGATAGTCTGGGGATCAGGATCAAATTCATCACTAATTTGTTCCAAATCAAGTTACGATAAGAATTGGGATTCTCTGACCTTTTTCCAAGCCATGAGAAAATTTCCGGATTTTCTTTGGACAATCCAAAGTCTGCAACAATTCCCTGATATTCTTTTCTTTTCGGATTTTTGAGGTTTGCTCATTGAATTCTTCCTGTACATTTTGCTCCAAAGGCTCAACCCTCACTCATGGTCAAACAGTGTGCATATAACACTATATTTTAAGTCCATAGAATATAAAGGTTGACCCTTTTTTTATTATATAATATCTTTTTTTTTGTCTGCCTATGAAACTACGCACAGTAACCATTTCCTGCAGGAATCGCTTGGTAGATATGGAAAATTTCTGGAAATTTTCTTTTCCCTCAACATAATTGAACCCTCAACAGGTCTTGATGTATTAAACCCCACAGCTCAGTTATTTACTAGTGATAAGCATTCTCAAACTTGAAACATTTTTCATTTTTATACTATGCGCTAACAAAGTTAGTGGGAAATTGGCTAAAAACCCGGATCATTGCCTGAACGCATGAAGCACGCTTTGGGACATAGAAGTGCAGCAGCTCCATGAAAAACCGATGTAGGATGAAGATGAAATAAGTTTGAAATTTTTAAAGAAGAAAAAAGGACAACAAACGATTACGACGTGAGATTGAAACAAGATATAGCAATGACTAATTTTGTGACATTTTTTGATTTCTCGTAAAATTGATTTAGGTATCAAAAATGTATTGTCTAAATTTCCTATAATGATAGCAAAGGGTTTAAGAATTTGTTGAAGTATATGAGAATAAAAGAGTTAAGGCTCTAAAATAATAACAAAATGCAAGCATTCAAGGTTATTGATTAGAGGTCTTGAGTTTATTTGTTAGTGAAAAATGAAAATACAGCTAAAGAAAGAAGGGGATTGACACCTGTGGTCCAAAAATTTACAAAAGAATACTTTGTTTAGAGAGATGAGTCTAAATTCTCACTGATTCAGGAACCCTTCCAACAAAAAACTGTGGACTGATACAACTGCCACTACGAACAAATTTTTGGGGAGAAAGTTCATTGAGAAAAATAACTAAAACCAAAAAGATGTGGCTAAATAGATAGAAATGGAAAAACAAAAACATAAAAGATAATTTTAAGATCTTTTCAACTGAGACGTCACTTCTTACTGATGAATACACCCGAAATTTCTGAAAAATATGAATAACAGAGGTAAAATGTTGACCCAAATTTTTACATGTGTAAAATATAATATAATCAGTGAGAATTCAACGAATTGATGATAGTCTGGTCAATTCAAAGAGACAGGTTGTAGTCAGAAAAAGTTTCAAGAGATGATCGTTTGAAGCTGAAGAGTGGAGTGAAGTTGAAATAATATCCAAGCTATTAATATACATGTACATGATAACAATTTTTCAAAATTTTTACAAATTCATCTTTGAAAGTATTCAGATACCGATTCCTTACCATTTCTCATTGGACAATGGTCAGAGGAAAGGGCCCTGCACAGGACAAAGGATTAGATGCCGGCTAAATTTCGTTATAATTTGATACAATGTTCTTAAGGACCCTCTTTGGACAAAAAGCTTTCAAATTGAATTTTCTGTGTGCCAATTTTGAGGAATAACAGAGCAAAAAAGTGAATTTTTCAGGAGTTTAGCACACATATTATGAGAGGCATGTTGATACTTTAATCATACTCTTTTGTTACATACTTGTCAGAAAGATGAGGCTAACATCCAGATTTAACTGCTTTTCAACTAAAGGCACTACATATACGCCACAGCAATAGTGCCACCTTTCAACCAGAGGATTCATGTAAAAATGCAGAAAAATTCACTTTTCTACCAAACTTTTCTTAAGATAGGGGCAACCAAAGTTTGAATTCAGAGGCACATGTACAAGGCTCATCGTAACAAACATTACATCAGGTGTTAACAAACTTTAGCCAGTCTTTTGAATTTGATACACAGAGAAATTAAACTGTTTTAGTGGCAAGAAACGACAACTTTCATCATTCTAAATCATGAGCTGGTATTACGATTGAAGATTTTGATTTCAATGCTTTAGAAAACTGATCATGTTGTTAGAATCATTAAATTATACCGATGACAGGCTTAAAATCCCTTATTTGTGCATAGGACTGGATGAATTTGCAAAAATGAGAAAGAAAGTAAAGAGGTAACGCAGGACAGTAGGAGAAGAACTCATGCAACAAACGTACAGCGGTCGCTCTACGAGGTAACGGGATACCCACTTTGGCCATCTGCGCTTGAATGCCCTTGGCTTGTAAGGCTTTTACGGCCGCTTCTGCACAAGACTTTGATTCAAAATCAACAAAACCATAACCTGGAACAACATATGTAAACATTAGATAGAAATAAACCACCTGAAAAAAGAACGAAAAATTGAGATATTGAGATATTCAGATAATTATAATGCCAAATGCAGCTACACTGATGGGACAGAGCAAAATAATTGATTGTATTTAAATCATTACAGATCAAACACATCTTCATTATTGTCTGTTGAGTCTTCCTTCGATCAACACTAAAGAACGACATGATCACAGCCCTTAATTGAACGGCTTTCTTAAAGAAGGGTGTAACTACCACAAGTCAAAATTCGAGAAAACATGAAAAAACTTGATCTCTTGGACAATTTATCAAACTTGTGTTGAAAATCGACCTATGTTTTACATACCATCTATAGTAAGACTTGGTCATGCAAGGAGGGTCGGAGAAATTTGGCAAGATTTTTTTTTTTTTTTTTTCAGAATTTTGGTGGGTTTGCCCTTTTCCAGGAAATCGTCTGGTTCTACCATTTTGTGCAGTATTATGACATTCAAGCAACGTGCTGTCGAGGTATATTACTTAACTCACTAATTTTCAAAGGAGCAAGGGGGCTCTTTGAGTTGATAAAATTTAAGAACCTGAATCAATGAGCTCCGTAATCTTTGAGTTAGTGCAAAGCATAAAATGCCTTATCAATTGATACATGTAACACGGAGGAGGACAAAAGAGGTTTCGATCTATCTGTGTCATAATCTGTCAATTAAAAATTATCGGGATTGTCAGTGATTCCTCTTTTTGAAATTGGAACAAGTGATTAAAGTGAGGAGGAGAACTTGGTGTTGAAATATTGATGAGAGAATGAAATAATAAGGGCAATAAACTCGACGAAAATATAGCCATGGAGACTTGCAATTCCATTGACATCCCATACAGCTCGATTACACAACCAAAACTGAAGAAAATGAGGAACATTAATTTGATCTTATCGGATTTATGAATGCAGAACAAAATGAGGCGGCCACTCTTCAGGATGTAAGATTGAAATAAAAACATTCTCCCCATATAACTATTTAATTTCAGGAAAATTCGAGTTCTCATCAACTTGAATTAAACATGATTCAGAGCCTGATTTCATACTCACAGTGAACCTGACAAAAAAAATCCTGACATCAACCAAACAATCAAAGGCCTTCAAAGCAAACACTTTTTGATACATCAGGAGTGAATGACGAGAGATGTTCATCTTCTTGTAGATTCCTCTTACTTTATCCATGTAAATAATTTGTGTGCAATTTTGCACTCCATTCAGTATAATTTACACTGAAATAGTCAACTTCAAATCTTTAAACAAGCTCTCAACATCTTCACAAATAGTTTTACTGTGCTTCTTGAATAATTCAGAAAATAAATGAATTGATATTATTAGTATGGGCTGAAAAGTAGTGCAACATATCAAAATTGGAAAGGATAAGGGCGCGAAGATGAATCGTAAATTGAAACAACTGTTTTAATAATTCACAATTCTCCTCTCTTTCTTTTTCATCCAGTTTATAGTTTTTTGACTTGTTCTTTCCACTGGTTTTTTGGTTTTGTTGTAGTTTCTTTTGGTTACTTACGCACTGGGATGCAAATAGCTTACTTTTAAACAAATGAAATTTCATCCCAATTTTTTCTGCTTCGTTGGATTTTAGAAGAAAGAGCCTAAAAATAAGCACCCAATTTGTTTTGAATTCTGGCTGCACCGAGTGAACGGTACTACTAAATATTTAATTGAGGATGACTTAAAATTAAATAAAGAGTCACTAAATTTGAAAACTCATTAATTTCTTCACCTTAAACTTCTTTTCCTTTTTCGAGTTAAAAAATTTCGTGACTTTTCATTTAATTAATTGAGATGCTGTTCTTTGTTTATAAATGAATCCTCTTCATTAACATTATTATAAGGACGACTTACCTTTACACTTATTAGTATTTTTATCTAAAATAGCTTTTGTTGATATGATTGGCCCAAACCTGAAAAGAAACAAAATTCCTTGTTACTTCAAAACAGTAATTACTTGTATCTTCTTTTGGGATTTTCAAGGGGCAATTTGCAAAACATTTCAATTTTCAAACTGACAAACACAAAGTAGCATTAAAATACATGCACAAGCATGTTTTCAGACACTTCGTGATTATCACTAATTTGGGCGCAGAGAAAGCTGCACTCAGGAGGGGAAACAAAGACGGGGAGGAGGGGGAGTCTATAATTGACTTGAAGTTCTCAGCTCCCAATTTCAATGGATACTCAAGTGCAAGGCATCAACTCTTCATTGCAAATGGGACGATGATGTGTACAATTTCAAACAGGATGGACGTAAACCTCACATGGCTGAAAGAGATAATGCCGGTATTTTTTTTATGATGCATTGACTTTTGAGCATTTTTGGATACTTACGGAGAGCACATATTAACAAGGTCCTTATCAGTAGTGTTTTGAGTGAGACCACGTATGTAGAGATTTGTCTGTGACAACTGTTGTCCATCACCATTACTTGTCTGCTGTTGTTGTTGTTGCTGCTGGTGCATGTTTAGATTCCCAGGTTGAGAACCTGTGTGAGAACTTGAGCTTGAGTCAGCGGGTGAACCAGCCGTTGAAACTCGCTAAACAAAAAAGAAAAAAATAATAGGGATTAGGTCAAGTATATTGTACTATGAATTCATTAAAAAAATGAGTAGTTGCGTACCAAAAATTTATAAAGAGAGATTGGGGTGATATGATGAAAAAATCCCACATCTATGGCAAAAGTTAAACCAATGCCAACCTTCAGTCTGATGAAAAAATCTGATCTCATATTTAAAGCAAGAAAATGAAGCGCATTACTTCTTAAAAATAGTGGGAAGTTTTTCATTGCTTGAAAGAAACCATAATTTTAATAATTCAGCATAAAAAAAAAGAAATAATAATAACAGGATGGACGAAAATATACACAAATATTTGAAGATGGAAATTTCTGACATTGCTTAAGATCCAATGATATGTTTTCTTGGGCAAATAGGCTGTTCCCAAGCAGAATTCATAAGAGCTTTCCAAAAGCAAATCATGAACTTTAAAGGGCTTTTCAGGAAATTCTAAAAGGTAAAAGTAGGCCCCTTAAGGAGTTGCATAGGCCCTCCAAGGACTTGTACAAAAAATTTCAAAGGCCTTCGAGGATGTCTTAAAGATGGAGGTTTCTCTTGCCTATTGAGTGAATTCAACGAAAGACTTCAAAAGACGCAAACCTTTGAAATTATTTCAAAATTAAGATTTTACTGTTTTTATGCGTTTTATGGCATAATAAGTCCACAGTAAAAGTTATAAAAAAATTGAGAAATTTTATGAAATTGCATGTGAAACTAAATCAAGTCATGCAAAAACAACCCATGTCCATTTTCCCAGCTTTCAGTTTTTGTGCGTTAATGATACTTTTCAGGAGTTGATAGAATATAATGAAAAGTTATGGGAGTAACGAGTAAGTGAATAGCATGAGTAGCGAATAAAATGAACTTTTATTCAGGAACAAAAAGAAAACGCACTAAGACGAGCGGCTCACGCCACGACAAAAAGTAAAGCCTACAGCTGTAGATAGGGTTGCATCCAGGTGCGAGCCAGGGGCTAGCATACCGCCAATCTAAACCTACAACGAAACTGGCGCAAGGACTGGTTTGGGGATTAAGATAACCCCACTTAAAAGGAGTGTTACAGGGTGTCTACCAGTTATGAAAGACCAAAATTGGGGACTTTCGGGGACTATTGGGGGAGTTTTTTCAAGAAAATCCGGGACTTTTTTCCCCGAAATAGTAAGGGAAAGGGAGCTAGATAGAGTGTTAAAAGGCGTATTTTACACGACTAATTTTGCAAATCTTGTTGAACCGATGAAAACACACGAAAAACCAAGCAACACTTCAGTTCTTTTATTCCTGGTTATACCGCGCCGCCGCGGCTGGCGGGACAATTTGAAAATGCCAGTGTTTAGAGCATTTTTGTTGATTGCACTTCCATGGTTGCATCCATCTCTAAAAAGTATTATCAACCCAAAGAAACTCAAGACCGGAAAATGGACACAAGCGGTTTTCGCACGACACAGCTCGATGGCCAAACTCCGAAATCACGTATCTCCGTTCGAGACATTGCAGGCATGCTCAGTGTATTTTTGGAGAGAGTATTTTTTTTTCCCGTGCAATATCAATATTATTTTACAGGGGTATTCAAAAGTCACGCACCACTGGCCATGAGGGGGGTAGCTATTTGAAATTTTTGAGTTACACCCCGCTCCCCTCCCCCTGAGGAGGTTGAAAACTGGAAAGTGCCTTAAAAAGTTTCCCTCTCGATATGAGGAAAAACGTCACAAACCGGAAATCGATTTCTTGATTAGAACTAAAATTATGACCAGTGGTGCGTGGCTTTTGAATAATCCTGTATTTGTGTTCAGTACTTGGCAAACTGTCTGCGCTTTTAGGTGCGTTTCATTTTGCGCTTTTGGGTTGTGGCCCGGAAA